GGTCGGCTTCCGTATCGTTACATGTCTAGCTAGGTGCTGAGAATTGTTCTGAACGTAACATGCTCTCAGGACTTCGGTCCGTTGTTCTCCTTGAAAAGGACGAACATTTTCTTTGCCAGTGTCGCTTATCGGAGGTAAAAACAAATATTAAATGCTGCAGCGCACGCTTCTCTAAGATCATGCCGTCTCTACGAATTACGATGCCAAGTTCTCGCCAACAACGATTCGATACCTCTACCTAGCTCAGCTTCCAACATCTAGAACCGTCTAGTAGGGAGGGACCCTCAGTGTCGACGGTCGTAAAAGCCAGCTATTGTATTGCGTATGCTGGTCTGTTCAAACAATTGCGCGGGCCCGCGGTGCTGGGCTCCTAGGAAGCACTGCAAACCCGTTGGGCGAAACCGCCCGAGCCATATGGGCCGATCAGACTGGCAGAAATGTTAACCAACTTGGTATTCCAAACCCATCCGGTGATCCCCGGCGGCATCCCGAATTGGACGGTCAAACTCCGCAAAATGCATTCGTATGAAGAGTCTGACGTGTCGGGGAGGCAGGTGACGTCTCGGATAGGGTGATCTGGACCGCGTTGTCCGGTACACTCCTCTGCGGCACACGGCAGATGTGATCCTGGAGCAGGATCACACACGTAGCGGCAAGGGAATTCATCCCCAAGCGCCGCGAATAATTAATTTCGTTCGTTACAAGATTTTTCTTTTGACCCTAACCCGCTGGTTTACCTGCTGGTTAGCGTTATCTGGTTAACGAATTTTCCCAAAATATTTACCCCATAATTTCTCCAAGGCCTCAAATAATTATTAAAAGATCAATTCCCTTGCCGCCACGGGTACTGGTAACTCCGGGGTGAGTGACTTAAGATTCACAATCCCCGACCAAACAAACTAAAACACCTAACCCAGATTAATTATCCACTCCACACCCAAACCCACCCTAACCACCATGCTAACCCAACCCGTCCCCCGGGTGCTTATCTTAAGTCACCCCGCTGTTAAGTCACTCTTTAGACTTTAGTTACCAGACTAGGTATCCTGGATTTTAACTTCGAGGCTCAGCGGAAATTCGCCAGATACAACCTATCCACTTGACGAGGATTCAGCAGATTCGGATCGTCAACAAAGTAAATGCTGTCCAATCAATTCCGCGAGTGGGATTTCGCCTGGGATTCGCTCGCTGCCTTGCTTCGCGAAGCTCAGCATGGACTGACTCAGGTTTTGGGCCTGAGCAGTGATCGGCTGTGCGTCAGGAAAATCCGATAAGAGATACGCCCTCGAGATTTGCAACCGCGCGGTACCATACCGGGCTTTGAGAGATGCACAGGTTTTAGTAGCTTTCACATGTGTGTCAAGCAAAGCAGTTTCGTCCTCCTTTGATTTCTTTGACACGAAAGCTGCGCATATCCAGCATGGCAGTATCAGCGGTATGTACTTTGAAGCGCACATGTCCTGTACTGACCCTGTCCGATGCTGAAATCACCTGATTTGGGGCTTTGCATGCATTCACAATTCCACATTCCAGCAGCGCCCATACGCCAATGAAACGTCTTTCCTCCAGAGAATCATGGTGTTGCACTGGTGCGCAAGATGGCGTTACATAGGTAGGTACCTACCTACCTGCCCTTGTCACCATTATCACGGTTTCAAATGGGCGGTTGTTGCAGGGAACGTGGTCTTTCACGACCACAGGGGCAATTGCGAAACGGGCGCAATCGAGGACGGGTTACCAGTCTGAGCAGTGTGTAGGTTCCTCTTAGATGTTCCGTTTGAAGAGACTCAGTCGCAGGGGTGGCCAAAAGATTCAGCAGCACGAAGTGGCGTCTGCTCTAGGGGATCGCAGGGGTGTGGTTTGTGTCGCTAAGGCTGATGTCAGCGGACGCACTGGGTGAGGGCGAATTAAGTGATCCATGTTTGGGTTTGAGGGTTCCTTCTTTTGGCTGCTGCCAGTAGCAAACGCTGCTGCGCCTTACTCTGGGTTTCATTGGAAGATCAATCCCTCTCTTAAGGGGTACGTGGTTCAAGTGCCACTTCTCGCGCCAGATCACAGTCGTTGAGGAGGAGACGGCCAATCAGAGGCGCCAGACAGCATCTTTTCCTGTAAGCGCGCCCTCCTGAGCTACTTCCTGTGATGTGTGAGGTCATCAGCCCCGTAAGATGAGCTCTGCGGGGGTGCGCCAATCCTTTCTGGTTTGTCGCGAGACCGGCAACTATGCCACGATTCAGGCGGCCATCGACGCGGTTCCCGACGGCGAGGGGGGGGAGTTTGTGATCTTCATCCGGAAGGGGGTCTACCGGGAGTATGTGCATTGCCCCCCCAGCAAGGGCGCAATCGCTCTCGTTGGGGAGGACCGCGCGCTGACGCTTGTGACTGTCGGAGAGAATCGGCTTCCGACCAAGGAGTCTGCTGCTCTGATTGTGGACTGCGCACAGTTCCGAGCTGAGAATTTGAGCTTTGAAAATGCCGCCCCCTTCTGGCAGCTGGACACGAGCCCCCCGGCGGTGGCGGCCAAGTTTCTGGGGGGGCAGTCGGAGATCAACCACTGCTCGTTTCTGGGGTGGCAGGACACGTTATGGTCAGTGGCTGGGAGTCAGCGCCTCAAAGATTGTTACATAGAGGGCCACGCAGACTGGGTACGGGGGGAGGGAACGACAGAGTTTGAGAACTGCGAGGTGCATTCGAGGGTCGACGACGCGGCCGTGTGGCCGTCAGCGCGCGGTGGGGGGGGAGAAACAAGCCCGGCAGGGTTCTACTCTCTCCTTTGGAAAATGGCGGAGGCAGAGAGATGGGGTGGGGGTGCGAACAGCTCCCAGGATGTGAATGAGCTCCCGGAGACAGTTGCTGCGCAGGGGGGTGGTGGCGCTGAAACTACTGATTTTGAGATGCGGGTGGGCCCGTCCTCGCTGGATTCAGATCCTCTGGGGGGGTCTGAGGAGCTGAGTGTGGACCCCCCTGGAAGCTCATTGTGGTTCCCTGAGCGAACGAGCTCGGGGTTTGGGACCAGCAGTTCTGCCGAAGCGAGTCTAGGAAACGCCAGTGAAGCGAGTCTCCTCCGATGGGGCTCGGCCGGGGCAGGCGGAGGGATCGACTGGGACGCGGGCGAAATTCAGCCGGTGGTGAACCGCATGCGGGGGGGATGTGCATTGAAGCGCACGCGGTCGGGGAGAATGGAGGCGTTGCTCGCAAGCCCAGGCGCCGCGTCATGTTGCGTGCAGCCTGGCGCGAGCGTGCGGGCATGCTGACAATCTCAATTCATTCTGGGGGATGGGAGAAAAGACAGGAGAGGGGGGCGGGAGAGGGGGGCGCCGATGTGCAAATTCTTTGCTCTACAGAGTTACGGTGTTGAATGCTGTCGGCTGGTCATTCCAGCCTGCAGGAGCGGTGGTTACTGTTTGGGGGGGTCCCAAGAGAGGGACTTCTTCCAGGGATCAGCACTTCAAATTGAGGTGCTGCTACTGTGTAAGTAAGCAGTGGAGAGGTGCAGGGGACACGTGTCAACTGCTTGGGATTTTCAAGTCAATTTCACTGGTGAGTGTTTGACATTGGCGCAAGAGAAGTTAGTCGGCCTCTTGTATGGACTTGTGTGAGCAGCTTATATTCAAAAGCCCCTCTGAAGGCCGAATGTCGGAAGATTAAGCAGCTCAAATTCGAAGGCCCCCCTAGAAGGCAAATGTTGGAAGGTTCCTCGTTGACGTTGTATGCAACTTATAAGGTTCACCTTCTGAATGGAATATGATGGAACGACTGGCAGTGCTTGGGGCAGGTCTTTGCAAGTCCTCTATTCTCTGCATAGTGAGTAGTGTGTTTCACTAGATGAAACTCAGAGTTCTAATCTGACTACTGACAAGAGGCTGCCCCTCCTTGCAGGTTGTCCCCTTCCACTTCCAAAAGTTGTCATCTGTCTCTGTTTACATTGCCCTTTTGGCTGAAATGGAGGAGTTCTTCTTGTTTAATGTCAAGTCGAGCAGCCAACCAGCAAAGAGACTTCGAGTCTTGTACACTGTTCTGGTTGATTGCCATGGTCAAAGTCGTCTGGTTAAAGGTGCTCAGAGGCTAGTTGTTAGACTGCAGCGGAACACTTAGAGCACGCGAGGAACATGTTAGTGAGCAGATACAAGAGGCATGCAATTCACTACAGCCCTTGATTGAGCCTGCTTGTGATCAGACTCCGAAAGGTTTTGGTAGTCTAGTATTTTGGTTCATAAGGCTGACGCTTTGGCTTTTTCATAAAGGGAACGCGATAAACAAGTTAGAAGGTCTCGTCAAAACAGCGATTTATGGTGTAAAAGGCCAAACATATGTTCACTAGCTAGTAGCTCGGATGAGCTTAGGGAAGGGATCAGTATGACCATGTAATAGGAGGACTCATGAATTGCTGATAATAATGAACGAAAACAAGTTGTCCGAGTTTTGCAAAGTAGATCACTGACTGTCCCATGACGATTATCGAGTCCCAAGTCACAAACTGAGTATGCCAGTGCAGTGACGGTCAAGTGTGGCAAATAGTGTGTAAGGGTGATGACTTGAATGAAACCTAAATAATCTGGGGTGTGTGTACGTGCCCGTCGGACATTATGCATGACCATATTGTCATGTGTGTTGATGTCGCTAGACCAAACTCAACTCGTGCATGCATTGATTTGCCTAGCTGCACATGTATAATTTCCCTGGCATCCGCCGCTTGCTTAATTGTCAAGATTCTAAAGTCAGCGGGAATATATTATGAATCGAGTATCGGCGCTTGCATGTCATTCCTCGCCTGCCGGAAAGGCGCACTGAGGTAATTTTATATACAGGTCAATCTGTTTGCGCTGTTTGCAGAGCTGAGGCTAACTTGTTATTAAACCGTGACGCTAGTATAGGTTGACTCGTGTAATTGCAAAGATTGCCGCCCATATCCATGCGGTCGCATGCAAGCCTTGAGCCTGCATGAGCTGTAGAGGCTAGCTGACCGTCTCATACGACAAGGCATGTCACTAAGTGTGGCACATGTGCACACTTGACCCTCGAACATGGTTCTCAGGCTGAAAGCCGGCCCCGGATCAGCAGCCGCCGCTGAACATGATGATGCGGTCTGGTCGGGCCGGGCTGGCTTAACATGGATCGACACTTCCTCTCATATGTTGCCGGGGCCATGCCATGATGTCAGGCTTGCGGCGTAGAAGCATATAGGGCTGATCGTCGATATAGGGTCGCGCCCCGCACTCAATTGCCGACCGGTCCGGCCCCCCAAATAACGACTAAAAAGGTCATTCATGAGCCAATGTTACCATGTTGTCATGCGTTTGAACCTAACCATAGCAAGGATGCGCCATGCAGGCGGCATGCCGCAATAAAGATACACGTCAGCTCGAGATTCAAAAATCTCATTTGACTTGGGTATGCACGTATTATGGCTTAAGCTTCCTACATCGCTGCGGACAGCCGCCTTGATGGTACAATAGCAGAAACAGTGGAGATGTGGCCCGGCCTTCGAGAGCTTTATGCAAGCGAAAAGTACAAGCCGCCCTTCTGCACTCGTGGCCAGATCAAGGACCTCGATGACTGGTTATCCAGACGTTCTATTGAGTTCAAAAAGTTATCACAAGCTAATGTACAAATGACTGCGACTGCAGTGCCCTCTTGATAGCGGAACTCTTTTTAGCAAACGTGATGCCACATAAGGACACTGAAGCTCTTCCTACAAAGAGCAGGATTACTACCCAGGAAGAGTCTCCCCGTTGCTCAGCGACGGTTTCACGAGACCCGCCGCTGCTGCATAGTCTTGCGCACCATACGCCAACGATCTCTCGGCTTGAATCTGCATAATCAAGTACACAGGTCCGCTTTTGGCCAGTGAAACCTCCTTCTAATCTTGTATCGATGTTACAAATCAAGCGATCCTTAGGTGAACAGGAGCGAACATCCAAACAACACGTGTTCCTGTTCACATCCAAACAACACGTGTTTCAGCGAAGAGAATTGTAAGACTGACGGCTTACAAAAGTACGGGCTAACTGGATGCGCAATCGCGCATCTGAAGTCTTCAGTGTCAGCACAATTCTAAAAAGTGCAGACGGTGATGGGCGAACAAAACGGGTACTTCGTAGATTTAATGGGTTCTTCGCAGAAATAATATGAGTGGGGCAGAACAAGGAATTTTACCTGTAGTCTGTGGAGCAGATACATGATGAATCCGTGCAAGCAAACCTGTAGGGGCCGGGCACGAGTTCTCGGTCAATACACGGCTGTCGGCAAAAGATTTCAGTGAGTAATTATCGAAATAAACCATCACGTTCCTCTGCAGCACTGACGAACTTCCGCGTATCCAAGCCCTAGATTAATGCCACCTGGCGATTCACGTGGTCGTGAATTTATTTGAATCTTGTGCTGCCCGGTTTCACTAAAATCAGAGACAAGCAGTGACTTTGCCTCGCAGGTATGTTCGCCGCCGAATACTCCAGGACACTCGAATGTCATCCAAGACAGCGCTCAGCTATCCATTTCGGATCCCTTGAAGCACCAGATCAAACAAACTGTACATCTTCCGAGTAACAAAGACAGTAACAAAAACTGTCTTCAAAAAATTCCACTCGATAACATTTACGTGCTTCAGAGAAAGAGAAGCTCATTCGTCGTCCTAGTAAACAGAGCGGAGGGCTTGACTAATGACAGAAGAGGGGAAACAGGAAAGCAACCTGACAAATACCCACGCCGCAGTCATCTCGCACAAACAGTGCAAGTCATAACGTACACTTCAGGCGTGTTCTCACCAGATAGAAGAGGAAGCCTAGCCGAGCCAGCGGCCGCCGCCAGAGGAACCGCCCGGCGGAGATGGTCCCGAAGTCGAGGAACTTGGCGGCGGTGCGAATGCTGTTGGCGTTTACCTTGCCCAGCTTGATGTCATAATCCGCCAGGGAGCTGTAGCGGAGGCCGGGAATCATCGTACGGAATTTTCATTACGTGCGAAGCAATCGGCGGAGCTGCCACGCGGGGCAAGCAATCGCGAAAACTTCTCCCCGGCTTTTCCAAGCAATATTCTGGTAGTACACAGGAGCTGCACGGAGGGGTTGAAAATCGAGCACCTACTATTGCCTTTGACAACGTCCAAAGGTCCGAGCTTTTAGAGGCAAGGTACCCCCGACGAGAAACGTAGGGAGCATTCCGGATACACAACGTTGCCGCGTGGGTTTGATGACTCACTGTTCCAGCGACCGCATGTCGCCGACATCCTCCTCAGCCATCATGTTCTGCCGGCTCCGTACTTTCCGCTCCCGTTCCGTTTGATCCTATTTGGGAGGGAACGGCGTAAAAATCAGGTTACAGGTGGGACAGTCATTGCAGAACGCGCTCTGAGCAGTGGGGACACTCGGAGGCGCCAAGCGCAGCACAGGCGGACATGAAGGGACGAAAAGAGCGAAAAACAAGCTCCCTAATACTTTGTCGCTTGCGGTTCTTGAGGCTAACGTAGCCCTTAAACCCAAGGGGACGCTTTGACGTAAAAAGCTTGGAAGAGAGAACGGCAGCTCTCTGTCTTACTTTGGCCTCTCATTCGCCCGTCTTGAGCGATAGTGGCGGAAGCGCATTGATCCTTATACACTCGCAAGGGCCGCCAAGATTGTTCAGGGGAAGGAATATAAGCATACCTTGAACTCCTGGAATCGCCGCATCTCCTTTTCAAGTTGAAGAACCGCAGCCGCCTTTTCAGAAGACAGCGTCTCGAGCTGGGTCTGCTTGGAGTACTGCAAAAGGAGGGGCAGTCGATGAGGTCGCCCTTACATGAGCAGTTACCGAGTGACCTCAGGACCCGAACTAAAACGTCGCATCAATGGAACCGCAGCTAAGATTTTTAAGAGTACGGACCACCTGCGAAAAGATGATGAAGTTGCGCACAAACGGAGCCTGCGGCCCAAAACGACTGGGGCAACAAAGTGCATGTTTAGGCGGGGATTAGAAGTCGTTCGCCACTTGCTCAATCCGGAGGAGCAGAATACTGGAAAGTCCATTTTGAATCTGAAATCAGAACACAGCGGAGCGCACTGAAACTGCTACACTGTTGGCAGACAATTTTAAGAGATCACAGATCGAAGCAAGCAGAGCTACGAGAAGCTTGACAGCCTTCCAGGAGAATAATCAGGGATACAAAACCAGCATTCCGAAACGAAAAGTACGGAATGCCCCTTCAGAAGCTCACCAATAGCTCTGTCAGTTCCCGGAAGCGCTTCTCAAGGGCCGCTTGAGCTTGCACCGAGCTGGAGTCGTGCTCCCGCCTCAGGGCGGCCGTCTCAACGCGCAGCTTCTGAGCCTCTGCCTGCATCACGCAAACACACTTCCCTCACTGGGCTGATGCGCACGTTATGGTAGCAGAAGGTTCTTCCTGATGCGCTGCAAGTGTAGCTTGTCGAACAAATGACGAAAGGCTTCTCGAGAGCGTAGTTAAAATACAGTGAGAAGCATACAGTTCAAAGGCGCCTGCCGTACAATCAGGGTACTGCCCAATCATCATAGGTTCGTGGGTGAAGATAATTCACAGGTTCATGTTCAAGGCCATTGCTGATAACCGGATTGCCATGGGAAAACTTTGTTAACGACGAAACAAGAGCCACTTTTGAGCTTCCGAACCTCTAGGTCGCTGAACTTGTTTTCGGCTTCGCGCTGCGCCCGCCTCGCTCTCTCCGCCTCTTCCCTCCACGCGTTTATCTGAGAAACACCCGCGAAAATGTCAGTCAACGTCGAGATAGGGATAGTGTATGAGGACGCCCTGACTAGGACCTTAATACGACAAACGCCAAACGCGAGGCCTTTTGCTTGCAGGCATGCGGATTCCTGTTTTCTCATCAGCAACAGGAAAAGCGACGGTGAGTTCCTTCCTTGGAGCTCTTCGGTTTGGGTTCTCTAGCAGAAGATTGCGATCGACCCTCGCAAAAAGCCCCAGTCTCCAATCACCAAACCACTTGAGACAATAACCGTTTTTTGAAAGAGCAGATCACAGCGGGCCTGAAATGAAATGGAGTAATTTAATCTCCAAATCCACCTCCCAAACTGCGGTCTCACAAGGTGCGGTCGTGGGCGCCCCTCACCTGCTGTGTCTGCGCATCAGACTCCACAGAATTTGCTCGCGTGTACTCCCGGCGCATCCTGGCCTCTGCTTCTTGTAGCTCCTGGTTCAGCGTGGAGCACTCGACCTGGACGGAGAAGCATTCTCCACTCAGCTTCAGCAGCTTCCAACTTACATCTGGAATGGCGAGCAAGTTTTAAGGTACGCGACAAGCCATTCTCCCCCGAGTGCGCCACCTACCGGTCTGACTTCGATGAATCCTTGGAGACTCTGATCTGGGCCCTGCCATCGGGCCCAGATGCTCCAGATGTCTGGCAAGTAGGCAGGTACTTCCGAAAGGGCTAGCTTCCGAACCAGAAATGCGTCCGTCGAACAACTTGAACAAGTTAGCCTGACATCATGCCCCTTCCATGAACGACGTCGCCGCCTTCCACACGACCGTTTTAAGCGATGCATACGAAGACGATTCGAATCGGTCGAAGTGCAAAAAAGCCGCTGCAGAATGTGCAGATTCCAAGTACGCCAAAAAGGCACACGAAAGCGTTGATGTCACGCAACCGACACTAGCGGGGTTTGCGCTGCGCCTCACCTCGAGCATCGATACCTTATGCTCCATGTCTGCCACCTTCTGGTTCCGCTCGTCCACCGTCCTCTGCATCCGCGCAAGGGCCGTCGTGCTCTCGGACATCGAGTTCTCCAGCTCCGTCTCCCTAGCAGCGGCCGCCTGCAAAATTCCCGAGTGTCAGCGACGAGGGGCCAATTGCCAAACTCAAACGAAGTTTCCGCAAATCCAAAGCTCCGTCTCACTGGCAATGGCCGCCAGCGGAACCCCCGAGGGTCAGCAACGAGGGGCCAAGTGCCAGGCTGTAACAAGCTTCCTCCCAAAATAAGTAATTTGACAGTTACCTGTCGTTCCATCTCCGTCGGCCTGTTTTCATCTGATCAAAAGGAAGACAATCGCGCAAAGATGCTCTTCCACTAAGTACAAGTCACCACTCCACTCAAGTGGGCCTCAAAGAACCTGAAGCGGGTTCGGCGGGGCTGCCGATAACTGTTGATCCAGATTAAGTGGATTCGTTTGCTTTTAAGCCCAGATCTTCCGTTCCACCTTCTCACCAAATCGCTTCAAAAGCGCAGTGGACATCGATAATTACAACAATTGCACCAGCATACCTGTCTTGAAGATGTGTGGGCCGCCCTCTCTTCGTCGAGTCTTTTCTCCACCGTTGTCAGCTCCTCTCGCAGAGCCTGTTGCAGAAGATGTTCCATGGGGTTGTCAATGTTAGCAGGCACCATCGACTCCAAACAGAGCAATAAGAACTGCTTGTGACAAACACAATCATTTCAACATACCACCCACAGCGAGGCTTGATGTTGCAAGAAGCCAACCAGCCCTTCGACTCCGTCAAAATGAGAAAAAACATCACTCTGCCTGCAGTGAACGTTTACAACTAAGTAGCGCCCTACCTGCACCATCTTGGACTCGGTCATGTCCCGTCCTCTTGTCAGTGCCTCACTGTTTGCCTGAAAAGAGGATGGATACCAAATGTTGGAGCCATGTGTATAAACCATATGCATACAGGCCGACTTCAGAAACGCGACTTGGACGTTTGATCCCTCTCGAGGAGAAGAGCATACCACAGCTTTCGCCTTTCAGAGATTCCAAGGGGACGAACAAACTTTATCAGGGTCTTCCACCAGGAGAAAGAGACAAAAGCAACAAGTCATTGTACAAGACTGCACTTAAAGGGTGGCCGGCAGACCGCGCCAAATCCGCTTCACTCGCTCGCCTCAACAGAAGCATACATGACGAGAGATCTCACACAGCAAACAACACAAGAATCCAGAATAACAACCTACTTGCAACGCCGCCAGCTTGCCTTCCGCCATCGCTGCTTGCCGCTTTGCGCCTTCAAGAGCGACCGTCAGGTTTTCCAGTTCCGCATTCTTTGCAGTCAAGGCCGTGCTTAGACTCGACTCGACGGCGCCCACGCCTGCTCGCGCGGTCGAGAGCTCCTGCTGTAACCGCTGCACCTCGGCTTCAAAAGCGCCTTGCTGTTCTCGCTGAAGAAAAGAAGCACACATTGCACGTCAGAAATGAATGTGCGGAAAGCACAAGTTTAGGCAGACTACCAAGGACCCCCTCCAGCATTTTCGAGTATTCGTGTCAACGGTCCAGATGCAACTCGATCGTCGCTTCCTTGAGGTAGAAACCTAGGGGTGTAGGGTGGATCAGCCAGAAGCCACGTTCTCTCTCGATCCGTTCTTGCAATTTTTCAATCACATGGAAGAGGGCCGCGGCACTTTAAACATGTTATCTTTATTTCAGAGTAGTGGAACGTCCAGAAGTTCATGTTCTCTGTCTCTCCATTCAGTCAGAAATAATGAACGCATGGGAGAAGCTGGGGCGATGATGTATCTTATCCGCAAGTAAAGAAAGTTCCTTTCTCTCATTTTTGTTCTGCCTTGAAAGTTCGGCCAGACTTCAGTGTCGGCCACCAGGAAAGCGAAATGGTTGTAAAAGAGCCCATGCACAGCACGCGAGACCAGGACTCGGACCGCCAACCCTCGGTCACTCGACTGCTCCGCCCATGCCCTTTTCCCAGTAGACTTGACGAGTTTCTCAACCTTGCTTTGAAAGCAGGTTCATGGTCTGATGAAATGAGCAACAAGCAAACTCACCGACTGCTCCAGCATCTCCTCCAACTGTTCATTCTCTTTCTTGTACTCCGCAACTCGTTTCTGAAATTTCTCGCAAATCTGCAAGCGATATCGAGCGGGTTTGCAACAACCTCGAGGAGCAGTTCTAGTAGCATAGTTCTACACCATATGATCCCTGTGATCGCAAGAGTGGCAAGGAAACATCACACAATCTTCTTTCTAAGAACAGTACCGCAATTGCTTTTGTGATCGCAACACTGTGTCAAAAGTGCCCCTTGCTGGGGTCGTTCAATGGAACCTTACCCTTGCAAGCCTTGCCTCCTTGGTCTGTCCGGAGGTAGGTTGCTTCTTGAGCAACCCTTGCACCTGCAAAGAACAGGTGAGCTGATAGTTTAGAAGTTGACAACTGTAATGAGGGCCTCATACATCAATAATCAGTAGGTCCACATGAAAGTGATCGTCACTTATTCCAAACATTGTAACCTGTAACCTACTGAACTTCAGTCAGGGGCGGCAGAGCACTTCTGCTCTCAGCAGTGGATGGGAATAGGACTCACCTCATCGGTCTCTTGCTGATTCTTTTGACTCTGATCATCACTCAGAGGCGCCTCTGGTGTTTCCTCAGTGCCGTTCCCTGTTGTTAAATCGACCTTCTGGCTGTCCTTCGGCACGTCAGGTTCAGAAGAGCTATCTGCGCCAGGCTTGCTCCCATTTGCATCTCCAGACGCCTCTGGATCTCTGGTGACAGCATCCTCGGTTCCATGAAGCTTCTGTAACCCCTCTCCATCATCTGCAACAGCCTCGGAGCCTGAAGTTCCTTCTTCCAGCTTTTCTGACTCAACTCCCTTCTCTGCTCCTCCGGGCACCTCACTCTGTGCGACTTCCTTAAGATCAGCCCCCGTCCCAACACTGTCTCTCAGCTCGGACTCGGACTCCAACGGTTCTGACGGGGGCTTGCTTCCCTGTGCTTCATTATCAGGTTCCAGGCTTCTGTTAAGACCCGCAGCCTCATCATCGTCAGTGGCAGCTCCACTTCCCTTAATGTCGTTCTCCACCCTTGTATCCGACTCTGTCTTGTGAAAGGAGCTGCTGCGACTCACAGGCCGTGCAACAGGGTCGCTCTGCTGCAGAACCTAGAAATAAGAATAAATCAGATCTGCAAATCCAAATGACATGATGGTGTGGCTGCCACTATTCCAGCTCGAATACCAATAGCATTTACGAAGAAACAAGGGCCGACTGACAATTATGATCCCCGCTGTCAATGTTATGGAGATGAAAAAGTATACACGGCTGCAAATGCGAGCATTCAGCCCAAACGGAACAAAATCAAAGCAGCTCAGTATAGCTAAGCCAAGTGCTCAGAGACTTACATCATTCTTCCAGAGCCTGCTTCCTTGGCCAGATAATGTACTCTTCAGGCCAGCTGCAAGGATAAGTTATGGATATGTGAGGGGAAAAGGAGATGCATATGCAAAAAACATTTATGCAAAGCACAGGAGCTTGCATTATGATCCCCATGCTTCAAGCAGAGGTGAGCAGTGGACAGGCCCGTTAGCTACCACACTTAAGCAGGGGAAGATGCATTTGGAATGTGCTCCGTAAAAGTTTCCACAGATACAGTAGACTGTGGTCTACCTTGGGCCCTCCCTGTTCTTCTTGCATCTTTTGGCTGTAGGACGGTGACACTCTTTGCTGTTTGATCCACTGCCTCAAAGAGCTCTGCATCGGGGAGAGACACGCAGGTTGACATGTTGAAACAGAGAGTGAGGTTTCAAGTCTGGGAACCCCAATGAGCTATCCAGGTAAATCAGGTGGTCAAATCAACTGCGAGAACATTCACCAGCATCGACATGACAGAACTTACTAGTATAAAAAGGGTTGACACCTTTTTGACTTCTTTCAAGCATCACATTCCCCTTAGTCCTCACCTTCAGCCTTTTTGAACTGATTCTGCAACCAGGATGCCATAGCGCCCTGAGAAGTAGATCTCCCCTTGATTGACTATAAAGCTTCCAGCGTGTGGACACTAAGAGCTTGTTATGCTCTTTATCCTCAGGAAAAGTAGAGAGGAATGCACCCTCGATTGAAGCTTCTGCAAGCAGGTTTCTGATTGCCCCCCAAACCTTCACAGCAAAAAAAGCGCACGGCTTCAGGGAAACCCTTGACTTGGCAACTCCAATAATCGCCTCACATTGGCCTGGTTCCTGCCGCTCTGTGCCGCCCTGACACAATCAATGCAACATTGTCTGCTTCAATCCGATGCTACCTATTACTTATGTTTGAATCTCTTCTCATGTAGATTTGTTTGAACACTGAAGAGTGCACAAGAAGCTCAAATGAACTCAGTTAAGAAGGCTGCCATGGCTCCAGCACCCGTAGCTTTAGATTCAGCAGCCAGCTACCTAGAGGCTAGTACTAGGTAGTAGATTCTGTCCTAGATTTGTTGAGCATTTGTTCTCAAATGACGAATCAGATGCTGCCACGTAGGTAATGGAAAGCTTTAAAATTCAAAGAACTTCAAAGTTCAAACTTGCTTTTATATTTGCCTAGGATCCTAGATCCAGCAAGCCATGAAGCGGTCGGCTTGCTGGAGCCTGGCAAGTTGCGCTTACGCCGACGGTATTCAAAGTAAGCGCATGTCATGCGTAATGTGAGGACGACAAGATATGTAATGGCTGATTGACAACATTTCAAATGGGAGAGCCGGAAGCACTATCAGGCATGATGCTTGCGATTCCCAAGGTAGTAATAAGAATGTTTCTATTTGAAATACAAGTGAGACATGTCTGACTTGTGTAAAGATGCAAGCTTCTTCATCTTCTACTAGCTTCAACAGGAACAACCTCATTGAATTGGCTCTATCATGATGCGTGAGTGATCATGATAACTTAAGGGAATAATTTATGTCTGATGTACATTGCATGAAGTGACAAGACTGAAAGCAGGGTCTAAACGGCATGTACTTTGGCGTGCTTAAGAGAAATGCAGAGGCCTATCCACGTTATGGTACTAGCTCCCATCTAGCATATCTCTCAATTTGGTGGGTGGTACATCCGAGCACCATAGACGTGTCTCGTAAGCAGGCAAACAATGGTGAAAAGAATATATTGACCAAACAATTGCTTATAACATTTACAAAATGGATAAGACTCCTATACAAATCACTCATTGAAGTGAACCCCACCTACCTTGTATACAAGATAGAATGTTCCAAGCATCAAAACGATGCTAAAAACGAAGCTCAAACCAAGCAGGATCTGCCCCGGCGTGATCTCCCACTTCTTCTCCGCAGCTTGCGCCTCTTGCTTCAACTCTATTCTACTCTTCTCTGCAAAAAGGGAGCTATCCGGTCGGAACGTCGCAGGCTTGGTCGTCGTTTTCACAGGCCCTGAGTCCCCAAAGTCTGGCGGCATTCTTCCAGGATATGCCTCAGCCTTGGGCTTATACCGAGCACTTGTCGTGCTCTTCCCGTAGGGACTCATTGTCCCCGACCCCGTCCCGATCTTCACCCTCTTTCCCGCCGGCTTCGCTGCACCGCGCTCCCCAAACGGGTTCTTCGCACCACTCTCGCCAAACGGACTGGCCGACTTTGCGTCCCCCTCCCCAAATATGCTCTTCGTCTTGCTCCCCCCAAACGGGCTATCTACACTGCTCTCACCAAACGGACTCTTGACACTTGTCACCACGCCAGAAGAGCTCGCTGGCTGCGGCCCCTGGGCTGGCTTTGGCATATCCGGTGACGGAGTAGACGGTTTTGCGGGGGCGGCGGGCCTGGGAAGAGGCCCCGCTTCGGGCTTAGGGCCCATCTTTGGTTTAGCCGCCCCGGGCTTTGGCGGAGCCGCCCCTAGTTTTGGAGGAGCGGCGCCGGGCCGGGGGGGTGCGGCGCGCAGGGGAGTGCTGCCAGACCCCTGACCCCCATCTTTGCTAGAATCGGAGCTCTCTGCTGACCGCACACGGAAGGTTCTGTTTAGGCGGAGGGGGCTTCTGAGGGGGATGGCTGCTTGGCCCAGAACGGAGGGTGGGGGCTGAAGCGCGTTCCTCAACTGCAAAGAGGAAGCTGCTTTGAGGCATTCCTTGCGAGGCTGCTTGTTTCGCAGGTTGGTGTTTGGCTGTGGAGTAAGTCTGACCAAAAGAAGGGGTTTAGTTGAGCAACTTGTCAATCCAAGAAAACCGTAGGAATGCCAGATCTAGCGCAGCGCCAGCGTGTGGTGAGGCCAATCACAAAAATCCTTCAATCCTCTTCTTCAACCGTGTCCACAGCATTCCCTGCCACAAATTGTCCAAGAAAGTCCAGGAGGCAACAAAATGGATTTCTGAATGTCGGTGTGTCTTAACCAGAATGAGAAGAGATGATGACAGACGTAGAAAGCGATTGGTTTGAATCCTGAACGTTCATGCTGACAGCATTGCAGAGACAGACAAACATGAGTACTCAGAGATATATAGGGGACCTGTCCAGAAAAGTCCTACGACAGCCCAAGCATCAGCAGAGCGCCCAAGCTTCTCTCACACAATTCGCCCTCCTACACAAGGAGGCCGGCCATTTTCACCTTGCTTTGTTACAAGCCAATGTGCTCCATCAATCTGCACCGGGCCTTTTGCAGCACTCAGAAGTGGTAAGCTCGAACAAACTTAGACAAGAAGCCACTTGGACAAAAGTGGCGCCAACCAAGGCAGAGAGTTGTGCCGGTTGCCATTGCTGTTTTTGACACGAACTTTGCAAAAAACTTGGAGCGCTCTGAATTTCACCCGGAACAGGTAATTTGGTGCACGAGTGGTCCTGCTTTCATCATGCACTCAGCTACTACAAACCAACTGGTGCGGGACCTTGCAATCAGGAATACGCGCAAAGGCAACTGGCAACGACTTGGGCAGGTCTACTAAAAGGTCGTTCAAGGTCCATAAGATAGAGATGTTCGAATGCCAAAAGGGCCAATGTCCGTTCCGCCAACAACAGTGCGCAGACTTGGCCAGCTTTCCTCTTCCGGAGAAAGACCCCGCTGACAGGAAGCAGAATGACTTAACAATTGACTGAAGAACGAACTGTCGCAGAGAGTGGATGAAAAGGTACAGCGTTCCAACTCAAGCATAGGTTTTCTTGATGGGGCCAGTCCATAAATCGGGAATCCATCAGGACACCATCTTTCCATATCCGCCTACAATTTCTGCGCCGTCGCCCCTGTTTCTCAGCAATTAGCAAACGCTTTATCATTGTTACATGAACAAAAACCTGAGGACTTGCAATAACAGGTGCAGGACCAAACGAGAAAGTGACCATACCTGTGCCTGCCCTAATTGACACTTGAACGCTGGCGTGCCCTGCAGCGCCCCGCTGCTCCCCGCAAAAGCGACTGCCATGGCGACAGCCGATGGAAGGCTGGGAAGACAACAACTCTTGACCACCTTTCGACGTCCGTCTCAAATTGCGAGCGCACTTGACCTTGAGCAGCACTTCACTCGAGGAAGAGAAAGAGACAGATGCCTGAGATGGCTGCAACTTCAAGTTCAACTTCAAGTTCCAAGGCTGTTCTACTTCAACTTCTACGGTGTAAGGCTGTAAGCAAGAAAGTCTTCAAGTTTGGGCAAGAAAATTCAAACAAAATCAGAGCAAAGCGGTTAACGGTAGCAACCTGCAGCGGAAACGGTAGCAGAGGAGCATTTGATCCGAGTCCCGTCCTGGGTCTACATAGCATCAGAACCTGGCACGCCGTAGGTTGAAGCGGCGTTGGTCCGGCAAACTGGCAAGCCGAATTTTGGAACAAATTTCAATAGATTTCACTTGTCCAGTCGTCGTGAATCATTGACATTGGCCTCCTTTCCTTCTCCTTTCTTCTGGCACTGCCTTGGCCTACCGGACATTTACCTAGAGGCTAGGACACAGCATGTAACTAGGCCGCATTGCAAGCAGAGAAGGGCTCACCATGGCTCTCGCCATCCGTTTTGGGCCGCAAGCTTCTCCTGCGGGCTTTGTGCGGGCGCCAACTCACAATGCATCAGCTTGGTCGCCAGGTCAGCAAGTGCAAAGCGGCTATTGCGTATTGTCTAGGCGTACGTTTGTCAGCAAGTCATTGGAGCAGAAACACCGTCTGCTGTCGCCAGCATTCTCAGATGCCGCGAGCAGGGTGACCATGGCAGGTAAAGACAAGATGGTAAGTGGTCGAGCACTTGATGGTTCCCATTTTGAGCGCCTGCATTGACTGTCAGCGCAGAATCCATCAGTCCATGATGCCGTGCATGGTCGACCAAATAGGCACTGAGCTTAGGACTTGCAGCGAAAGCCCATCAATGGCAAGACTCGTTCAGCACACACAGGATTGGCTACTGTGTTAGAGTTAGTGCTTGGGCTCTTGACGTAACCCAGTCTTGCGCAGCGCTTTGACGCCCATTGTCCAAGCAGGCGCTATACAATGAAGTCTGTGCGTGGAAGTAGACTGCTTTGTAAGCTAATGTTACAACGGCTGAGAACGTCCAATGTAACATTGCAAAGCGGAAAGTCAGTCCCTTGGAGTAGCATGATTGGTGGTACCCTGGACCACATGCCGCAACCTGCTTGTGCCTATCGGCGCTTATTTCTGAATTCTGGGGGGATACTTGCCTCAGTTCTGCACCGGAAGCAGAACAAGCGGACGTCATTGCTGCAGAAGCTTTGCGGTTTAGAAAACTTCCAGCTGTTTAAAGTACAGGGGAGCTGCCAGCTTGGCTGTTTGTTAGGGCGACGGAATAGGTTGGGGGCCTTACAATGTAGAAACATGACTTCTGAGAGTGAACGAGGGCCTAAAGTTTTGCTTAGAGTATGCAGAACATTTACCAGTTGTGGACATTCAGCCAAGAAAGCGCTCCCAGGATCTCGCACAATGTGAGGTACCACTCAAAAGCACTTCCCACATCGAAGCAGGAATAAAACCTGAGGGGGAACTCTGGCCTGAACTCGTCAGATCGGAAGCATCTCCACTTGCCAATGATCTGACGTGTGCTCACTCGCCTGCTTTGTGTATCCAAAGGTCAGTCTCTCCACAGGCAGACAATCGCTGCTGAATCACACTCTTAATCTTAAGGTTGCCCAATTGCCCCCCCGCTCCCTGCAGGACGATGCCAAGAAGGCCCTGGAACAGGCCCTGGGGGGCAAGAAGGACATCTTTGCTGACATCGACGAGCGTGTCGGCGGCAAACGGGAAGCCTTCGGGCGGGAGCCCCGACGGGAGCCGAGAATTAAGGGGTGGCTTGGACGCGTTGGAAAGTTTGGAAAGGGCGGCTGGGGGGGTTCTGGGAGGGGTGGGGATGGGGGCCTCCCAGGGGGGGGTGGAGGTGGGGGCGGGGGTGGGGGCGATGAAGGTGGGGCAGCGGCAGGGTTCGGACAAGTCGGGCTGGCATTGAGCTTCATGATTGGATTTGTAAGTGATTTCTTCTCTTGGTTCTTATCTGGTATGCATGCTGGAATTACCGCTGTTGCATTGAATTGAATCAAGTGCGTTGTGGCGGTCCAAACGTCCTGACGGTCTACGTTGCGCCGTCCCGCTCGAGTCTGCACTTGCTTTTGTACAGGCTTTTGTCCTCTTTGACTCAGCTTCGTGTCACATCTGCTTCTGGAAATCGTCCCTCCATCTGGTCAGAGTTGATCCGAGCTGATTCGTCTTTTGAAGCTGCTTCGACGAAGTATATTGACGCTTGGTGAATGGCCCTTTTTCGAGGAGTGGATGGCGCATTTCTTGTACAGCTTAAAGGTGGAAAGCTTCTAGGAGCCGTGCTTCGCTTTGGGACCCTGCGCTTCTACAGACCTTTGTTGTGGCTTGTCCTTACCCACCTCATTGTGCTCGTCCCCTACGGTTCGCCCGTTGGCTTTGCGACTCTGCGCTGAAAGACATTCTTGGTCAGCCGCTGTTGAAGGCTCGTCTTAACCCCTAAACATGCGACAGACAACGACTAATGCCATGCAGCAAACTCGCTTGACTTGCAAGTGCGAAACGACCCTCTTAAACCTCCTCCATTGAATCCTGTTCATGCGCTGAAGGTCACGCTGCCAATCTCTCCGGCTTATGATAACTAACGGCGCCACATCGTCATCAAGACTAAGCTGGAATGCACACGGTCGATACTTGCCTTTCTTCCTGCAGTTCCTGTTCACCCGCTTCTGGAAGCCCGCCCTGGCCTTCATCACCAACGTCATCTTCATCATCTTCTCCTTCGGGCGCTACCGCCCCGGTCAAAAACAGCGCCTGGCCCGCGAGCGCGCGCGGGCCGCTCTAGTTGCCACGGGACCGATCACCCTCGACCTCGACGACGAAGCGCCCCCCCAGAAGGAAGAGATCATTGACATTGCTCTGCCCCCGGAAATAGAGCTGGACTTGGACGCTGAAAGCACAAGCGGGCGGACGGAGTCGAGCGCCGTCCGTGCGAAAGCGCCTCGTGTGAATGCGGCCACCAGTGTGAACGCGCCCGAGCCTAGTGGGGAGGCAGCTGCGCCGGAGGGTGTGAAGAAGGCCAAGGGGGCGCTTGCGAGAGGCGCCGACGCTGCCAGGGGGGGAGCGGAAGCTGTGAGGGAAGCCGGGGAGAAGGTGGAATCGGCAGCGAAGTCTGCGGCGGGGGGGGTGAAGAGGCGAGTGAGAAGGACGGCCGAAGGGGCGGCGGAGGGGGCCAAGGAAGCGGCAGGAGCCGTGAAACGGACGGCGCAAGCGGGAAGGGAAAAAGTCACAGGAACAAGGTCTGGTTAAAAAGTTTTGGTTGTTGGTCATTACGAGATGTTGCGGATCACGTTTCGCAACATAGTTGATCAGGGGGTTTGATGTCTGGACCGGCTTGATCGGAGGCAGGTGGAGAGTGTAGCTCGAAGGGTGGAGCACAGGAGGGCAAGGCCACCAGTGTGCTTCTGCCATGTCGACTGCTTTTGGTGACTGATGCGCACTTTCTCGAGGAGTTGCCAAGTTGCGGAGTTTATAAGACGACAAGTCCATGGAATCACCCATTGGATTTTTTAGCTCACCTTGGGACTAACTTGCTTGGGCGAACGCAACGCATTTTTGACAATGAACGATGATGCGGCCTTTCAACGTAAGTACCGCTTTGTAAAATCAATCCGGAGAGTACCGTCCTCTACGACCTCCAACTTAGCGTCCATACCCTTATTCGGATCGTATCTCCTTTTCGATCTCCTACATGCTGTTGCATGCACGCGCTTCGATATATCTATTGGATCCACTTGTATGGCCGATCAAATATTGCATGTATTGACAGATTGAAACTATTCCGTTTCCCCGCATGCAAGATAGGTGAATTAGTCGAACAATTATGCACATGGCTTCATTTGATGAGAGGGATGCACGTACGTACGTACGTTTGATTAGGTGCACATAGGCAGGATGTAACCCAGGGAACTAGCTGAACATGTGTCCCCAAATGCAGGGAACTAGCCCAGGCCCTGCGCATGAGGGTTGAGATAAGTTGGCCACATGTAACAGATGGTCAAGTGCTTCGGCAGATCAAAGCACACGTGCCGCACGTGCATTGAATCATCTAGATCTTTCAGTTGCGATTGATCGTCGCTGCCTCCTTAAAAGTTCAAATGCTTGGCAGCTTTTCATTGCTGCCGCACTGCCATCGTTCATCTGGAGAAAGCGCACGTGACCAGGCTCTACAGCCATCTACAAGGAGCAGCAACAGATTGCCCCTTCATTGATTGTCTTTAAGAGGCACGGAGTACGATGGGTCGTGCTGACTGGTTCTAGATCGACCGGATTTCTAGATTCTGAAAGGCCACCCGTTTATCCTTTTGCAAAAGCCACAGTTTGCGACCATTGTAGAGGTGACAGATTCCCAGGCCGGCCGATGCAGGGGCCGGCCCAAGAGACCTTCTCCAGCAACGATCTGACTCGCAGCTCGGAGGGTGCTTAAAACTGCAAAAACTTTGACAGAGACACACGCCGTTTGCGGCTCAACAATCTATTGTGCCGCCCACAAACACGACGCTGGCGAAAACGGGTCCCCCAGAAGGTTCCCCCAGCTTGAGGACCTCCCCAAGACAGAGCTTTGCCCGCAGCAAGATCGCGAAAAAGGCGCCCCTTTTCCCCTCGGGGTTAAAAGGGCTGGCCCCCGGAGTAGCCCCCGCGGATGCGCCGCGCCAGCTGCATGTCCTTGGGCACTGCACGAGAGGGATGCCAAATGGAGGTTAGGATTGGAGTCGAAGAATGGGGCTAAGGATTGGGGCTGAAGAACGGGTCCTAAGATCGGGGTTGAAGGTCGGGGTTAACAATCGCAGTGAAAGATTGGGGTTAACGATTCGGGGTTGAAGATTGGGATTGGAGTGAAGTGGTCGGGATCTTCTGAAATGGTCAGCCTCGGATTTAAAGCTACGAGTAAGGAGTTGACATTGTGGCAGAGCTGATGTTCCGACCAGACTGAGAGGCTGAGTTCGTATCTGATGGCTCAGAGTCAGCCACAGAACGGAGGAATAGATGATCGGTTGCACATTTCAGCGGATCAAGTGCTTTCTCACAGATGTAGGGCAGAAAGCCTGCAATATAAGCCCAACCACAGGAAAATAAACTCCAGAACGACCGGAACTGATCATGGGCTGCCGAGTGGCCAGGACGCATGAGAAAGTGGTCCGTAGAGAGTGACATTGGATGACAGATAACCGGTTTGAATTCGGGCACGGAATCAGGGCCAGATATTTGTAAGCGCCGTGCCTCCAGATGCGGGAACACGGCAGGGTTGCACATCTTTGGAAGGCCTTTTGGAAACTCTTCCGGAGGCTCTGATTCCCAGAGAAGGGCTCATTTTCATCCGCTATGACAGTCCAACCGACACTAAGGACTTGGGGAAGAGCGTGGAAGTTTAAACTCGTCAAGTGGTTGACATAAGAGGTTTCATTGGATGGTGTCGAGGAGACAAACGCCCGTCCGCTCTGACACTAAGTATTTCCGCGAAATGGTAGTTGGAAGGGGCGCACTGATGATGGTTTGCTTGGCGTGAAACGGGCATAGTAGAGTAGACACGGTTGCAAGAGACGTGTGCCCATTACTTGAAGATTCCTTGAGACTGAAGTAAGCAGCACAACAGTCACGTAAAGAGCAAGGCGGCACTCACTGATGGTGACCCGCTTGGCGTGGATCGCGCATAAGTTAGTGTCCTCGAACAAGTGCACCAGGAAGTCCTCCGTGGCCTGTGGAGAGAAGTAGCTTTGAGTTTGTAAGTTGAGCCCAAAAACGGTCTTGCTACTGGCGAATCCAGGCAGTCTTGTCTCACATGTGTTGGTGAGCAAGAGCCAAGACGACTGTCTCTCTAACAAGACGGCCGAGGTCTTTGAGCTTGTTAGCAAGGCAGACTCGAAACGGTACAATTCGAAGGGACGTGTACTGGACCAACGGCAAAGAGCGTACAGAATAATGTACAGGAAAATGATGCCACAAGAACGCTAGTCTTGTTGGCATGAAAATGAAGGTTGCAGATGGTTTACCTCTTGCAGCGCCAGCAGGCCTTCCGCAGACCACCTGAAGTCCTCCTTGGTGAACTTGTTGCTGATTTCCCGGACCTGTGGGACACATCAAGCAACACAAATGATCACCAACTGCGTGTGCACCAGTCATGCAATCCGGACACGCACAATTTTCCTTGAATGTGCATGATCAAAGATGGGGTAAAGCATGTATGGCAGCTCCCACAGTTAAGAGCTCCATTGCTCTTTTCAGCATTTGAAGCAATTTCTACCTTCGTCTGAGAACCAAATCCAGTACCCCACCGTACTGTACGAGTGTTGGATCTTGGACGGATATTTTGATGAATTTTAGAACCAGCGAGCTGTTCTGAAATTCAGCCACCCTGAGCTTGCTCACCAGCCTCGCAAACGGCAACTTCCGAATCAGCAGGTCCGTAGACTTTTGGTACTTTCGGATCTCCCGGAGAGCTTGCGTTCCTGGCCTGAATCGGTAGGGCTTGGCGCCCCGGCCCCCTCCAGCGCCACCTCCGTCGCCCCCCCCGCCGCTGCCGCCGCCTCCTCGACCCCCTCTTCCGGCCCCTCGACCGGCGCCCCCCCCCGCTTGGGCACCCCCCCGACCACTAGGGCCCCCGACTGCCATAGGAGAAAGATGGTCGGACTAGGAATAAAATGGCCAAATTGAAGATGATGGAATGGAGGCCTCGAGTCAGACGAGAAGGGAGATTGGGAGGAATGGAGGCAGGTTAGTGGAGAAGGAGCAGTTGGTTTCTGCCTCTTGAAAAGCTCTTCGCTTTTGGTTGAGTGCACAGGAAGGGTATCTGGTTGTAATCTCCGCAGATCTTAGTGTTGAAAGATGCGTATGTGCTTTTCAATCGAGGTCAACAAGACAGCTAATGCCTGCATCTATTGAGGTCTCGCTGGGTAAAATGGGCAATCACAAGATGTAGAAATTTGTACGAGCCTCAAACGACAAACACACAAAGCCACTTTCTTCAATACATACTTTGGGCTAGTCCAGGTCGGAGCAAGTGCACTTCTCCCCACCCTCCCTGCATAGATTGCTTGCCTCAAAGAAAGATATGAAGGCAGTTGCTGAGATTTGTCATCTTCTGAACCTTTCAACAAGGCTGGCTCACCATATCAATTCTCTGGGCAGTTTCCAGCATCATTTGTGTTTCATCAGATACATTGGCAATCTAGAACATTCTGTGTCCAAGTGAGGAGCAGTAGGTATCATTATGGAGGTAAATTGCGGGATTGGGCTTTGATCATGGTAATCGAAGACCTTTCTGAAAGCTGTGAAAGCAGATTACCAGGCACAGTGGCTCCCAGCTTTCGACTCACAGATGCTTCTCATGCAGTTTCAGAGAATTTGGCAAGAGCAGCACTCGGAAATGCAAAGAAACGCCAGAACAAGCAAGAAGGCCGTTCATTGATGCAAAACGCATCTGCATTGATTGAGGTGCTTCACATTGCTTCTGTCTAGTACTTGCATTGTAAGGCATCTGCTTTGATCAATCAAAAGATCACTGCAATTATGCCCTCGACCCGTTGCATTTACAGAAGCATGGCGTTGCATTACCGATACATCTTGCAATAGCAGGACATCAAGAAGCATCCTGCAAGCCAACTCCGCCTTTGAACATGCCCAGAAAGCACCCACTCCCTACTTAGCTCCAATGAATGCCATCGCTCCAAAAACAAGTGGTGAAATCCGTCAACCAATGAAACAAAGCAGAAACACTTTAGCGAGAATCTCATGTCCACAGCCCACAAGGAGGTAACCAGTCCCAAATGATTTTTCTCCTACTCTTGCTTGCTCCCACATCAGCGGAAATCCCAAATCCAAGCCCCAATGAGCATCAGTCCCCAACTGATTTTCTCCTCTTCTCTCTTGCTCCCACATCAGCAAAACATTTATTTTCACAGCCCACAATCAGGTCAACAGCCCAAGAAAGACAATTAGTCCTACCTGATTTTCTCCTGTTGTTGCTCGTATCCACAGTAGCTGCTGCAGCCACTGCCCCCGCCGCTGCTCCTGCGGCCGCCCCCGCCAACACCGCGGCCCCAGGCCTCGGGCGCCCTGCCGCGGTCTGCTTTTTCCGTGCCATTTGAATTTGGCTGGCTGGGTGATCAGCAGTGGGCCCCAGCCATAAGATGTTGGGTTTGATATGGGCTGGCAAAGGGATGGATTGGTGGTAGCTGTGTTGATAAAATGAATTGTTTCCGTGATTTGCAGTGCAGAACGTGGAGGGGCGCTGGCCACAGTCGGGGAGTTGCCCGGCTTGCAGCGTCAAGCGAGCGGGAATTACCGCCTCTAATTTGTTTGGAAGTCTACAAAGGGGAGCTTATGTCTGAAAAAGCAATTTGGCTGAGGCGCATCTCCAGTGGCAATGAGGCAAAGATCAGATTTGAAGGCCAAACTAGCTTGGTCGCAAGAGGTGGACCATCAATCGATTGAGATGTTGACTGCCCAGCGCTCGCTATAAGCGGACAATGCGCTCCTCTTCTGGTTGTTCAAGGCCTTTGAGCTGGATGTTGTCGAGTGCAAGCAATGCAGGAGATGATGGAGGTGTAGACTTGACGCCTTTGGAAACAATCTGCAGCTTCAAATGCATCAATGCGTTCCAAATCCAGCTGCGCAGCGAATGAATGATCGACAGGCGTTAAAGCGGGGCAGCAGGGAGCCTGGGAGGAGCAGGCTGCATTGGTCCTGCTTCAGACGTCCAAAGATGATTCTGGGGGGTAAATCCGGAATTACACACTGTTTATCCTGTGTAGTTGGGGACACCAATGTCACTGCATCGAAGGGTTCGAGAAACGGGATGCTCACACTGAGCCGTCCGATTTGGCGCGCCAAGGGGTTCAAGCCGATGCCAATTCGCGCCACCTTTTGCCATGCCACCTGGCATTTTGGACAGATCGGACGTAGTACAGAACAAGGCGTCCAACGTCCGAAGAAGCGAGCCTGCCCGCGCGTCGGCGTTCTGGTCAAAGCCGTCGTCCGATCAGCTTGTGGCAGTGCAAACTTTTTCCAGTTCCATTTCTGCAAGTTTAACTTTGAAGTTCCCATTATTCTTCTCCTTGTCAGGCGTCTTCTCTTTCTACTTCTAGACTTTCGAAGCTCGATCCCTCTAGAGTGTGGATAAACTTTTCAAGGGTGCCCATGACAGGCTGAGGTGCATTCTAAAAGCCCAAGACCAGAAGTCTCGAATCAAGGTTCCGCACAAAGTGAGTTCAAGGTTGCCCGGATTTATGCCAGCGCAGCTCCACCGCCTCTGCATTATGTCGCAACTTCCACAAATCTTGTGAAGACCTGCTGCAGAACGATCCAATGGGGTGATTTGAGAGCCAATAGGAATAGGCAATTTCGTGCTAGACCAATGCAGGTCTGAAGACCACAGCGACTCTGTACAGAAGAAAGAAAGCCCCTTGGCGAGCGGGGTTGAACATTCTTTTAGTTGCTGTGGACAGTCTGCTGGGGAACTGGTTAACCTGGTTGAAAGATCTGTTGGCTGACTGCATCGGAGTGCCCTTCTGAAAGATATGCGGTTGTGAGGTCGAGAACATAGCCAGGCAAGTCCTCGATTCCTTCAACATTGAGAAAGGTGGTATGACAATTTAGGTTATCAATTGGTAAATGGTGGCAGACAAGTAAAGTTTTTCAGAATGCGTTAGTTATCGGCGTCCCAAAGCTTCCTTGCTAGCCAGGGAGTATCGCCTCTGTTGAAGCAAAACACCTCTTGCATTCTATCGTCTCTTCTTGAAGAAGGTGCTCCTTTTGAGAAGCTATGAACTCCAACTAGGTATCACATTCCAGAAAGTTGGGGTTCTGGGGGTTCGCCGAGTCTCTTAAGCAAGCAATGTCCACAACTTCTCAGAAATCTGATCAGTGCAGCTGTCTTGCTTTAGAAGACGACTTACGGGCCATTCTTATCAGTGTTAGAGTCCTTTAGGGGGATGATGATGGCACAAGCCACTTCTGTCGGCTTTTGCACACTTCAGAGTGGAAGCTTCCCAGAAAAGTTATCTCAGTCCTCATGTGGCATGGTTTTTGTCTTGGACCTTCCCATTGTGATTCACTTGGACAGAGAGGACAAAGAGCCCCTTTGAACAACTTTTCAGAACGCTGTCCTATGCTATGTAATCTGCCCACTCCCCTTCTTCGCAGATTCACTCAAACCTCAATAAGGCTTCAAAGAGGCAGAACAATCACAATCCTTCCTGCAGGCCTTCTATCTCACTTTCACCTTCTAACGCTCAAGAAACCATATGTTCGCAACAATAACAAAATCGCAGATTTCGAATCTGCATCAGTTTTCGAGCAAGCAAGCGGACCTGCAAGTTCGTTTGGGCACAGCCGCCGCCATGGAAGTCAATTGAGTTCCTTTGCGCCTGGCGGGACTCCCCCTGCTTATCCTCCTGGAGGATCTCTTATAACTGATTCTGCATTCTTTCTCCGGCAGGCCTGCAGGTTGCAGCACAACGGCCGCCACGGAATCCAATATTTGCTTGCGCTACTTGGGAAAGTCTCTCTGCTTATCGCCCTGCTGGGGGACCTCTTATAAATTGATGCTTCAATCATTTTCGTCGCAGGCCTGCAACTTTGTACCACAGCGGCCGCCATGGAGCCCCGATACTTTCTGGTGCGCCTGGCGGCGTTCGCCCTGCTTATCCTGCTTCTGGGGGACCTCTTATACATGCACAGCCTGCCTCAGAACAACTCTAGCATCGGCAGCATGCTCCCCGTCATGAACATCCTCAACTGCGGGGAGCGCTCCGAGGGGGGGTCGAAAGATGCCCTGCCAGAACCCCCCGTTAACAATACGAGCACGGCGTTGGTGCCTGCGGTCGAAGAGGTCGTCCCGATCATGTTCCTGGCGACGGAGCTGAGTCCCTTCGTGATCGTCTGCCTCAAAACCGCGCGGAAGTACAACCCGGAGGTGCCGATTTACATGGTGACGTCAGAGCACAGCGTGAAGCCGGACGGCCCGATGATCGACCTGCTCGGCATCCCGAACGTGCACGTCAAGGTCATCGAGCGGTATCTAGGCGCGGGGACCGATTCCGCGCTGTTCCACGAGCGGTACATCCACCAGAGCGTGACAGCTGTCCCGTTCGAGCGCTTCTGCTTCCAGCGGTTCATGGTGCTGCGGGACATCGCGAACGAGGAGGGCGTGCAGCGGTTCTTGCACATGGACTACGACATTGCGCTGTTTACGGACGCGCGGACGTTCAGTCAGTTTGACGCGGACCTGGTGGCGCTCAACACGCACTCCACATTCTTCTCGCTGTGGAAGATGCCGCTGCTGCAGGTGAACCAGCGGACGGACAACGGATTTGTTTTTCCTCTTGCGCTTATGTCCTTGAGAGGTCCCTGGTTCCCTATTTTGGGACATATGCGATTCGTCTTGCAAAACCGTCACGTTGTTGGAAATTTCCACTATTTCCGTGTTTTGTTTGATACTTGCCGTTTGTGCTTTGAGAAGGCCGTCAGTCGTCTGAGGATCTACTGTAGCGTCTTGCCGCTCACTTAAAGAAGGCGCAGCCCCCTTGGTACCAATTACCTTACTCCCCATGCCCTGTTGCTGTTACCTTACTCCCCGTGCCCTGTTGCTGCGTCTCGCTGTCTTCCACAACTTCGCGTCTATACTACTTCTTGAGTTTCAACTAAACAGTCCCCTCCTGCTCGAAGATGGGGCTTATCCGATCAGACTGGGCTTGCAGCGCATTCTCATTCCAACTTTTTGGAGGCATGAGCCCTCCGATGCTGCTGTTGCAGTTACTTGCTGCTTCGAGCACTCTTGCTCCTCTTCTGTCAAAGTGTGGGTTCGCCTCACCGAAACCTAAAGGTGGTCGTCCACTGAACAAGCTCTTTGACAACTTCCAGTCCCCTCTGCTCATGCACACGCCTTGTTGCATCTTTCTACTTTCATGGACGCCCGGTCTCGCTTGTCCAAGTGCAATTTCGAGACTTTCCAGATAGAGGTCACAACAGCGGATCTCATCAACCGGCCGTTCGTGAAATTAGACCGATCTTGTCAAGTAAATGCCAATTTCCTACAGCCAGGCGGATATGCAGTCAACCTGTTGAACGACTCATGTGCGGCAGACATGGGTGGCGGCAAGCGTGTGCCTTTTGTGTGTGTTTTGACGCTGGTTTTGTCGCTGAATTCGTTCAAGTCTTCTCTTGTGCGGGGATGCTGTATAGAATTCTATGCACAGCCTTATGCCTTGTTGTCCAACTCAAGTCCACGATTTTCTGTCAAAAGGACGCGTCTGATTCAGCGCAGCACTTCTGCTACTTCATGCCAGGGACATGCGGCCGAGCTCCCACTTCATCGTCAGGATTACACGTGCCTTTTCAGTGTCAATACTACACGTACTTACGCTTTCCCCCCCTGCCGTGCAGCGCTTCTGCGACTACATGCTCGAGTTCTACGTGCGGCCGCAGGCGGAGATTGCGTCAGACTGGGACCAGTACGGGGAGCACCTCAAGGGGGAGCAATTCAACGGGACGTTCATCCAGTTCAGCGACATGTTCATGCTCTACTCCTTCCTGGACAAGCACAAGGACTCCGTCACCACCAAGTTCCTCGTCTTCGACCAGGGCGACTTCACACCCGACTATCTCCAGGTGCGCAGACCGATGTTAATTTTCTCGTTCGGAGAATAGCAGTATAGAGCTTGAGGAGCAGTTTGCGTCGGGAATGGGTAAAGGTGACGGTAACTTATTGCAGCGACGATGAGGTCGCGGTTTGAGACGCCTGCTGCTTCGAAGAAGTCTTAAAAGCGAGTGCCAGTTTGCAGACGCTTTTACTTCTACTTTCTTTCGCTTTCTCTCAGATCCCGTCCGGTCTGAGAGAAAGCCGCATGGGGTTCATGGCCACAAACATGAACGAAGACAACGATTCGTTGAAGCATGTTTCGGTCGAAGATTGGTTCCAAGTCAACCCTGATTCACAAAGTTGTGTCCCCTCTTTCTCGGCGACCGAACATGTGTATGACCAAAAGCAGGCTCTTCGAGAATCTGAGATACAATTGGATGTTGAGCAATTTTACAGCTGTCATTGCCGATTACTGTAGAATGCAGATTGGCTCCAAACAACCGCTGAACTCTTTTGCAGTACTGGGCAATGGTTAACCTGCAAAACTTTATTGGCTGGGACTGCTTGCAAGACGACTTCAACAAGTACGTCAAGTGGGATCGAAACGAACGGGGAATGCTCGTCCCAATCGCCAATGGGACCATGTTACAAGGCATCCACTGGCAAGGGTTCATGTGCAAACAGATAGCGCCACTAATAATGGGCCCCATTTTGGAGGACGAGGGACAGGCAAAGCGCCTTCGATATCTTTAAAATCCGTTTGAAAAGTAGACTAAGGGTGTCACGTGTTTGACAAAAGTAAAAGTGTTCTGGGTGACGTTGTTGACCGTAGTCATAGCAGGTAGATTGAACGGCAGTCTTCAGACGAAGGATGCCGTTAAGGTCTTCAGTAGGATGACCGCTTGTTCTGAGACTGGATTTTTGACGGGACAAGGTAGTCCGTTACAGAAGCCGAATTTGGACACTGTAAATTAGCTCTTGCTTCACAAGGAAACATACTCCTCTCAGTCTGAGAGTTCAGATCGCCCTGATCCGCGAACGCGGTTCCTTGGTCCGGCCTGGCTGGTCACTGTCCCCTGCTAAGTTGGTCACGGGTCCTCTTTGTCCCGTCACGGTGCCAGTGACAATCACATAGCTCGCACCGCGTCACTTTCTTTCTTTGAGTCATGGAAGAATGGTTCTTATCTCACGATAGGCGCAGCATCCTTGATGCATGATCGTTAGGTATGCAAGCGATTGGATCAGAATGTAGTAAGCGTCTCCGCTTTACCTCTTCCATTCTGCATGCGTAACTTCGAAAGCCAACCTTCTACCTTGCAAGCTGTGCAGGCTACCTATTATAAGACCTTACTTATTGTGTGCTCATGCAATTCTGCTGGCATGCGGCCCCGGCCCGGTCGCGGCCGCGTCACAGTGTCGGACGTGATCGGCCGCGCATGGCTCTAAGGGTTTGGCCCTCTCCGTAATTGCCTATCAACCGTCAGATGCACCGTCCAGGCATCATCAAGGGTCCGTGCCAGAGCAATCCAAGCATGCGCGCATCTGCTCGCGCGCCAGGCTACGTGTCCCTGAGGAAAAGCATGACTTTCCTTCAATTCCAATCAATTGCTGTCCAGAGTTTTCCATCTGCTTTTGTCGGATGATCAGCGTCTTCTGATTGGACATGGCTGCCTCCAGCTGGTGCTGCACGCTGCCTGCCGCGAGCGTGCAAACATACAGTTTGCGTCGATCACTTGCAGATTGCGGCGCACCTTCAGCATCTTGCGCCGGATCTTCTTCTGCTCTGTTTCTTCGTTCCTTCAGCAACAAACGCTCGGAGTATTTTGGCGGCCAAGTTTTAAAAAAGTCCGTTTCTGCCGGTGTCAGCAGTGCTGCAAAGCAAGCGTGCAGAAAACCAGTGCGGCTCGTTGCTCAAGCGGTGACTGATAGGACCAGTTCTGAGGTGGCAGAGAAGAAAGGTGAACATCAGTCTGCGTTCCTTCTTTTTCAAAGGATGGAAAGCATCGTGATTTAACTTTCTGATGTCCTGCATGAAAGTCTGGTGTTAAGAACCATCTTTGCAAGCGAAACAAATAAGTTGTTTCTTTCTGCTTGCATGTGCTTCAGGTTAGTGGTTGTTGCCCAGGTTGCAATATCAACGAACGTGTGTGAAAATAGGCTTACTGTGCCTGAGATTGTTGGCTAGGAGACACATAGAACAATGAAAGTCTTCCTCAATTTCCGAGAGGGCGGTATCCTGTTTAGCCGACGTCTAGTTTTCTTAGATAAAATTACTGGCGATGCACCAGGGTCCACTTTCTTCTGCTTTCATTAAATCAGCGACGATAAACACTTTAAGATCACATTTACGTGGAGACATCAAACATCAAATCGTTGAGGTCCACTATTTTTGCTTGTATCTTTCCAGCGCAAAACTTACTACCACCAAAGGGGCCCCACGACATTGACCCCTTAAGAAGGAAGTAGCGTTCTGCAGAAAAGAGCAGGCGATTCTTTGAGCAATGCTGTCCCTCGCCGATTCGGCTTGCCAACTTCATCTCTTGAATCACAGTATTTCAATGAACTCTATAGAACTTTTCTTGGTGGTGCTGGCATTAATGCAGACCTCGCCGACCGAGTTAGCCGATGTTCGCTTGTGACTGGGGCCCTTTTTACTTGCATCCCAGTTGCTTTCTTCCAAAGTCCCTCTTCACCAAAATCATCCCCGCACCAGTCATTCCACCCTCTCAGATGACACCAGTATCTTGTCCCTAGGTGTATTTGGGGGCTTCTTTGACTGGCTGAAGAACCTCGGGACTGGCGGCGCCCCTGCTTCTGAGACTGCGTCCACGCAAGACGACATGTTCACCCCCAAAGCCTCCATCCTAGTTGTGGGGGCCACTGGCAAACTGGGGCGCCTCCTAGTTAAGGAGCTCTTAGATAGGAGCTATGAGGTGATCGCATTGGTGGCGAGCGAAGAAAGAGCAGAGGAGGTAAGTGAGTTTTGCAGATTTAGATCTTGGCGTTTGGGCTGAACTAGTTTAAGATTCATGGCCTGTTTTGAAGTTGGACTTGGAAGCGTTGGGGTGCACCTTGACAGGGGCTGATTCACGAGGATTTTGGAAGTATGGTAGTTGTGGCTCTTTTCTCGTATCGCATCAGAGGAGGTGATGAGGATTGAGGAGATTTATCAAGGCTTTGAAATCCTTAGCTTGGTATCAGAACCGCATTCAAAAGCAGCGTGATAATGTTTGTCACGAAGCTTGGCGATGATGCATCAGGGATACATGGGGACCTTTGTAGTCTTGGTCTGGGCCTCCTTTCTTTTCTTGGAGATGAGCCCAGTACAGTCAGCTTCGTTTAGCAACTCTAGGACCAAAGCACCGCTGAAGTTCGATCTTCAGCCTGGATTCATTGTTGGATACACTCAGGCCTTTGGCTAGGCTCCCCCTTTCCTTCTGCTCCGAACTTCTCAGAAGTATGGACTGCAAGAGAGGGTCTTCTCGCGGCTATTCTCTCTCACAATCACCATCTTATGCAATACTATACTGCTTGCCGTTGTGACTTTCAGACCATGAAGCTCTCTGGCTGGTTGATGATTCGATGGGTACTGCGAAATGCAGGAGGACTCTACTCAACGAGTATAAGTCTCACGTTCATGTTGAACAGGCCTATGTTGAATCTGATCAGTTCGTCGGGCTCAAACAGACCAAAAACCTCTTCCCAAAGTATCCATGCTCCTTATCCGTACCCACCCTCAACCCTCGAACCAACCCCACCCGTTGCCCGGGCGTGACGTAATTCAAAACGTAAGTGAATTTACTTTAATAAGTTTCATTTCTCTCTACGCCTGTGCTTGCAGGTGTTTGTAAAGGAGGGCGGTATGACAATGGGGCGCTCTGGGAACGGGCTCCTGACTGCCAAAGTTGGAACCTTGGACGATGTTGAGTCCTTGAAGGAAACCCTGAAGGGAGTGGATGCGGTGGTGTCGGCGGCAGGCTCCAGACGAGGCGGTTCCGAGGTATGTTGAGAAGTCATGGGTAATGAGACAAAGCTTATGTCAGCATTCAAGAGGTTTCTTCTTAACTTTCCGCGCATTTTGAGGGGAGCGTAGCGGCAAGATACGTTTTCGCCATCGAAGAAAAAGCCCGTCAAGTCTGGAAGGCAAGTTGCCCTTAATCCTCTAAACGCTTTCTCGTTGAGGACCTGTGTTGCATCTAAGAAGAAGCTCAAGAATGAAAGGCATAAAATCGAGGGTTGTGACACAGCGAAAGTGGACGGGAAAGACTCGAGAAGTGGAAGAGAATAGGGGGGAGATGCATGCGTGACCAGGCAAAAGCGACTGCGAAAGTGGAAAAGGGGGACCGTTGCTGAAGGCGAGAAATATAAAAATCTTGCATCCTTGCAGGAGGAGCTGACACGTGGCCTGGCCCAGTTGATGCGGACGTTTGCTGACCTGTCCGAGGGCCGGGAGGCGCAGCTGCGCGAGCAGGCCATCTTCGACTTCAGGGGGGCTCCCGCAGGGGATAACGGCGCCCCCCAGAACGGGGCCGCCCTTGAGGACTGGACCCGCCTGGATGACGTCATCATGGGCGGGATTTCAGACAGCAGCTTCAAGCAGGAGGGCGGTGAGGTGGAGGCTCTGTTTGTTTCCTTCATTTCTTTGACTGGTGCCATCAGTACGATTTTGATGACGTCATCATCGGCGGAATCCCAGAGAGCACCTTAAGCAGGAGGGCGGTGTGGTGGAGGCTCTGTTTCTTGCCGTCGTTTGATCGATTACTAACCCGAGCACGGTCTTGAAGATCATGGAACTTTTGAAATTTTCCGCCAAACGCCTGGGAGCTGTCTGCCTTCTTTCCACTAGAGGATGGCAGCAAGCCGTGTAGTATGTGATGAACGAATGCTTGTCACATTTGTGCATTTGCTTGTGTTTCAGGAAGTATCCTCTTCTTGTTCGTAACCCAGTTTGCAGATCGTTGAAGGCGTGACTCTGGTAACCTTCACGTGGTTAGACCAAACCTTTGTTGCGAGAGGTTTGCTTTCTTCCTTCATGCATCTGAGAGGACTGAATGACAACAGTAGTTCTTTTCCATATCTCGGGTCGAAGTTGGCAGGAAACTTTCTTAACGGCTTACTGTTTTGCAGGCCGGGCCATCTTCCAAGGTACCGTGAGGGTAGAGGGGGGCGGATTTGCCAGTCACAGGTAAGCTTTTGGTCGTATCAGGGGACCTAGGTCATGGCCGAAAGAACTGGAGTCTTTTGCTTGTCTTTTTGCTTGTCTTGACCTTTCCGAACATCTCATAGTCATTGGTTCTCCGCACAATTGGAAATCGTGTCAAATACAGCATCGTCGACCACCGAAGGTGCTTGATGCGCAACCAAACAAAAAGAACCAGTTGCGGTATTTCCTCTGGAGATGAGTCATTTGCGTGCCACCGATATTGCACCCTTGGACTGTTGCACTCTCTTTCGCTTCCCCTGATGTTCTGAGCTGGTGCGCAATGCAGGGCGGCGCTCCCTAAGACCGACCTCTCCGGCTTTGACGGCATCTCGCTGCGGGTGAAGGGGGACGGGAAGCGGTACAAGCTCAACATGAAGTCGACAGTAAGCGTCTCCTCACGCTCCCTTAATGCTTGTTTGTGGGGATGGCCAAGTTGCCCCTCGTTGTCGGGGCTAGTTTGTTAATAGTCAGAGCGCCGAAGGGGCAGAGCAATGTATCGCCAGGCCTCCACTTCATAAGTTTGTGCAATTCTCAAGGAACAGAGTAGTATAGCTGAAGCGACAGGCCTCCACTACATACGTTGCGCCGAATCCATTCAGCAGAGCAGCAAAGCTGAAGCTATACTAAATTCTGGACACGTGTCCAACAGGACAGGGTCATTACCCGAAGTTTCTTCAGCGGATGATCGGTGCGGAATCTCAAGTTAGATACTGCGGCAGCGGGATAAGCGGGACGCTGGCACCAGACGTTTTTCATGGCCTTGGTGTCCGAAAGTGTCGCCGAATCACTTACGATCTTTCTCATCCGAACCCGCAGGTTGAGGCCCCCGAGTTTACATACCAGGCTAGTTTCGACACCGTGCGAGGCCAGTGGGTCGACGTCAGCATCCCCTTTGACAGGTGAGCCTCTCAACCTCTAGTCCCATATCCTTCCTGTTGGTCAGTACTTACTGCGGACGTCACCCCCTCAGCGCTGAACGCTGATGGTGACATCAGTACACGCCAGCTGTTTCCACGGAGTCCTTTCCGGTAAAGAACGTCCGATGACGTATGCTGTATACCCTTTTGTCGAGAGTTGGATTTTCGGATCTGAAGGATCCTGGGGGTCAGAATTTTATGGTCTTTGTTTGGTCCCTGAGTGAGTCGTGGTCAGACAACAAAAGTGAGCTTTTAAAAGTAGAGAAGGCCCGGCTTGTCCATCCTCGAGCCCTTTTACGCGTTTAAATCAGCGTACTTCGGGGGCTTCACACAACGCTGGTCCACACCGTGCAGGTTCCGACCGGTTGTGCGTGCCCGCGTCGTAGAAGACGGGCCGAAGCTAGACACGAGCGACATCAAAACGGTGAGGCTGTTTTCTTGAAAGGCCCACCTCAACGGAGCGCTCTCTTTCATCGGGTCCCAAAGAATGTGGGTTCTGGGACACTCACAGATTGGAAAAAGGCGGTCGAAATCATGGCGCGGCAGTTCTACGAGCTTCCGTTGACTGTAGCGCCGTTACGAAACGCTTCTTCCACACAGAAACTTTGCTCGATTAGGCTGCTCACTCGCTCTGGTGTTTAGGCCGAGACGTCCGACCCTCCTCTGTGCTTTACAGAGCGGCTGAGCATGCCACGTGCCATCAAAAAGTCGGGGCTAACAATCCGTTATCCTGGGAGGGTGCTCGTTTTACCGGCGGCCTTACTGGCGACCACCGCTGCTCAGGCAGGAAGCAATATGCACTGATTCCCTGCACGGCATTTGCGTTTTGTGTTCCTGAGCAACTTGGAAGCTGTCCACGCTCTCGTCTGCAGATTAGCGTCGTCCTCAGCCGCTTCGAGTACGACGGCTTCCCCAACTACGTGTTCACACCGGGGCCCTTCAGACTGGAGGTAAACATTTTGCACGAACTGTGAATCGTCGCTTATTGGCCTCGGAGGTTTAAGGGCTGTGATCAGATTGTCGCACCGCTTTCTGGTCACTAAAAAATGGGTTTCGTTTAAGCCGCCAATATGTTCAAGAATGGGAACCGTATGCAGCACTGCTGTGAACCCGACACGAGACCTCCTCGCCAAAGACGCTAGCGTCAATGACGTCAATCAGCTGTTTTGCTGACACGTGGTTCACTGCGCTGCAGATCGAGCACATCAGTGCTTACAAGAAGCCCCGCCCCCAGTTTGTTCTGGTCAGCAGCGCAGCGGTGGAGCGAAGTAACCGGGCGAGGACACCCGAGCAAAGGGATCGGTCCATTCCCATTGTCAAACTCAACCCGGGTCAGTGGTCCTTCTTGTTCAATTTTGTTGTTACGTGCTCTAGGAGTGATTGGCGGGATCTTTAGGGGTGAAGAGTAGCTGAGTCCTGATGTATGCGGCGGCCGGAAGCAAGCTCAAAACATTCTCGTGTTGGAGGCTCCATCCAACATCCAATAGCTGTGAAGGATCGAGTGTTGACTCTTACTGGTGTCTTTATGCGTGTTGCGAAGCCGGCAGCCTTAGCTGGCACGCGGAGTGGACGCTGAAGTCTCTTCTAAGAAACGTTCTGTTGATATTCTGCCGTTTGTCGATTTGCGAATGCTGACACTCCTCACACAGGCGCTGATCCTAAAATGGCGAAGCCATTACTTTCTTTCTATTTCTGCATTTTGAAGTCAAAAGTCGTCTTTTTGCCGTAATATGAAATAGTCATGGGCCCCAGGTTTGTCGACACGTTTACTGTCGGTTTACTGTGCCGATCTCGCGGAGACCACTTTATTCCGGTTGTTCCGGTTGCATGCGTCGTCATCCTCCAGGAGACTTTCGGAAGGAAGACCACAATAACCACGACAATACGACTACTCAATACCTTGACGGGTTTCGCCGTCGCTCGAACCACGAGCCCTTCCCGCATCAGCAAAAAAAAGAAGATTGGTATCATTGGGCATCTGGTCGCCAAGCTCAACGTCGGATAGGACGACATACTCTTACTCTTAAGAAGAAAAATCTCACACGCCTGCTTCTGACGTTGGCAGGCGACATCCTGACGTGGAAGCTGGTCAGCGAGGACATCCTGAAGGCGAGCGGCTTGGCGTACGCGATTGTGAGGCCCTGTGGGCTGACGGAGGAGGACCAGGACACGCCCTTTGAACTGGAGGTGAGGCCTCTGACAGGGCCCGAACGCCCTCAGATGCCTAGAAGGAGAGTATGGAGCGCTGACCAATTGTAGTTGCTTATTTGGAGGTATTGTAAAAGAATCTCGAGTCCGTCGGAGGAGGGTGCAGTCAGAGTTTTACAGTAACCAACCAACCTCTAGGGCGGGGGGGAGGGGGTCAAATTCCCTCCTTCCCCACTGCACCCCCTCACCCCCAACATGCGAGCGCGCCCCTATCTAACCACAAAGAAAAACGCTTACTGGTAGGGAGGAGAGAATGTAATGTTTGGATGGGAAAGGCCTTGAGACAGTTCAGTGCACTACTCCGAAGCAGTCAGAGCGGGGTCAAGGAGATCAGCAATCTGGGGACCGGGTCGGGGATACCTGTTGGAAGGGATGACGTGGCGGGGTTAATGGTTCTGACCGGGGGCTCTTCGATCAGCGATTGATCGAAAGAAGCTCCGTCCCTAAACCCCGTCTCGTCATCGCTTCCAACAGCATCCCCAGCCTCGGTCCCCGAATTTCTGATGTCCTGATCCCCGCTCAGTCCCGGGTTGTCACTGGGCTAAGGCGAAGAGCTGGGGCGGCTGGAGCACCGGTAAGACCAGCCGCTCATCGCATCAGAAGCATACCAAGGCTGCAAGGGCTCAACCAGCTTCTTCTGGTGCGATCGCAGGTCGCCCAAGGCGACGCCATCACGGGAAAAGTGTCGCGAGCTGAGGCGGCGCGTGTGGTTGCGGCGACACTGGACTCGGCTGACACTGTTTACACCACCTTTGAGGTGGGTTATGGCTGGACCCCGTTCTCAGGCTGACAAGCTGAAGCAGTGTCATTGCTCAAGCGCCCTGATTGCGTGTGATGGCGAAGCAAGGCAGATCTCATGTAGGCCCTCGGTGGGTGTGTGACCGATGAGAGTGTAGATTGCAGAATTTCCGCGACAGCAGTAGTGGATTGGAAAAAAATCAGAATGCCACGCTTCCTGCAATCGATGTTGAACGGCTTTCGTGAGAGAAGCTTGCATGCTGGCTCAAAAGCGACGTACGGTCATTCATAACTCTTTTCTTTTGCTCTGTCTTCGAACCCTCCGGCAACTTTGGCCGTGCTTGTTCCGAGCAGTTTGCGAGCCTTCGTCTCCCCTGTCAACAACCTCCACAATATACTCAATCTGGATCCTGCTTCCAGGTCCGACGAGACGCGCTTACAAAAGGCTTTGACACCACGGACTGGGTGGGCCTTTTCCGGCGACTCCGGCCCGACGTCCTGCCCGGCATCGTCGCCTTCACGCCCCCCCCCAAGCCGACCGAGGACAAGGAGGACCCCGACGCTAAGAAAGCCGCCGAGGTGGCTAAAGCTCTCAAGCAGCAGGTTGAAGGAGCAAAGGCGGCTGTTTCCTAGAAGGGAGTCGATACGCTTATCTTCTGTGAGGATTGCATAAGTGTTGCATACCTAAGCTCCGATGCACAGCCCATAGATTCGGGGCTAGAGATTTTGCCGTTTCCGAGTTGTGCCTACTTAGAGGCCGCTATAATTGTCTTGATATGCACGTTGAGGTCTTGCTGAGGACGGTCTAGAAAGGGTGGTCGGAGGCAGTATGACTGCGTTCTAGAGACAATCAGACCGGTAGCTTCTCCCGAGCAGTGCAGCAGGCACGCTCAGAGCAGGGGCGGCGGTCGGACAGTACGGCCGGGCGGGTCAGTTGTTGTAGGCGCATCCGCGCGTTGGTCGTGACTTGTTATAGAGTTGCGGTCTTGGCCTCGCCAAGCAGCCATACGGGTATGCATAGAAAGTAGATTTAGCTGAACTTTCAAAATAATACTCTTTTACGGATAAAACATGTTTCCAGAACCTGGCAAGCTCGTGAATTACTTCACTTGGCATATGCGAAGCGGGTCATTTCGCCGGAGCGCTTGCATGCCTCACGGTAACGTGGCCGGTACTTGAAGCTTTGGGCGGTGGCAGTATGCAAGGAGCTCTATAGCTCTTTCATCGTCAATTCGGACAACCGCAATCGAACGAAAGGTATACTGTAATCGTCATGCACGTGCCAGCTAGGTCGTCCTCGACAACTCCGAGTCCGCGCCCTGGTGCGCTCAGCGCTGCAGCAGTTCCATGTGGCTTCCACGCGCGTCTTTGTGACATGATTGGACTAAATAAGAATCACCATCCGTTTGTAATCAGCATCACATGTGTTCCTACATGACAATAAGGCCACTGAGCTTATACTTCCGTGGCCGAGCAAAAAGAACCGATCGAAACGGTAGTAGCAACCGCACAGAACATCTCTGTTTATAAAGGACTATCGGGACGTACGAGTTCTGGCTGTAGAACGCCGTTTTGTCCCTGATCCCACCATATCTGGTGTGGGCCGGTCAATGAACAGGCGATGCATCGTCGAATGGATCGGACGGTCCAGAAGCGATCTCTAAAAGGTGCTCTTGCTGGCAATTCTGAAAGCGTGTAATCAATTGTGTGGATCAGAGTCATGCTGCCACAGCTGCAATAGCTAAGTTCTAATTTCGGTCATATCACAGGTCCTTCGTAGGTGTATCCGGATTCTTTTAGGGAGGAAACGTGCATTTGGTTTGCAAAGGGCAGCTTCCACCCATAATAATCCCCTTTTATTTCCAAGTTTCTCTGCTCTAGGAAGTATTGATCACGGTCACATCACAGAGCCTTTTTGAGACCAACGAGAAGGGCGCTCTAATCGAGAAACTTCTGATCTCCCTATTTACGAGGCTTCCAAAAGCACCTTTTCTCTAGTAGGCGACAACTGCGATCGCCGACGCATAGAGGTGGCCTTCGCGTCGATCAGGCCCATCAAAAAGAAAACGAGGTCGTATAAACCCAGCTGAATCGACGAGATCCTTTACGAGCAGCACGTTCGCTCGGAGTTCGCTGGCTGATAGCAGAGACCCTTCTTATGTGGTCGTTGTCATTTCCTGCCGAGCTAGACTTATATATACCAGGGATTGGCTGTCATTGAGTGCACCTCTTTGATATGATCGGCCCCCGTTATTTACGGCTCACTGTGACCGTTTCGATGACCCCGAGGAGAAAAAAAAATCTGCGCGAGTCACGTCATGTCGCGCACGAAAGTCATCTGTCGTACTCATTCCTCTCACCTTCGTTCCATCATGAATCTCCCAATTCTTCGGGGACCTGATTGCCGAGATGAAATTCATGATGTGACGGAAGCCCTTTTCTTTGCGAAGCTATTGGATCTGCCAGGAAGGGATTTCGCGAGCAAGAAAGGGGCGCCTCAGAACCTTACTGAAAGCGATCAAATCTCAAAAGCGCACATTCTGCCAAGCGGAGCTCAGGGCTCGGTTCTAAGAGAGGTGGGCTAGTAGAAAGCGTCCAGGTGGGTCAAATTGGGTCACAGTGTCTGCGGGGCGCACAATCCTCAGTTGTGTGCAGAATCTGGTTGACATGTCCTGGTATTAGTTGGAAGAGCGTGCAGCTAAGATATTTCGGTGACCGTAAGGTATCGTTGATCTTCAATCACAAAGGGAGCTTTTAAGATCCTAGAGAGGAGTTCTAAAGCTGATACGAGTGAATGGATCGAAACTTAATAAACTATAACTTGAAGACAATCTGAATTCATTCTAGACAAAAGCTGTAGACCACATTCATGCTCTTGCTCTGTGCCGGGCGATCAAGTAGCAGCAAACAATCTGACTATGACCGGGATGCTTCTAAACAGCCCAGTCCAAGAATTCTGACTCTTCCTTCATCCTTTGAGTCTGCCAAGGGGGATCTGGGACAGCTATGCATCCCGGATTCAGAGGTGGCTTCAAACCTAGGCCGTAACTTCCCAGTTTTGTAATACGCGGGTCAACAGACGCCTAGGCTTCTTCCGCTTTCTGTCGATTCCGGCAGCGGATGTCCTAGATCCTGCAGGTTGCCTTCGTATGTTTTTGGAATGTTGTGAAACGCCTGCGGGGAAGAGCAGTTTCTAAACACCGCCGATGGGGTCCGCTCTGAAATCAAACGGAGAGCAGACCGGTGGGAGGTTGCTGGAGTCCGGAGCTAGGGGGGCTGATATGCCGGTGAAATTGAGCCCCCCGAATGAGATTCCAGCCCAGGAGGAGAAGCCCGGGTCGCCGGAAAGGGTCTCGTTCAAGAAGAAGGTTGAAGAGTGGGAGCGGCGGCTTGGTGCTAGAAAGGGGCTTGTAGCATCTGGCGCAGGGTTTGCAGTAACCAACGAGCGGTTGACAGAAGAGGTGGTGTCAAACGGGCGCGGTGAGGCCGCACGGAAGGATTTTGACACCGGACTTGACGATAAGGAGACGACCGCTCAGCGGACAACTGGTGTCTCTGATACTAGAGGGTTGTACCCAACTAATGACGTTTCGGCGTCAGAGGAAGAAGAAGGGTTTTCCGGCGTCGCTCCTTCTGCACTAGATACAGCAGAGAGTCCCGTAGAGAAGGATGTGACTCTTGCAGAAGTCCTCGGGACTGAAAACGCTCTGCCAGAAGCAAGTCGCAACAGGAGTGAAGAAGTAAGTGGATGGGTTGAGGAGCGGCAACAGATTCGGGAAGATGGGGGAGATCCGGTTCCGCTTAACGGAACGTGGAAGGATAAGAGCGGAAGAGCGGAAGAAGCGAAGAAGGCTGCGGATAGTAGCATTTCAACTCTCAGAGGGGGGGCGTTGTGGAAACCAAACCCGGCGATGCACAGCGACCTGACTGTGCAGGTAAGCGTGGGGATACCGCGCTACACTTTTCTTTAAAAACCCTTCATGGCTTTCAATCAATAAGGGCTTTTCAAACAGTCTCTTCATGGGTATCTGCCGGTAAAGGCGAAACATGACGGCGAGTTGCTCTATATTCAATGAGAGTTTTTTCCAACATTGACTCTGCTTTCGGAAGGTAAAATCGATCAAAAACAGGTCCCACAAAGCTCTGACGCACGTCAGAAACGGAGGCTCAGGCGAAGCTGTCTGCGTACGAGACTGATCTCCAAGGCAGGATTCTTTCTTTATCTACTCCCCCACAATATCACCATGTTCGACTAAGGACGGCACCGCTCTCGGAACGTGATCTCGTAGACGTCATCAATCAGCGGATCGCAAAGTACTGATTGATCGTACAAGTATCTGCCATCTTGCCCGGTACGCTTAGCGTGTTCCTTTCCTACCGCAGGTCGAGAGTGCCTCCTTCCAGCTTCACAAGTCCGCGATGTGCGCGCGCAGCGGCCTGCTGGCAAGGCTGACGTCAGGGCGGCCCCATGTGGAGCGGACACGTGTCACGCTCGCGGACCTGCCAGGGGGCGAGAAGACGTAAGCACATTCCGCATTATATGAAATTCATCCAGGTGTGTCATTCACAACCCAAGAGGGAATTCTTTGCGCAATCTCTTACAAGCCAAGGCCGACGCAATGAGTTTGATAACGGCGTTGTGTAGCGAAACAGTCGTGAACGACCAATGCTTTTGATAACCGCAGATTGAAGTCTGCAGAGTGATCAAAGATGGCGTCACAAATTGTCCCTCAGCACGTCTTCAGCCTGTCGTTCCTCGTTCTACGATGCGCAGATATATTCCCAAACATCACTTACCAAAACGTGATGATGTCAAGAAGCATCTCCATGACTTACAACGTCAGTACTTCATTCCAGACCTCTCCCTTGTTCCCAGCTTCGAGCTGGTGGTCCGCTTCTGCTACGGCGAGCGCCTGCACATGTCCTCGGGGAACATCGCCGGGCTGCGCCAGTGTGTCGACGACCCAACTCACCATTGAAAGCCCAGATTCGTACGAGTCTGTTTGCAACGCGTCGATTCAGTCCGTCACTCTAAAATGTTTTCCAACCCGCCCTTGTTCCGCAGCTTCGAACTGGTTGTGCGCTTTTGCTACGGCGAGCGCCTCCACATGTCTCCGGGGAACATCGCCGGGCTGCGCTACGCGGCCGCGTACCTGGAGATGACCGAAGAGTTCAGCCCCCCCGGCCACCTCAATCTGCTCACGCTCACGGAAGCGTTTTTGGACGCCGTCGCGCTGCGGACCATGGCTGACGCGCTGCGCGTCCTGCTGGGCTGCCAGGTGGGAGAAATAGTCGCTTTGAGGATCCAGGGTTCTGGGCATAAGTGGTTTCAAGTCGAACAGTGTTGAGGGCGTCACTCCATAGAGGTATCAGTAAAGCTGCAGGGACCACATGGCAAGGAGTCGGGTACTTTTAGTCGCTAAACGCAGTGCCACGTAATCAGATTCTCCAGGCTTTTCCGCGCGGAGACCGCCGCGAAACCACGCAGGTACAAGGTCCTGCTCAGCCGCGAAATGCAATTGCAAAGCGTCAGATATCTTGCGTCTACGGCCGGTTCTCATTTTTAGCTTTGCACGAATCTTGGCGCCTATTTTACTTGTATTACGGGTCCAAGTAGCAACGGATGAGCGGCAAAGGTGCTGAACGTTGACTGGTTTATGATGGTGGATCGCGTCCATTTTGAAGTTGTGCCTTCAGCTTGATCCAGCTTTTGCTGGACCAAGAGCGCCAAAAATCGTTTGCACAGTTCGAAACGTGAATCGAACAAATCTGTTCACGCAAAAACTCGCAACGAAAGAGGAAGGACGAATGTAGCACGACAACCGGTTGCAACAGACTCGAGTGGTTTTCCAATCTTCCAGGCGCTCGGAGAGCCCGCGGAAGCGTGCGACCTGCCGGGCCGCGCGATGGAAGCGATCGCCGCGCACGTCGCGCGGTTCGGCGTCGAGCACCATTCCCGGGCGCTCCGGCGACAGGACGCCCCTGCGACTGAGCCCGAAGCCGCCCCTCCAACCACGCTTGACGCCCCAGCTTCTGATGAACTGCCCAGTGCGGATCTCCGACCGCCTATCCAAACCCCCCCGGTCAATACTCTGAGAGAAAAGTGGGTCAGACAGCTGGCGAAGTTGGAGGCCGGTACGTTCGCCAGATTGCTGACGAAGCTCGAGAACTGGGCGGTGGACTACCGCTTGGTGGGGGCGCTGATCGTCCTCTACGGACAGAAGGCGCTCCCCGAGCTTTTCTGGCCGGAGAGCCATTTCACATCAGAGGAAAGGGCGACCACTCTACAGAGATATCAACCTATAGTGTCGCCCTACGATCTCTCGGCCGATTCGGACGTGCCAGGGACGTTTGAAACGCCGTTGCTGCAAGGAGAAGAGGGCGATTTTGGCAGGGACCGTACCGCGCAGGAGTACGCGCAGGCGCGGGGTTTGGAGGTTTTGGTCGCCTGCCTGCCCGAGCCGCTGGACGCGATCGGGCCGCGCCCCGCGTGCGCGCTCCTCGCGGCCGCGCGTCGCCTGTCGGCCCCATTCGCGCTCCAAGACGAACTAGAGGAGCGGATCAGCGCGCAGCTGGCGCTTGTCTCGGCCGAGGACCTGATTCTAGTTTCGCGCCCGGGGGAGATCGGCAGCGAGACGGATGTAGAATGGGTGCTCCGGATGGTGGCGGCGTTCCTGGAGGGCGCGGCTTGGCGAGCGCGCGTGGCGCGCGCGGGCGCCTTTGCGGGAGTGGATACGGGCGAGTCTCAGCCTCCAGAAGAAAAGCGTGGAGAGAAGGACTCGCAGGAAGCGGTCGAGACCCAAATGGTGATTGATGCTGACGTCATTCAAACGCTTGATCATGTCAGCAGGAGAGTCTCGGAAGGGGATGCCACGGCAAAGGCCGCGAGCGATGTCGGAGAGGACGTTCCGGCCGTTGCGAGCGGAGCGACGGAAAGCGCGCCGGATGAGAAGCCCTCGGCGCCGGGGGGCAAGAAGAACGCCGCGAAGAGACCCCCCTGGGTGTGGGCGAGTCTCCAGACGCGTAGGCGGCCGAACGTGGCGTCACTCTCGCCGGAGAAGTGCGAGAGCCCGCCGATCGCTGACGTCACCAAGCGCCGGGGACGGGCCTGGCGGTTTCGCGGGCGTAAGGCAGGTGGGTTCGACGTCGAAAACTCGACGGCGGGAAGCAAGGAGGCCAAAAGCAGCGAGATCGAAACTTCGGGCGCGGCAGTGGAGCAGCAGCTCGACTGGGGACTGCTCAAAGGAGCTTCGCCTCATATTCTGCTGGCGGAAAGCAGCCTTTCCGGCGGAATCAGCCAGCCTTCTACAGAGCCCAGATCAGAGAAGAGCGCGCCGGAGTCGAGCAGCGTTGAAGAAGGGTCGACGGAGTTTGCGGAGGCGCAATCAGGCGACCACCTGAGTGCGTCGGCTGCCCCAAAGGTCGCCGGCAAAGTCTGGTATAAGGAGCCGGCGGAAACCTACAGGGGGCTTCAGCGCTATCCCCGGCTTACTGACGAAGACGAATCGGAGGAGCTTTACGTTCAAGCAATATCAGGGGAGTCTGACACCGCGACCGGAACCCAGCCCGAGGGGAAAGCCGGCTTCACCGCTTTCTCAGAAGATCACCCCGAGACTGAGTGGGTCGATAACGGCGGTGAAAATAATGTCGCGGTGCCAAGATTGGCGCCTTTCATTCTTCCGGAGAGCTCTCCCCCTAGATACAGCATCCCGCTCACCTCCATCCAGCTCCCGCGCGCGGGCCCCGGCGCGGCCGCGAGGGAGATTTTGGAGGGTTTGGAGGCGGCCGCGGCGCCGAGCCGATCGGAGTTAATGGCTCTGAGCGCGATTCTGGACGAGTACCTGAGAACGGTTGCAGAGGATCCGGAACTAGATGTGGATGCGTTCTGCGCGCTCGCGACGTGCCTTCCCGGCGACGCTCGCCCGGAGGACGACGGGCTGTACGTCGCCCTGGTCACGTTTCTGACGGTGAGTCCGACCGGAAGCATTGCTGCATAATAGATCTTTTCTTCCCGGCAATGAATCGAAAACTTTCTGAAGGCCGCGGAGCTGAAATGAGGTCAAGAGTTTGTTGAACGTGGGAAGGAACGAGTGCGTTCAGAAGCTCATCAGCACCTTCTAAGGATCGTGTCCTAGTCGAACCGTTGCTTGTCTGATTGCGTCGAGCTCCTTTTCTCACTTGGTAGGTCCGAACATTCGCTCAGGGCTCTAGCATACGAAACAAAAACAAAGGTTTGCAACGAATTGAAGAGGTCTTACACACGTCCTGCACGTGGGTCTTCAGATTTAAGACCATTCGCGGATCGGTCAACAATCCAAAAGCATTTCAAGCACCCCCGCAGGCGCAGAAAGATCTTCACGTCTCTTCCTCTCCTTCTGAATCCAGAAACCAAACGCTTTTTCCCCCTCTCCCAGGCCCATCCCACCCTCTCGCAGCGCGACGAGTTTCTGCTCTGCCGCTGCGTGGATTGGGCCAAGCTGTCCGAGGCCGCGCGCGAGGACGCGGCCGCGATTGACGTCATCCCCGACCACGCGCGCATGAAGGTCAACCCTCACCCTGATGCCTTGGGATTTAAAAAGAATATTGCACGCGCCATCTTGATCTGCGAAAGCGGCTCTTTGAACATTGGCTCTGGTGGAGAAGGAAAAACTCCCACGAACTTGTGTAACCAGCTTTGCTTGTTCCGTGCAGTGTAGGTTGCGACATGCGGAACAAACTTAGAGTGACAACGGTTGCAACAATCATTGTGTGAAATAAGAATCCAAACGCATACTTCCTTACGAGCGCAGGTGCTTGTCATCGAGAAACGGAACTTGAAGGAGAAGCTTCTGCGCGCGCTTGCCACGGGGTCGGCGGAGGGGAACCCAAGCGAGCCACGTCTCAAGATTTGGGAGCAATCAGATGAGGTGACCAAAGGGTGTCATCTGCGCTGCAAACCAGTCTACCCAAGCTTGTGCTGGCATCAGCCGCGCAAACATTCCGGTTCTCAAGACGTCCTCAAAGCACGTGAATGATGTATCTGGTTGTCTTGGGGTGACTTTACCTGCTTTGAACAGGGCGTAGACCGACGTTAAAGAGATCCGGAGTCGTAAAATTTTTGCATGTGGAAAGCCATTGCAAAACTGGAGAATTGTAAGCGTTACGTAAACACCTTTGTCTTTCGTCTCTTTGCACCTTTTCAGTGTCCAAGTAGCCGTTTGAGAATTCTAACTCTTCACGATCGCCGCTTCGATCGTTGTCTATGGCTTGCCTTGAACCCTCAATATATTTAAGATGACACTGTTCCCGCCCCCCTCCCAGCTGCGCTTCTTGGATCTGCGAACTGCGGCGGCTGAGGCCTTGTACAACGACATGAATCCATCCCTTTTGGCCATTCAGGCAAGCACCGATGCTGCCTTCTCAAGCCTTGCCGCTCTTAGAAAGATGCTCTTGACTGGTTGCACAGAGAGAGCGCAGCCGGAAGAAGGACTTATCTCTTCAAAACATCTGTGAAATGTAGTTTCTTCTCGATCAAGATTTACCAGCCATGGCCAGGCGGGAGTACAAAATCGATGTCCACCGGACATGAGGCATTGAATATACAGAGTCTCAGCCAATCTGTTAGGAGCCTTTCGCAGCTTCAAACCGACACGAGACGCTTGTCTTTGAACACGTGGGTTCAGGGTTTGGCCGCGGCGACAGAAGCGGCGGGCGGCCCCGGGCTGCGCGTCGTCAAAGAGTGCGCGGAGCTGAAGCGCGAGCACCAGCGCCTCGCGATCGAGGTGAGAAATGCCGCGCCCCTGTTCTGCTCGTCTAGTCTAGTAGATAGTAGGTAGTATAGTCTCTCATCATTCGTGTATGTGCCTTCAAGACCGCTTTTCGGCTCAAGAATATCATTCTCCATGTGTGCCGCATTTGTATGGTGATTCCCTTTATCGGGGCGCATTTCTGGGCTCTGCGCTTTCCCATGGGTTTGGCTTTCTTGTCACCTCTATCAGGCACAGCAAAGTCTCCGAAAAAGGGAAACGCATCGCGATTTTTTCAACGTTTTTCAATGAGATAGAAAGCCTGCGGTGGCCGAGACCGCCCCGACTGTGACGTTCGTTCCGTTCCACTAAGGTTGTCTCTCCTTTCTCTTTTCTGCAGGGGGCACTGGTGAAGATGCGGCTCGCGGAACTAGAGCGAGATCATTTTGAGCTCATTCAGGAACGGAGCCAACGGCTCGGCGGCTTCTTGGGCTGCTTCGGGTGTACGCGCAGGTCGGCTGATGTCAGCAAGTTGGACGAAGAATAACGGCTGCGGGCGCAAGCAAGCGCCCTAGATAGCTGGCTGTAGCTTAATAGGAAGATATGTGCACTTAGGCAATGTGAGGGTTTCTGATCATACATGGATTTGCAAACTTGTCTTAGACAGCGAATTGGCATTCAACAGACTTCCCAAAAACCAGAAACCTGCCGTAGACGCGTTGTTTCAATTGTTTGGCTAGCTAGTCACCGCGGTTTTCAAGATTAACGGCAAGTTGGACTGCCCATCATTTTCAATACTAGGCATTCACATACATTCCATTATCGGAGTAATGATGATGTTCTGCGCAAAACTTATCTCAAGTTAATGGTAAAACTCTGGTGGTCTCATCCTTTCTGTCGAAGAGCTAGATCAATCAGCCTTATTAGTTCACCATCTTGCAATACTTTCAATCATGCATGCAATTGAATTCCTCCTTCAACCGACGTATCTGAGACTCACTTTCAAACGGGTGCCTGCAAGCAACATGTTGATTGCACATTACCAACGAGGTTCGCCATGCCAGTACATGATGCAAGATTTTTGGATTTCATAACGGGGAGCGTTAAAACGACTTTCCATAACCAGAGTTGCATTGGCACTCTTTGAAGTATACGCACGATGCACTATGGAACGGAGACGGTGCCCAGACGGTGCGCCCCAGGGTACTCGCGCCAGCCTGGCCGGGGCGCCTAAGCGCGGACGCGGCCGCGCGTCTGCACGGGAGCGCGCGCGCGAGGCCGCGCTTGACAGCGCTTGAAGCTGCTGCATGGGTCTCGACGAGCCAGATTCAGTGGAAGCTGAAAGCTCGGAAAAGGCATTTCGAAGGATGACGATGCGCGCTTTGTCACGAGGCTACATTGGGCACTCTTAACATGTTGTGCTCTTGAATTCAGAGCGACACAGACAAATGTATTGGACGAACGAAAGTGGAACTTGGTATTTGAAGGTGTTAGAGACGAATCAGGCTCACTTTATGGTTTTAAAAGACCACCACCTCCAAAGGCGCTCGGCGCGCGAGTTTCTAATGCATCTGATCTCCTGCGACGGAACCATCTTCTTTGCTTCGTGGCTTAAGCACCTCTCCCTGATTTGCCTATAAACTCACGCATTGCCAGAACTCTGCGCAAGCAGTCAGGAGCCACCAGAAGAGGCATTCCAACGGCATTCTTCCAAGCAGAGATGGCGTCCCAGGAGCGCTTTGCGAGTGGCTCCGGAAGCTACCAGAGCGCGCGCACGAAGGGCAAGACCATCACGGTGATTGCCGCTGAGGACGAGGTCATGCAGGCGGTTGTGGAAGAGGGAGGGGTGAGCTGGCCCAATCATATGCTGACACGTGTTATTTGTCTCTGAGAATAATGTAGCCCCTCTCTTTCTCCTCGGTGCCCACCTTCCTCCGCCTGCATTGTCCACAGGTAGCTGCTCTGCTTGACTGCTCATTATTGGTGGAACTCTTACAGCTTCATTTCCTGTCTGAGCTTCCAGGCTGTGCGTTCGTGTTTGCATGCCCCAGTAATGGAAGATAGATGCTGGTGCTCTGTGCGGCAATCCGAGTCCTTGTTGAGAGACAGTGGAATCTGAGACTAAGATTTGGTTTCAGACAGAATAAGGAGGCATAATCCCATGTGATGGCAAGATCCAAATCTAGCAGCCATTTTGCTCGATAGGCATAGCAAAAGTCCTATTATCCTCTCATCCAACAAAGAACCTTCACACTATGGAAGGGTGTGTTTTTGTAATTCTATGTGGGTTTCGTAGCACACTGGACTCCAGCAAAACAAAATAACCTTTCCCCGCCAGAACCCTATGACGATACTCCATCCACTGCATCGAGACTGAGACTCCACATTTTCATCCTGTCTCCGCTTTTCGAAATCTAGCAGAAAGTGGAGACAGAAGACCGGGTTGATTGGGCTCGTCTCTCAGAGGTGTTTTTCTTTCAGATGCAAAGCGAGGACTTCCAAGGGGAAAAGATGCAGGAGATCCAGGCCCTCGCGGTGGAGTATGAGACAGCGGAGATCCTGAAGGTAAGATATATTCGATCGGTTGACCAAATTCAGTCCGAGCTCTTTGACGGGCTTGGGGCAGTCCCTCAAGGAGACGAGGCACGACTTCTAACAGCGGTGTCTCACCGTGACGTGAATTAATTAGGAACTGCGTCAGTACGAAAGCAGCTGGAATACTCTCGGAAGCAACAGGAATCCTGTAATAGGTTGTCGAAGCAGAATCGAGTCAACTCGTTCGCTCAGGATCTCGAAGAGACCAATTCCGAGTGGCCCACGGCACTCGGAGTTTCTCCGGACTTCAACGACGCACTCTCAGCTTTTGAGCGTGCATCATATGACAGCCCGCAGTTGCATTTCAATCATGATGTATTCTGCCTTGGTTGCAAAATCGAATCGTCTTCTTCCAACCACCCCCGTCGTTCGGATGCAGAATTGGGCGTCTTTTTTAGTTTTGTTCTTGGGTTTCAAGGCAACAGCCCTTCTTACTCGCTTCGCCCCCACAAAACCAGAACTGACTTGCACCCGTTCTGGCATTCGGTTGTGACGCAGGCGGAAGCGACCCTGCGGAATCTGTACGCGGAAGCCGTCGCGCGCGAGCGCGAGGCGCAGATCGAGGCCGCGGAAGAGGAGACGCGCGTGCTGGAGGAGGTCGAGCGGATGATCAACGAGGTCAGACGCCACGTGGCACAAGCGCAACCTTGCGGAGCTGTCATTCGTGGTTCTTCAAATCTTTTGTGCTTAAAGAAGCCATGATGAAGAGCCCTTTCGCCCTCGTGGTTTTCGAATGGCCTTTTGGTCCTGCAAATGCCGACATGTTATTCGAGTCCAAGTAGGAACTGGTCTGAGCACATTGACTCTGGTGGGTCAAGCGCCATCATTTGCGGTTTCCGATCTATCGCGTCGGTAAATTTTCCGTGGTCGTACCCCGCTTTTATAAGCAGCCCGCATGTATCATGGGTGAGCGGACCAATGCGCGAAAGGAGAAAGTCCAGAACAATCTGGAGACGCACGGATCCCTCCTAGGGGAGATTTGATTTCACAAGTGCGGTCTCATCTGTTCAGGCGCGCGAGAAGAAGGTGGATTTCCAGCGGCGCACGCACGAAGAGGCCAAGGAGAAAGTGCGCGAGGCGCAGGCAACCCGCGAGAGGGAAATCGCCGCGGGTAAGACGCCCGCGGAACTGTCCTCTTTCATATGCTGCGACTGCGCCGGAGTTACTCATCATTCTGACACGTGGTTTCGTTTACGAGGGGTCGAAGCCAGCCGGCGCTTAATTGAAGGAGAAGGAAAGGGATGAAGTGGAGAAGTACAAGGTTCGTCATTTGGGCCGCCAGACTTTGGGAGTCCGGTCCGCTTTTCATACTTCATTTTCAGACTCACCTTGCCGACCGACCGCCTTCGCAGACCAGCTTTGCTTCAAATCTGACTGTCTTAATGCAGAGCGCGTCTGACGAGACAGCGATCTTAAACGCAGACCCAAAAGCTGGAAACCTTTTGCTGAGCGGATTGTCTGTGCGCGCTCACCTTGCAGCTCAGCGGCGGGCGAACGAGCTGGTGTCGAGCGTCCTCAAAAACCGGCCCCTCATCTGGGAGGAGCCGCCGACTATGCAAGAACAGGCGTCGGACCAGCCGAGCCCACGTTCGGGGGCGTAACGATCGGCTTAATAACAGAAAATCGCTTTAATTGTCATGGAAAAGTTAAGGCTAGAAACTTGTTGCTGCTCTTGAGTAGCTGTCGGCATGGGCGCCCGGCCTTCCATGTATGTATTACGTTGAAAGAAGTTGAAACTTCTCGGGCAGAGAAGATCATTGAGCCCCGCCAATATGCTCAATATGCTTTGCCACTTCTCGAGCGAAATGAAGATTGGGAAATAGCGTAACGGTTGTTGCCGATACTGACATCACACAATTTCAGCTTGATTCACTGAAGTTTGCCGAGGTCTGATTACCTCCGCTGTCCTTGTATCATGTTTAGCTATATTCTGCCCTGCAGATAAGAGACGGCAGAAAGTTTCATTTGACTATGGCAAGCAGTATGCCTGCGATCGTGGAAAGCACACGTGTGTTCATCCAGTCTTGATGATCTCGACACTGAGTATACCCAAATGCCTGCATCATGCATTCTCATCGAATAACATGGAAGCCTGTCATTATTCAACCATGCAGCCAGTGGATCAAGATTCAACAATCAAACCAATAGAATCATCGTTAGGGGACTTTAGCACTTGTTGATGCGGATGTCAATGTGGATCATCAGCACATCAGCACATTAGCAACGACAAGATGCACTAGTCTTTAGCAATTGCACAAACATGAAAAGGCAAGACTCAGAAGCGCAAGAACATTCTAGCCGTGCAATTTGGCCCGGCGTACTGCTACCAAAAGTGACAGCGGTACGTACTGTCAGTTGTATGGCTTCAAAGTGTGCGACTGCCTATATCAAGTGCACTTTTGGCCGTACTCAAAGCTGCTGCTTCGTATTTCATAAAAGCAGCCCAGTCTTCTTTTAACACCCATTGCAATTTCCGCGGAATTTCTGCACGCCACTTGATTGTACTCATGACTAGACGTCTGTGCGTCGAACTTATTATGTAGATATTTGCAATGATCCTCATCTGTTGTTTTTGACTCGCTTTCCCTTCTCGCCTTTACTACTTGCCCCCTGCCTTGCTATTTTGCACTCTGTTTTGTGGCCGTTTTTCCAATGGACCATCTGCAAACAGAAAAGAATGATTCAGAGAAGCATTGAGCAATGCATAGGCATTTCCCCATGACTATCAAACATAGGGCTGGCCAATAATTACGAACAACACGTCGAATCATCGAGACTCTCATACTTCGAGGTCCTTCTGATTACTCTCAGAGAAGTACTTCGCACTGCATAGTCTCAAATTTTGACTTTTAGGCTTCAGCGACTGATCTTCGAACAGCCTCATTTCCCGGAATCCCTTTCCTCAGCCTCTTATTATCCCCCACGATTGGGCATGAAGAAATTTGACGTCGAGTTTGATGCTTAAAGTACAGCTATCTCCAGGAAACGGTCAATTTAGTGGGAACGGTCAAGCTTCACGGAGGTTCTCCTACTCACTTGGCATTCGCGCGAGCAGTATTGTGCTCCGCCGCACGCGCCGCACGCCTTGAACGTCTTCTGGCGGACCTCAACCACCCCGGCCACGCACGCCTGCAGAAGAAACGGAGAGCGGTCGATTCGTATGCAGAAGAGGACACTGCCGTTGGTTAAGTTGTGCTTGTGATCGTTCAGTACGCATCCGAACAATGATTGGCAGAAGCAGAGAACTTTCGAAGGGGGTCAGTTTCGTATGGCTAACTGAACACGAGAAGCCTCGTCGCGGATCTCGAAGAAGGGTTTCGAACCTTTCAAATTATCAAACTACAGTTCGCAGCGCTGTTTTTCCCTTACCAGATTCCAGATGACAAGGGCTTTGCGAGCTTTAGTTGCGCTGAAAATTCCATTCGAAGAGGTGGAAAAATCGAGCCTCAAGCTGATGATCCTCGTGTTGCAGCCCAAAATAGTGACCGTTCGTAGGACTCCATTGCAGAGGCAGTCGTGCAATAGCGTACGGATCGAGAGACACACTGGCACCAATCCCTACCGGCTACTCTTGCAAGCCTTCAGTGAAAACGTACCCGATTGCTGCACTCTTTGAGGTTAAACTGCTCCGCATACGCCGCCCAGATCTCCCGGGCGATCTCGTCCTGGGGGAGAATTTCCCCGACCCGCTCCTTCATTTCTCGCGCGCGTTCGGCTGCGCTTCCCCCGGACGCGTTCATACTCTTTGCAGCGCCCGCTAATAGCGCCCGGGAATCGCGGAGAGTTCCCTGACACACCACGATCCCGCCGTTGCCAGCCGTCTCCATCAGCAGCTTCTCTCTCGACGCTCTCTTATACTTGCACTTATCAAAAGCGCACTTGAAGACGACCACAAGGGGCCCGAACACGCCCATCCACTGACGGATCTCCTCCGGCGTCACAAGTTCCTGGCGGGAAAGAGGATTCTCGAGGAAATGTCGTCCAAATTCTTGCGTTAAGCTAGAGCACACGACTTCCAGAAGCCGCGTCACGTGCCCGATGCGGGGGACAATCAGCTCAAGTATTTCAGGGCATTCGATGACGATCCGCCGTACAATCTCCGCGACGTCTTGCACGCGGTCCTCCGGTGTGAATGGGGTCAAGCACGCCTCGTGAAGCACCCGCAGCGCCTGGTCCACGAGCCTTTTCACATCGCCCGCGGGCAGCAAGCCCGACACGTGTCCAACGGCCTCGCGGTCCCTCGGGTTGAAGCCGAACTGCCGCCCGACCTGGGCCTCGTGCGCGCACACCACCTCCGGGTCGATCCAGGTGCGCGCGCCGAATACCGCGGCCGTGAGGTGCCACGCCAAGCTGGCCGCGGGCTTTGCGAGGTACAGGAAGCTCACCCCAGCGAGCGCGCGCGCGTACTCGCGCCGCGTGGCGGCCGCGTCGCCGCCATAGTTGAAGCAGAAAATGAGGAGCTCCAGTATGCGTATGTGGCCCGGGGGGTCGAGAACCGAGAGTGCGGGCTTGAGGATGCTCGCAATCGCGGCGCCCGCTATGTCGAAGACGGCGACTGGGAGCGTTCCTTCGGAAGCCCCGACCGCCAGAAACGAAGACAGACACATCGCCACGTGCCGCATTCGCTCCTGCGCCTTGGGGTTTGATGACCGGGGCTTTTTGGCAGCTCTGCTGACCTCAGCAACGAAAGAGTCTCGCAGAACCGGGATCACGTTTGGAGCCTTTCTGAGGAGCTTTCTAAAGTCGTCACACACCAGCATAACTAGACTGATCACGAATTCGTCTAGCAGATCAACCGGAGCATTCGCACCGGCCAACCGAACTGCTTCCAGCACTTGGATGACGGTTTCAAGATTGGACGGCTCCAAAGCGGGGGGGGTACCCTTCTCCTTTCGGATGTGATTCCGCACTTTGCCAAGGAAGATCTCCGCGTTTCCTTTCGCGGAATCGTCTAGCAGAGGCTTTAACTCCTGGACCGACCTGTGCAACTCGTCGAACTCGGCCCCTCTTAGCAGACCGGGAGAGAGCTTCATCGCCTCGTCGCACAGCCCGTTCAGTTGGTACAGAAGGCTTCGTGCGGTCACTCGCATCTCCCGGTTCTCCGGAGGGCGCGCGGGGAACTTCTTCAGCTGGTCGGTGAGCAGATCGAAGAACCGGGTCAGCCACGGAATCAGCCCGGCCGCCGCGCCGCTGCGCAGAACGTTCTTCACCATCTGGGGGGTGTCCACGAAATGATCAAACACTCCCATTGTGACGGCCGCCAAGTGCGCAAACAGACTGGCACGCGCGCCCTCGGCCGCCCGGGGGGGAGCCCCGGGGAACGGGAAGAATGACGTCAGCAGCGGGAGGTACTCGTGGCGGAAAGCGCGTTCCGCGAATTCAGGGCTGTGACCCAGCAGGTTCATCAGGGTCTTCATGTACAGCAGGCAACCTTGCAAGGCCGATGCTTCCTTTTGAGAGACGGTTGGGCTATGAGAGAGGTTTCTGAGGGCGACGCGAAAGAGCAGCGAGCCGAGTTGCTGCAGCGTTTCGACCGCCGTGCTGCAGGATGCAATCTGCAAAGACAAATATAAGACAACGTTTAGGAGATTGCTTGCTCCGGCGCTTATGCTTGTCTCAATCGATCAAGGGTTTGACGAAGTCTATGCAGATTCTTAATGAAGCGGGTACAGTAGATGCAGTGCATCACTGTGTAATGCATACTTCAAGAAACATCTTGTGTAGGTACATGAGAGATAGACAGTACACAAAACAACCCACGTGCAAAGGCAGGATCAGAGCAGAGTCGTTTTTGATTATGTTGCTTCATACAAACTGCCCTACCTCACTTCACCGTGGGGACATGATGAGCTGCAGAGCGGTCCTGCCATGCTTCCAAGCTTCTGCCCTCAGCTCATCTTGACATAACCTAGTCAGTACTTCCAATACCGATTGACGAACATGGATTCTTATCTGCCTTGCAAAGCCAGGGGCGCGCGTAACCCTACAGATGGCATCCAGCATGAGGAGGCAGTCGTCGCCCTCCAAAAGGACGGTCAGGATGCCGCGTACCACTTCTTCGTTCTTGAGCAGCTTGGACAACTGGAGGAAGGACATGGACACAAGGATTTGGTGTTCCGCAAAGCTGAGCGTGTGGTGGGATGAAGAACCAGTCTTCTTGTCAGCATAGATTTGAGCAGTGAACGTTTTTCAAGTACTCTAAGATCACGCGTGTAAGACGGATAGTTTGCGTTGACAGGAGAAGCCGCCACTACGTCGAGAACAGTCTCAAATCTGTGATCGCAATCGTTCTTCGGTGATGAGATGGTCAGTTGCATTTGAAGAGCTCAACGCCGTGCGCACGAGATACTTTTGCAGAATCTTCCTGATTTCGGAAGCACAATTCCCTTGAGAATCCAAACGATGCTAGGTTTGTCAGTTGCTGCAGACGAAAACTTGAGTTGTTTGACTCCTGCAGGTTCCCCAAAAGTAGCTAGCATTCAACCAACTCTTTAGCGCACTGGTAGTAAACGAGTGGTTCGAGACACACCTTTCTGAAGGCTTTTGTAGGTTTCAGCTGCAGCTGTTGCTCTTGTTCGGGAAGAAGCATGTTCCCAGCAACTTCATCCACAAGCGATACAACTGTGTGGATTGCCATGCCATACTTTTTGGCGGAAAGCAGTCCCAGGAACTCAGCCACCGACTCTGACCTCTCGTCAGCCTGCCAGATTGGAACGGAAAGCTCCTCTTTAGCGCACGAAGAGTGGTAAATAGCCCAATCATTCCGATTCTGAATGGATGATAAGAACGTGCCCTTGCATGTCAGCCAGAGGGTCTGCATTGGGGACGGTTGCGTTCTGTAGTAAGCAACGCAAGGCGCTCATTCTCAGTCAGAATGCATCCATCATAGACATCATAAACTGCCTTGAACCGCTTGAATGGAACATATCAACCGCGAAGCAGGGATCCTGAAAATCTCCAGCACGAAGCCACAGGGCACATCAACTTGGGAAGCTGTTATCATCCCCAAAGGTCCAAGTCAGATGGCCCTTCAAACTCACCATGTTGCATGCGTCGAGTAAACACCTTTCAGCTCATAGTAGTGACCCCGCCAGATCAGGAGCTCGTGACCACAAAGCCGATGTTTGAATACATCCGACTGCTAGTGCCATTCTTCTTGTCAGCTCCGTTGAACAGCTTTAAAATAGTGACGTTCGAGTCAGAAGGCTTCTGTATTTGAATCAATCTGCGTCTTGATCTGGCACACAATTTGTTCCCGGCGCAAGCTTATCGCTTCACAAGAATCGTTCTTCAGAGTTTACCTTCTTTGATGCCTGGCTCCGTCGCGCTACAGCGCCATTCACCTCTCTCTCAGAAGACTAAGAGTCTACTTGGCTAACATCGTTTGAAGACTTGCTCGGTCCAACTTCGAAGTCGGTTCTGACATTCCGACAGTCGACGGAGTATTGCTTCAGGGCCCTTAATGTCATAACGTCAATGATCTTTTTCAGGGCCTAAAACTATTTCCCGAGTTTTGGAGGCAAATCAGGGCAGACTCCTCGTCTTTCTGGGAATGAGATCATGCACAGTGAGACAGAGGGGAGCCAGACATGAGCTTCGGATCTACTGTAATCTTAGCTTCAACGTTGAAGCTTTGGAATTTGGGCATGCCTTGCATAGTCCGAATACCCCACAAGTTTGACGCTGACATTCAAGACTCTTGACTGGTCACCATTGCTCGCTTAACTTTCGACTGGCAAGCTGAGCTAGCTGAGCTGCCAATAATTTGACGAGGTAAGCTGTTCAAGAAGCAGCCTCGAAGAATGGGAGACTCCAACTGAGCGAACACCACCGCCTTTAGACGCAGGGCCCGGGCATGCATGCACTTTGAGTTCGACCGGAGTGACTCATGCAGAGAGATAATGTCTTTAGAAGCAACAACAGGTCGCAAGGGGTCGTCAGAGCCTGTTTCAGCTTCATGCTAATTTCTGACAGTGTTTTCTCCTCCTGCGTGGGGCATACGTCTTGCAAAATCCTGATTAACGAGATCGAGAGCCACATCAACTTATGCGCAAAGCGTCATGCATATTCAGGGTGAGTCGGTCGTCGACGCTTTGAGTGTTTAACCTCAAAGTCCAACGTACGAAATTTCACAACCATTTGCAGGAGCTGGCACCGATCGAAGCATGAGGGAACACGTCATGATTTCTGTACGACGCGCACTACCTCCACGTATTGGCACGCACAAGCATGATTACTGCACATGCTGCACACCCATTGGGTGCTAAGGTTGGGGTCGATTGGGCCGGGCCGGGCCGGGCCGGAAATTGTTGAGAATTGGTTTTTGGCGACATCAATTGCAAAATAGGAAATTTGAGAATATACTACCGGTCCGCGCTGGCTTTGTGGAAGCTTAATCTAAGTCTTGTACTCAACGATGCCGCCGGCCACCATACCAGGGCGCGGGCCTCAATATGGATTTATCGTCACGCAAATGAAACATATCAGGATGAATCCAGGTGCCTTGTCAGGTGCAATTGACACATACCCTGTGGCCAGCCAACGGGCACGAGCTGGCTACCTGGCCAATGTGGCCCACTTTCAATGCAATGTGTCGGCCTGGGAACCTCACCGTTTTGACCGCACAACGTGTAATACCCCCATCAGTACTGCGCGCGACAACCGAAAATGCGATGCAACTTTGCACCCAGACAACTTTGAAGTGTGACGATGAAAGCGTCTGAACGATGGCAACTGGAATCTCTCAGACTCCTTCCAGAGGCCGACTACTAACATAAAAGGCCTCTTCGGAAGAGCCGACTCGGCGCGGATGGCCATGTGAAAATGCCATGGCATGGCAGCCCTCGCTACCGAACTTCAGACACATGCGGCAAGCGGGCTAAGCAGACTGAGTAGCAGGCTGTGTTGATAAAAGTCTTTGGCAGCATATCGCTTGTAACTACGATGTGAGCAAGCTGTGAAGTTGCTTCTGCATTCTCTCTATACTTGTTCGTGGAGAGAACCGAGGGATGGCAACCTGCAACATATGATTGAGGCAGTTTCAAAATGGAAGGAGAAACACTTCTGACGAACCTCTCACCTACGCCACTCAGCTTCTTAGTGGGTATCAGTTCCAAACAGCAAAAGCTTCTCTCCTCAGGGGAAAGGGAAGAACGAGACTGAACGCAACCCCTTTGCCCGAGATCGTTTCTGATGGAGAAGAAACAAACGGGGAAGAAGAAGTGGACGGAGAGCAAACCGGGAGCGCTTCTTACGAATCTGGGTGTGGTCCGGACGACAACCTTTCAAAGAACTGAACGCATCTGGAACCAGAGCAATCCACACAACTGTCCAAGGTTCAGAAAGACGCGCTGTCTAACCTCGTCGTCGCTCCCTTCATTCGACCATGTCAGCACGGGGATCTCGTACTGGTATGCCTGCTCCCATTCCTTCTTGTCGAGTATATTTCGTATCTGTACAAACAAGAGAGGCGCTGGAGATTCTCAATTGCCGCTTGTCAGTTCTTGCTTATGCTTCAGACCTTCTTTTGAAAACTCACAGAGACTGTTAGGGTGTCGTTTCTTGCACAATCACAACTGAGATGACAGTCATACGTGCCCAGCGCAAAGCTGATAGCAGCAAATATTCCTCACAATGATGGCGGTCTAACTTTCTCAGATTCCCCATCTATGAAACAATAAGGTTTGAAAGTTTGGAATCATCACCCGCAGCATCCAAAACAGTCCATACGTGATCTTTGATGAAGCTCGCCAAAGGGCAAAACACAGGTTTTGTGCCACATTGTGCTCACCTCTAGTTCCATCCCAGCGATGGAGTGCTCTCCTCCCATCATAAATGCCATGTCCAGCTTCTCTTTCAACCCATCACACAAGTGGCAACCTGGTTTGCTGTACAGTATGAGACGCTTTCCTGCAACAATTCCACCCGGCTGGCTAATCTCCTTCCCCGAAGCTCGACAAAGAGGCGCCCTTGAATGCAGACCTGATCGACCGTCACCACTCATTGATGGTTGAGGTGGTGCACTAGTAAGCTTCAAATGCTGACCAAACGCACTGGCTTTTTGGAGTGGGGAGGATTGAATATGACTTGGCCACCGGCTTAGTGCCGTAGAAGGATGGCTGGCTACGTTCTTTTGAGGAAGGAGTTCTCTTTCCGATAATGAGCTGGACAATGCTGTGCTGGCTGAAGGCGCCCTGCCTTCAAAGCTCAAACCCCTTGCTGCAGTACATGAAGGACAAGTGAGTACAGCTGCAGGATTCTTTGCAATGATATTGAAACCTGTCAACGTTGCCAGCTCTTTGCTGCTTCTTCTAGAGCCCGAACAAAGCCTGACCGACTGCGACAGGATGAAAGTACGCGACATGGCTGCCCTTTCAAACCAGCGGCGCTAGGCAGAAGAAGATGAGAAGACAAGAAGCAAGAATCAGCTTTCTGCTTCAAAGAGAATTCTCTTAGCGAGGCGCCTCGAAAACCACTTTCAAGAACTCTGTTCGAAACTGGTGCTGTGCGTCAGCTAGAGACAGCTTTGACACTGGTTAAACATTCATGGTTTAGCATGAGACATTATGCACCTGTTGTCATTATTTGGAAAGCGGCGCTACCTCCGCTATCTGGAACCGTGAGTCGCAACTGCCTAGCTACTAATTCTAACGTTGGCTCAGCTCCTTGTGCGAGTTAACCCAGTACGTTGACTTAACCACATTGACAGAAGGGGCAAATGCTTGGCACCCAGGGCCAGAGGTCACATGCAGCCTCAGAAATGCAGGGGTCAAGGCCGCATTTGCGAAAGCTCCTGGTACTAGTAGAGCCTGCTGCGAGAGTGTGAGACTGCTTCGTCCACCAGGCAAGAAAGTGGTTCGAAAGTGGCAGGCGCAGCCTCTTGCAAGAAAGTAACTCGTCAAGAAGCAGCCGGTGCAGGAATTCATCGCCAATCAATCTGTCTTCGCCATGGCGGTGACTGGTGTTGGCATCAAGTACACCTCCAGCAGACTTTTGCAGGTAACACCACTATCAAGTCACAAAGAAGCAAGCGACAGCATCTGGTTTGGAGGCAATTGCCTGGAGTGGAAGAAACTGACTTGCCCCACAAGAAATACTCAAAAAGCGAGATTGCCTGTCCGAGTAGACGCCACATGGCCATCAAAGGCCCATTCTGAAACAAAGCACGTGGAATCGAGTGCGTCGTCTCAGGGTCTGGAAACGGAGGACTTCAATAGGCACTCTGCCCATCCAGAAGGTGAGTTTTGTGGCCCTGCAAGGGCTTGGGCTGGGAACTGCCAACTGAGCTATCTTACACCACCGTCCCTATTGTCGCCCGTTAGAGCTTAATTTTGTAGCTGCAGAGAATCACATCTGGAATTTACCCCCCCGACACCCTCCCAACAGACTGGTGCCTTTTATGGGCTGAAAAGGTGCCCACCAAGTTGGCACCAATCAACTCATATGTCTAGCGTTGAAAGGGCATCATTTAGGCCCTTGGTGACAAAGCAACGCCCCAATTGGCACAGGCTTGCGGGCGTCCATCATGCCTAGAGTACAAGATGGTGCCTAACCAACAACAGGAAGTCATTATTTGTAGGCATTCAACGCAACTGTTTGGCACTGGCCTTTTTGGCGCGTTGTAGGCGTCAATCTACTGAGGGGGGGGATTGTGACGAATCCTTCCATAAGAAGACGTATTCAATTGCGTGGTCTTGCTCTGTATCTTCAATCCAACCTTGCAAGTTGCCAGGATTTGTCAAAGGGCAAAAGAGCGATTGTACGGACTCTTCTTGATCAAGGAGGCAACTCGTTTCTGGATTGTAAAGTTTGTCGTTTTCATTGGGGGATCAAAGGTTTGAATGTTTGCCACGTATCGTCTGGCCTGATGAAGCCTCCATTGACCATCCTGTGAACCAGGCAGTGATTGCTTCGCCTCAAGCAACTTTTGTTGGTCTTCGCCACCGTTGTTTCCATTACAAAGTGTGCACGTTGTCTCTCCTCCAGGTTCGTGCGGCTTTGATCCTCAGCATGCGCACCGGCGGTCCCAATTCACTTTAACCACCGTTTGTAGACGACAAATGCTTGCTATGTCAATTGCAGTCGCGTTGAGTTCCAAAAGCCAGCCTGTCAATGCCGCTGAAACAGAAGCGGCTCCGCCTAAGAAAGAAGAAAGCACGCTAGACAGCATAACGTCGTTTTTAGACCCAGACGAGCTTGCGCCTTCCGGCCGCAAGATCCCAAAAGCATACAAGAAACAGGTTAGGGAGGTAGTTAGGACGTTAAGGGAGTCTTTGTCAGACCAGGATACCAAGGACTTCAGGCGAAAGGCAGACCCTGCAAAGGAAGCAATCCGGGGTTACATCGTAAATTGGAGAGGCGCAAGTTCGGTGCAATCTGAGGTAATAGCAGTCAGTCCATTTAAACCCTGTGAAAACATTCTGCCGGCACAATTGTCTTCTCTTTTCTGCCACGCTTCTTTTCACTGCTTGCACCGACTTCCTTCAATCCTACCGGAACTTGATGATCAGCACGTCCAATCAATGACTTCTGTATAGCTGCTGGAAGAGACCCATGCTGGTAAAGTATTCAGGAAAAGAAACCGGCAAAGACTTACTCAGTAGTTGTCCGGACTCGACCTTAGTCAAGCTCCAGAAACGACTTCTCTGATGCCTTGCAGGTTTCGTATACCGCCCTCGAGCGTGTGCTTCGAGCTCTGGGAGCGTTCTATTCAAAAGCCGGGCCAAACGCGCGAGTTACAGATGAGTTGCGGCAGCAAGTTTTTAAAGACCTGGAGCTTGCAGAGAACTCGGTGTGAAATTAATATGCCCGGATGTATCATTTGCAGCCCTGCCTGATGACAAGCTTGCTTGAAACCTTTGACTTTGCAACTCGATTGTATATCAAAACGATTGAAGCACCGGATCTGGTATCCACATCAGGCTCCAAAGAAGCCGGTGATCGAGTCAAGTCATTGCACTCGAATCTTTGCCGCAGTTTCGGTCGTATGGGGCTGTACGTTAGCTAGGATGTATTGGCTGCCTGCATAATTTCACCAAGTCGATGGAAGGAGCAAAGGCGCCGTGTTGAGTGCTACTAGTATGTGTGGGCTTTGTCCCGGGCCGCGACTTTTAAGTAGCTATTTGTTCATAAGTTCTCATGTTAAAGTGTAGTCAGCGTACGAAAGTTTCTGTTTCGCGCGAGACGTACAACAACAATCTGAAAATCGACCCAAGTACTGCAAGATATATGGACAGCTGTCTACGTTACTGAAGGCTGCATATCTGCGATGAATATAGCAAGCTGACTTGTCGCATGCACTCTTAATTTCTCGGGACAATTCGAATAAGCTTCTTCTGGTCACATAATTTCAATCCCGTCAAATCGATAGCTAGGTGCATCCCTTCAACGCTGTTTCCAATGCGCGGATCCATGCGGCTGTTGCGGTACAATGTGCTCGAGATCCCACAGCAATGAGTCTCGTGTTCGTTTTGCTAAGTTCGTTCTTTCCCTTCGTACCAATCTGCTTGCACGAGATGCGACATATGCCTTTGAAAGAGTCTTCTGCACTTCGGCCAAGCACTGAGCTCGACTTGAGCTCAAGCTTATATAGCTCACATTGACATTACCATCCGTGGCGGCATGTGCCAGGAAATGAATCCCTTAAATGGAGACTAACTGAGAGTATATACGTTTGTCTTTTGCGTCAGGGCCTGGCCGAGACTCGGGCTCAAGGAGAGGCTTGTGCAAGCAGCCTGCTCCCGTCCAAATTGCTATACGACGCGATACGTCCGCTTCAAAGTCCGTCTCAACTGATTTGTTTCAAGCTCTTCTTTTTCTATTCTAGGTTTATAAGATGTGCAATATCAAACCAGTCTAGGGCTTTCAGCTCTCCTTAAAAGGAACTGCGATTAGTATCCAACCTATTCCACTCCCACTTCTAACTTCACAGTCCGTGTCAACTCGTTCTCTCAAGCTCTTACCTTTTTTGTTTGTAGGATGTACTATACCATATCAGTCTAGGGTGTTCAGCCCTCTCCAGAAGGAACTCCGATTAGTATCCAACCTATTCCAAACCCACTTCTAAGTCCACAGTAGTCACGCTTGGGTGTAGGGGTTCAACGTTGCTCATGCAGTATGTACACACCCCTCCTTCCATCGATCGATCTCAAAGACTGCTAGCGAGCTATAACAAGATGCCGAATAACGTTTTGGCACAATTTGAGCAAGCTTGGCTGGCCAGCGATGACGTTGCAAAACCTTTTGCTATAGTGAACCCACACTCACTTGATACAAGAGCGCTCTTAATCCTCTTACTGTGCCACCGATTTGCGGCCGTGGTGGCCAGAGCAGAACATCTCGCCCTCGTCGTAGTCGAAGAAGCCGCTCATGAAGAAAACCTGCATAGGCCAGTGCTTGGTACGTTTAAAAGCTCTGGCCCGAAATCAAAATAAGTTCTGCACCACTCTCAATCTCGGGGCAGTCGCAGGAAGATACTCACACCGTCAAATGAGCACAGCGCTTAACCTGGCCGGCGGTTCCAACAGGCCGACGAGCAGACCAAGGCCTCTTCATCAACGAACCAAAACCGATCATGGCCACCTGACTTCGCAGCTAAACGAGAGCTCATGTCGCAGTAGAGAGAATAGGACGCGCTATCCTAGGTGGTGGCGACCACAAAATTTGCAATTGACGCATTTCGTGCGTGCAATCTTGGACAGGATCCCGAAGCAAAGGAATTAGCAACTCAAGACTGGTGTGTCAAATTTGACCTGCTGCGGCTGAGCCCCTTCGTCTGTCGGCAAGAGCAAGCCCAACAATGGCTGAAAACTGGCCAGCACATGTAGAAGTCAAAGAGCTCAAACCCGCCGATAAGGAACGCACCGTATTATGGAAGGCTTCACTTGTCTGAATCGCGTACAGCAGGCTCTTGCCGAACAGCACCTCACGGCGGGCAAATTCCTGCACAGCGGGCAGGTGGAGGGATCGGCAAGAGCACCTGTTCTGCGTCCCTGAGAAGTGGCGGTGCTTGCTGGTTACCGCAAGCTTGCAGCAACCTCACGCACGCAGGCAGACCAAAGACATGCCCTGTGTGCACCAAGGACCGAAGGCAGCAGCTCCTCACCCCACAGCCTGTGGGGTGGCGGCTGCCTGCTTGACGCTCCAGCAAGGCAGTTTCAACGGAGGCAGTGTGCGCAGCAACTCCAGGCAGTCCTACCTTGTGAGCTGGTTTGCCTGCCCACTTCCGCTTGTACTCATGTGCATACTGCATGTAGCCTTCCTCCAAGCCCCCCTCTGCCACCTTTTTAACGATCGGGTCCACATGCCAGCTCTTCTGCACCAGCCGCTTCACTGCCTCCTGCACCTGGCCTCGAAGCTTCTCCAGGTTGGGCGGGTACTGCTTCCAGGCGGCATCCAGGCCCTTGACGATGCGAGCTGTCTCCTTCGCAGAGATGGGCGGCTGGAGAGGCAAGTGAAAGCAATTTGCAGTTACTGGTGGCCTCCGGCTTGCGTCCAGTGCTCTCTAACGAGCTGCGCCCCCCGGATGCAAAATGATCACCACTTGATGACCCTCGTAGATTGACTCCTCGGAACAGCCAACAGGGGACTGCAAGATGCCATGCCACGTCCTCATGACAAGCTTCAGAAAAAGGGTAGCGTGTATCCAGATGGTCCCTCAACAAGCAATGCTTTCTGGCCTGCGGTTCGCCTTTGTTGCACAGGAAACTACTGCGCACATAGCTCTGAGACTGAGCTAGTACAGGCAAACGGGACGGGAACGGGACTTCCCGCACCTCTTCGCTGCCACTGTTGCTTGCCACTGCGCTGACCCTCACCTTCGCGCTGCCCTGTTTTACAAAGCGCATGGGATGTGAGAACACCTTGCAGGCACAACCTTAACATACACGACCGTCTTAGCCTTCACAGCAAAGGGGGGTTCATACCCTGTCAGCAAAGTGCCCCCTGTAGAAGTAGCATCCGGAGATGAGCCTCAACGACATTGCCCCATTTTCAAGGTGCAGCACAATTGGGGGATAATCATACGACTGGAGTCCACAATGCATGCTTTCAGACAAGAAGACGCGTTACCTTCGCCTTCATCCCTGGCTTCCTGAGCCCTGTCTTGCCGTCCAGCACATTCACCCCCCCCTTCCTGACCCCTGCCTTGGCAACCATTAGAGCCTTAGCTTTCCGCTTCCTGAGCCCTGTCCCGGCGTTCTTCAGTACCTTCACCCCCGTTTTCGTGAGCGCCCCTTCCTTGGCTATTTTTGCAGCATATCGTGCTGAGAATCACCGCACTCTATGGTATCACTTCATCAGGTTATGCCAGCTCTTATATGCTAAACCGGCCATCAATGATGGAAATGCTGCCACAGATATATCCAGGTTATTACCCGCTTATGCATGTTATGTAATATCACTTTCAGAACATTTAGATTCTTTCCAAGTGACTGAAATTCTCCCGAAATCGTAAAGAGCCTTGCAATGATCGAACCTGTATTACATAGTAAAATACTCAATTTTGATATTGAAGCGGGGTGCTAATACAGGCACTGCTAAGTGCTTATGGCCCTTCTCCGCATGCGAGATGGGCGCTTCTTGCTTCAGGGTGATCCCTTCAGCCTTCAGGCTCAGCAGTCACGCAGGACGAAACGAACCCTGTGCCATGCTGAGATAAGATTACAGGTCTACCTGCGGGAGAAGCAGTAGAGTCGAAAAGCAGCATCTCGGAGCTGCGCCCTCCATTGGAGGGTTGACAGGGCTCATATTAGGAGCATGCTCAGCTTATGCGGACGTCCTCTAAACTCTAGCTTAGTCATTTTCTAGCTGATCTGGTGTGGTCAAATCCAGCTGAAGGGACCAGCCTACTAAGAGGCAGAATGGTAAGTTTGACGCGGCTTCTGACTCAGAGCTCTGGGCTAGTGCCAGCTTTCAATCTGCTTTGGCCTCCCTAGCACGGCTGTTAATATGGGCTATGCAAGGGGTTTTCAGCCAGCTTTATCTATTGACGGAAGCATTTTCCAATGAGCTTCCCAGTATATTGCTTATAGAGTAAATCAGTCCATATGCAGACTCCTGCGAGCATGGCACGTGCTTATCATTCTTAAAGTTCTGTGACATAATGCCCGGGCTATCTACTACTTTCTGTGCACTAACAAAAGAAGAGCTCTCTGTTCCAATGTGGCAGGCTGACGGGAAGTCAGACCTGGTAGCTGAGTTTCTGGGCCTGGTTTCTGCCAAAAACTATGGCAAGGCAAACCACATGTTTGTAGCGCTTGTGGACGAAGTTGCTGGGAAGATGCTCCTTCCCGCCCAAGAGCAACAGCTGCAACTGAAACCGACGAAAGCGTTCAAGAAGGTAGTTCCAGAGACCATGTGCTTGTTACCGGTTGCTGTGGAGATCTTTGGATGCTTTCTTTGAGGACCTGCAAAATCCGGACGACTTTGCTTCTTATTTGCCAACAATTTGAAGTTCTCGCATAATTTTGAATTTTTGAGACATACTGACGTAGCGGGATGTATCGCCTGTATGCGCCATTGAGCGCTCCAAATGCAGCGAACATCTTGTCATCGATGTTTGATGACAACTTTCCCAATGACGTTCTCAACTTAGTGCCTGCTTTTCCTTCTATTCATCTGTCCTGCTCACACATGATCTGAAGGTGGTCTGGTCACTGCTTATGACTGACTCTCTCATCAATAGAAGAAGACTGGGTTTGCTTGTTGAAACTAGCTTCCCACCGCACTCTTCCGATTTTACATCAAGACAAACCTGTCCATAAGCATCTCTCTCCTCCAATTATCCAAGCTGCTGAAGGACGAAGAAGTGGTGCGCAGCATGATGACCATCCTTCTAGAGAGCGATGAGTGCATTGTCATGCTGAGTGCCATCTGTCGGATCACGGTCGCACCTGGGTTTGCAAGGCAGGTAAGAAATGCCTCTTTCTTATGTACCTGGAAGGATTGACTAGGTGATATCCAAAGAGCTGAGGACAGAAACTTTATTGCAAACCCCCCCTGTAAATGGTGAAGTCTGCATAAATCTAGCAGGCCAGGTCTGCCCTGCTATGAAGTAGAATTGGTCCTGCACTCCCTTGCCGAAAGTTCCAGCAATGGCTGGTGTTGTAAAAGCTTCAAAGTATGGAAGTTTGCAGACAGATATGGCCATCGTTTCTGTCATTCAAAAGGCTCTATTATCAAAGCTTCATTGAACTTGTAGGACCCGATATTGATGACACCCGTAATCAGCCAGAGAAAGCAATCTCCCAAATGTTCTCTTATTCTGTCTTTGCAGATTGCATCCTGCAGCACGGCGGTCGATTCGCTGCGCCAACTCGGCTCGCTGCTCTTCCCCGTCGTCCTCCGAAACCTCTCGCACAGCTCAACCGTCTCCCAAACGGAAGCTTCGGCTTTGCAAGGCTGCTCACTGTACATGAAAACCCTGATGAACCTGCTGGGTCACAGCCCTGAATTCACGGAACGCGCTTTCCGCCACGAGTACCTCCCGCTGCTGACATCATTCTTCCCGTTCCCCGGGGCTCCCCCCCGTGCGGCCGAGGGCGCGCGTGCCAGTCTGTATGCGCACTTAGCGGTCCCCACAATGGGAGCGTTCGACAACTTCGTGGACACCGTCTCAAAGGCGAAGAACGTTGTGCGCAGCGGGGCGGCGGCCGGACTTATCCCGTGGCTGACCCGGTTCTTTGATCTGCTCACCGCCCTGCTGAAGCAGTTTCCCGGACGACCTCAGGAGAATCGGGAGGCGCGAGTGACAGCCAGGAGCCTTCTGTTTCGGCTGAACCTGCTATGCGAACAGGCGACGGAGCTGTCCCCCGATCTGCTAAAAGGGGCCGATTTCGAGGCTCTCCACAGGTCCGTTAAGGATGTAAAGCCTCTGCTAGACGACGCCGGGAAGGGGAACGCGGAGCTCTTCCTGGGCCAACTGCGGCATCGAATCCAGAAGGAGAAGCACGGCCCCCCCGTACTGGAGCCGTCGGATATAGGGAGGGTCATGAAAGGGCTGGAAGCAGTCCGGTTGGCAGGCCCGAGTTCTCCGGTCGATCTCACGGACGAACTCTTGCTCAGCCTCCTTATGCTGTTACCCGGAGACTTTGGAAAGCTCCTCAAAAAGAATCCGAATGTGATCCCCGTGCTGCGAGATTCGCTCGTCGCTGACGTCAGCAGAGCTGCCAAGAAGCCCCGGTCTCTGGACGCCAAAGGCCAGGAGCGGATGCGGAACACGGCGATGTGTCTGTGCTCCTTTCTGGCGGTCGGGGCTAACGAAAAGACGCTCCCGGCAGCTGTGTTCGACAATGTGGGTTCCGCGATCGTGAGCATCTTCAAGCCCGGGCTCTCGGTTCTCGACCCCCCCGGCCACCTGCGCCTCCTGGAGCTTCTCGTCTTCTGCTTCAACTCGGGCGGCGATGCGGCTGCCACGCGGCGCGAGTACGCGCGCGCGCTCGCTAGGGTGAACTTCCTGGACCTCTACAAACCCGCGGCCAACTTGGCGTGGCACCTCGCGGCAACCGTGTTCGGCGCGCGCACCTGGCTGGACCCGAAAGTGGTGTGCGCGCACGAAATCCAGGTCGGGCGGCAGTTCGGCTTCACCCCGCGGGAACACACGGTCGAAGGACACGTGTCGGGCTCACTGCCCGCGGGCGATGTGAACAGGCTCGTGGACCAGGCGCTGCGGGTGCTTCAGGAGGCGTGCGTGACCCCGTTCACACCGGAGGACCGCGTGCAGGACGCTGCGGAGATCGTTCGGCGGAGCGTCAACGAGTGCCCCGCGGTACTTGAGCTGGTCGTTTCCCGCATCGGGCACGTGACGGGACTTCTGGAGATCGTGAGCTCCAGGTTGACGCGAGAGTTCGGACGGCGCTTCCTGGAGGACTCTCCTTCCCGCCAGGGCTTCGCGACGCCGGAGGAAATCAGTCAGTGGATGGGCGTATGTGGGCCGCTCTTGATGGTGTTCAAATCTGCTTTTGACACGTGTAAGGCGAAGAGGGCGTCGAGGGAGAAGCTGCTGCGGGAGACGGCCGGCAATGGCGGGATCGTGGTGTGTCAAGGAACTCTCCGTGATTCCCGGGCGCTTTTGACCGGCGCCGCAACTAGTGTGGGCGCACCCCGGAGAAACCCAGCCGAACGCGCGCAAGAAGCGGAGGAGCAGCTCGGGGAAAGCCTCCCCCAGAACGCAATCGCGCGGGAGATCTGGGCGGCGTATGCAGAGCTGTTCAACCTCAAAGAATGCACCAACCAGGTAGGTATCCAGTAAGGGCTTAGAAAAGTACTCGCTTTACGGTGGCTGATCATGGTTATTAAGGATTGGTGCCAGTCTGTTTTCCAATTCTGTATGCAATTGCACGACTGCTTCTGGAATGAAGTCTTGTGAGGCCCTCAATGATCTGGGCTGCAGCACGAGGTTCATCAGTATGAGGCTTGATCGCTGTCCCGTTCTGGGATGAACTGGTCAGCACAATCTAGCCTCACAAAGCCCGTGTCACCTGAAAGTCGCACTTAATCGGCGCTTCAACTTGCGGTCTGAGTTCTGCGAAAGGTTTGAAACCCATCTCCGAGATCCGCAGTAGGGCTTCTCGTGTTAAGTTTGCCATGCGAAAATGACCCCCTTCGGAACGTCTCTGCTCTCTGCCGTCTTTGGGGAATGCGGACTGTGTGATCGCAAGCACGATATATCCAACGGCATGGTTCAAATCTGCAAACAAATCGACGGCTCTCCGTTTCTTCCGCAGGCGTGTGTGGCCGGGGTGGTCGAGGTCCGCCAGAAGACGTTCAAGGCGTGCGGCGCGTGCGGCGCAGCCCAATACTGCTCGCGCGAGTGCCAAGTGAGTGTGAATAAGCCCTTGATTTCTTGACCGGTCCCATAAAAATTCTGTACCTTAATCCTCAAACTCGTTAAATTCCCAGATGCGCAACCGTGGGGGCTGATTTAACAGGGATCGTTGAAACCGGGCTGTTCGAGAACGAGTCGCTAAAGCACAAGTCATCAGCAGATCAGACTAAGCCGATGCGACAGCCATTTCTGATAGTGATCAGGCGAACCTCCAAGTAGCACACTGTCCGTCCTTCGGAGTGTTGTTCGACGTAATGGCCAGCCCTAGTTGTGATCGTCATTAGGCAACGCTTATGCATCGCTCAATACTTGTACATCGTTCTTGTCGAATTGCAGATGGTCCATTGGAAGAACGGACACAAAAAGGACTGCAAAGTTTCAAGGCAGGGGGCAAATAGTGGGAGGGAGAAGGGAAAGCGAAGCAAAGACAACGGAGGGGGATGAGTACAATTTGTGCATACTTCGATGCCCGGACAGACGTCTACACATAAGAAGGGTCGAGTCGCGTGCAGAGCTTCCGCATGAATTGTTACGAGTCCCGAATTGAGACTGGACTGCTTTTGTATAGGTTGAAGCAACAGTTTCGAGTCAGACGGCCAACAGCGCACTCGATTTAGGCAGTCGCACACTTAAGCAAAAGACCCGACAACGCGTACCGCTGTAGCTTCCCGCTCACATGCGGGTCTGGTGTGCGCCGGGCCAGTTTGAATGCCTAAAAAGTGTTTGGCGCTCTTCTAAATTTTGAGCTTTTTCATGCTTCTATTCAAGCTTGCTAATGATCAATGCATGCCGTCAGTGCAAAGATGTGCTCTTGATCCAAATTGACATTCCCAACGCCAATGTCCCTTAAATAACACTCCTACTATAGTCTATTTGGATCGCGTTGGCGATTTAATGGCCGCGGCATGGTACGGTTATCACAGGCTTCCATGCATGTGCGCGCGCGACTTGCGCGGCGATCAATGGATTGCATGCCAGATCGGCAGACAGGCACTCCAGATCGGTAGGTAGTGTTGAGAAGTAAGACTCGAAATGCATGCGCACGCTTTCCACGACTGGCGTGTACCTTGCCATATAGTCACATGTGGCCTGCCGCCTTTCCGCTTCAGAGCACAACGTAGTGGATTGTATGAAGACAGCAGAAATAATCAGACCTCAACAACTCACTTGATCAAGCGCAGGGTTTCTTCTATGCCTGTATCGGTGACATCGTCATTCTATTTCTCAATATTCGATTGACCTCAGAGGATCAGAGTTGTCAGGGAAAGGAAATTAGCAAGGCCTTGGTCGAAATTGTCGCTGCCGGAGCTCCAAGTGATTGAGTACGATTCACAAACATCCCTGCCGAGCAAGTATGTTTAGTACCGCTGACGCATCTGCCGACACCGGAAAGCAGGTCTCAAAGGTGTTGCGCAGGTGCCAGATATCGTACTCGTTCTTCTCCCAACCGGATTCAGCTCCGCCCGCAACATCCGACCGTCTGGCGTCGCGTTTCTTTGACTTCTGAACCCACTCGAACAAGGAGGCCCGTCGGAAATGGTTCAGCCAAGCGGGGGAGGGAAGCGGGGAGTAGCTCGCGAAAGGCCCGGGCGGATCCACAACGGCACCTGCTTCGAACATGGTGGTCGATCATTCTGTCACGATCTCAGAATAAACGCTGATCCCCTTGCTTAATGCGAACCGTGGCAGACACAAGCAGTATATAGACGTTCCTTGTTTATACAAGCTTTTAGAAGATGGAAAGCAACGTGCAGTCTGCACGGGTCTTCAGCCAACTTGATTTTTCAGCAGTTGAGTAAAGATGCGACAGAGATGAAAACCGAAGGCGGTCCTCGAGCAGAATTTGCGGAAAAGCTGCTCATTCAGAAGAGTCCCTTCGCGTTCAACAATTACGTGCCAGCTCCCCTCGCTCTCCACAGATTCCCATGAAGCAAGGGCCAAACCTGTGCAGCCTCAGATGAGTCCTAGCCACCAGGCGAGAAATTGGACAAAGGGATGGCTACTCAATCTACGATCTGAAGGGTTCATGGCAACACTTTTCTCCCAAAACGAATGCTCCGCTCACCTGAAGCGACGTATTGGCGGTACCCCGACTTCAGCTTCTGAAAGTGGGGGTGGTCGATATACTCGTGGGCTGCCGCTTTGGCGAACGTCTTCAGAATGAGCTCTTCTTCCGGTCTGTCACGGCAGCGGAACCGGACGTCCAGCGTGGAGAACGCGGGGTCGGGAAGCGTCACCGCGTCCGAATGCATCAGCTTCCACGCGAAACTGACGGCGCCCCGCGCCCACGTCGGGAAGTTTCTCGTCGAAGCGCGCCAGGAACGCGTCCAGTGTCTGGTTTGGGTCTTCGAATACGACATACTCATCGCCGTCGATCGCGCCGATCCACTCGGCCCCTCGCTTAGTCTGCCATTCCACGCAGTTCTGGTACATACCGATCTCGTCCACTTCAAACAGTCCAGACGGCGGCCTGTCCCAGCGCATATAGTCCACAAAGGAACCGTACGATTGCGCAATCTCGGCGGTTCTGTCCGTCGATCCGTCGTCGTATATAGAAACCTGGCTCACTCCGAGATTGTATTGGTAGTTTAGCCACTCCTCTAGAGAACGCTCCTCATTGCGAACTTTCACGCAGATGCCCACACCCCCCGGCTTCACCGTTCGCATTTCGGCAACAGAATCCTAGGGGGATCCCCCCGGGGCACAAACTCAACCGGTCGCGGATCTTCTGGATTGAGGACGTGTTGGAGGAGGGCAAACCCCGGTTGACCGCCCCCAACCTCTGTCAAAGTCTCCGGTCTATCGTGGTAGAAGCGTGCTTCGTCTAGCTTCCATCCCGCATTCCAAAGATTCAAAACAGAGCTCATAAGATCCCATTCTTTGCTGCCCTCCCTGACCGATCTGATCTCCTCCTGGGTTAATTTTGGCCAGACCCGGTTCCCAATCGGTGGAGAAGTAGATGACGTGTCGCTACGTGGCAAGCTATCACGTTCGGGCCCAGTTGACAGATTTTGGGCGAAGACACTTTGGGACTTCTCACGTTTCATAGCTGACTCTTTCAGGAGCTCGGCAACTGCGTGGAGTTCTGGTTCCTCAAGCCTGCTGATTGCTTCGCAGAGGTTTCCTGGAGTTGTCGTATCCAGGTCTTCAAAATCGCTCGCATCCTCTGTTTTATTCAGAGTGGCCACTTTGCTCCATCTTTCCAATTTGCTCAAGGAACTTCCCAGAGCTGCGTTCTCAGAACGCGGCCTCATATGCGCTCCTTTGAAGTCTTCAACCCCATCAAGGAAGCCCGACCGGAGACCTCCCAGCCTCGAACTGTTGTCCTCCACCAGAATATAGATCGATACGCCTGCCAAGATGCAAAGGACCGTGATAACAGCTGTGGGCATCAGAGCCCTTCGCAGGAAACCCTGAAAGAGGTTTGCGGCGCCAGTCATGGTGAGTATGCCAAGCAAACGAGTTCGGGACTTTGCTGAACTACTCTCAAATGGAGCGGTGCCAGCCAACATTTTGCTATCTGCTAATTTAGTTCCTTTTGCAGAGTCTGATCTGACAAACGAACTCAGAAGATGAGTAGCGATTCATTTCTGCTGTGGTTGGTAGCTGTCAGACCTGCAGATTCTGAGTCACTGTTGAGACATCGGCTCCACTCAAAACTCCTTCCGACGAAAAACTCAATCCCCTCGATCAAGGTGCCTGTTCAAAAGAGGCAATTTCAGTGGCCTTTCATTGATCTAGAGTAAGCTGACGTCTGACTTGATATTGCCAGATCTCGGAAATCTCAACCGCACGTTTCTGATAGTGCCCATTCGTTTCCGTCTGCTCGCAAAGGTTCTCTCAGTGTGCAGCAAACTACGATCCACGTCTAAGTTTCAAACAGGGGTACGGAACTGTTTTGCTCAAACCACTTCGAGGACGTTTTGACGAAGCTTCGTGGTTGGAATGAACGGACGTCCGCTTTGAGTCCCCTCGTAAGAACCCTGGGTGATTGATTCGACTCAGCTTTCGTAAAGTTTGGTTAAAATATATTCTACATTATGCAGCTAATAGCCCACCTTAGGGTCACAAAATTCAATCCTTAACTGGGGGGTTAAGGCGCCTTACCGTGCTGTTTTCCAGCGGGCCGGGCGTAGCATGTCAGTCGTATCCTTCGCTCCCTGCCATACCCGATGCGGTACCAGCCGCTAGGGCGGACTTTTCGATGCCCTGCGAGATGGCTGACGGTCTCAAGACTCTCATCGAACGGAGTGACTGACGTGTTATGCAGCTCTGTCGGGATGGAATACAGTCGGTGTGGCCGGCAATGGCGGGATCGTGGTGTGTCAAGGAACTCTCCGCGATTCCCGGGCGCTTTTGACTGGCGCCGCAACTAGTGTGGGCGCACCCCGGAGAAACCCAGCCGAACGCCCGCAAGAAGCGGAGGAGCAGCTCGAGGAGAGCCTTCCTCAGAACGCGATCGCCCGGGAGATTTGGCCGGCGTATGCGGAGCAGTTCAACCTCAAAAAGTGCAGCAATCAAGTACTAGAAATCCTATTGACTTCTGAAAGTAGCCGCTTGTATGTTTGTGACTGTTGATGACGGTCAATAACGATTGGTGACAGTCTGTCTTCAATTCTGTAGGCAATTGCACGACTCCTTCTGTAACGGAGTTTTGTGAACGCCTCGATGTTTTGGGCCGCAGCAAGAGGATCATATGCACAAGGCTCGACTGTTTCCCCTTCTTACTGACCCCCTCTGCACAACTTGAGCGTACGAAGCCCGTCTCATCTCAATGACGGCGCTTCGATCTGTGGTTTGGACTCTTCCAAAGGGTTGAGACTCATCTCCGAGATCCGCAGTGGAACTTCTCGTGTTTAGTTTGCCATGCGAAACTGACCCCCTTTGGAACGTCCCTACTTTCTGCCGTCGCTCGGGATCGTGCATTGAGATTATCACAAGCACAGTCTATCCAACGGCAGGGTTCAAAGCAGCAAACGAATCGACGGCTGTCCATTTCTTCTGCAGGCGTGCGTGTCCGGGGTGGTCGAGGTCCGCCAGAAGACGTTCAAGGCGTGCGGCGCGTGCGGCGCAGCCCAAAACTGCTCGCGCGAGCGCCAAGTGAGTGGAATAAGCCCTTGATTCTTGACCGTTCCCATTAAAATTGCCGTACCTTAACCCTCAAACTCACCGTTAAACTCCTAGATGCGCAACCGTGGGGGATGATACCCGGCTGATTTAACAGAGAATGTTGAAAGCGGGCTGTTTGAAAGCGAGTCGCTCAAGCAGAAAGTCGTCAGCAGGTTGGCCGGCCGACGCCGATGCGATGGCCTTCTCTGAAAGTAATCAGGTGGACCTCCAAGTAGAAGAGTGTCCGTGCTTTGAAGTATTGTTCGACGTAATGGCCAGCCCTAGCTTTTTTTTTAGTTAGGCAACGCTGATGCATCGCTCAATACCTATACATCGTTCTTTTCTGTTTGCAGATGGTCCGTTGGAAGAACGGACACAAACAGGAGTGCAAAATGTCAAGGCAGGGGGCTTGTAGTGGAAGCGAGAAGGGAAAGCGAAGCAAAGACAACGGAGGGGGATGAGTAGATACTGTACACACTAGGTTCGACGGACAGACGCTAGCCATACGTAGAATTGGGTGCCGTGCAGAGCTTCCGCATACGCTGCGCCAAGTACCAGAATAAGACTGAAATGCTTCTGTAAAGATTGAAGCAGAAGATTTGAGATAGACGGCCAATATATAGCGCACTTGACTTAGGCAGTTGCACACTTGAAGCTAGTTGAACAACGAGAGTCCGTACCGCTGTTCTTTTCTGCTCGCGTGCCGTCTGAGTTGCGCCGGGGGCCGGATTGAACGGCTGTAGTGTCTTGCGCTTTTGAATCTCTGGCCTTCTCATGCTTGTATTTGAGCTTGTTAGCGACCCGTGCATGCCGTCATTGCAAAGATGTGATAATCCACATTAACATCCGCACCGAAAGATGCCGACGTCCCCTTACACCGATACTTCCAGTGGTTGATTGAAACCGACCGGTAAATCATTGGCTGCACGATACGCTTATGACGAGCTTCTATGTGCATCTAACCTGAGAATGCATGATTGACGGCAAGCATTAGAGTTGGTTAGCTAGTAAAGTCGAGAACTAAGATTTGATGGGCACACGTGTGCTTCCTTGACAAGAGTAAAAACGTGCACCTAGTGCCATGGGCACATGAGGCCTGCCGTCATTTCATTTTGCCAAGCACAATGTAGTAAGAATTAGTTGGATGATCGAAGATAGCAAAAGCAATCAGACCTCAACAACTCACTTGATCAAAGGTGAATCTATGCAATGTTTTTATCGGCAACAAACATTGTGCGAACTCCCAGTGCATGGTGAACTGACCTTACAGGCCCACTAGCGTTTATTAGAGAAAGGAATTCAGCAAGATCTCGGTCGAACTTGTCGCTGCCGGAGCTCCAAGAAATGGTTGAGCGCTATTCACAAACATCCCTGCCGCGCAAGTACGTTTAGTACCGCTGATACATCTGTCATTACAGGAAAGCAGGCCTCGAAGGTGTGGCGCAGGTGTACGATATCGTACTCGTTCATGGCCCAAACGGATCCAGCTCCGCCCGCAACATCCGACCGTCTGGCGTTGCGTTTGTTCGACTTCTGAACCCACTCGAACAAGGAGGCCCGTCGATAATGGTTCAGCCAAGCGGGTGAGGGAACCGGGGAGTAGCTCGCGAAAGGCCCGGGTGGATCCACGACGGCACCTGGTTCAAACAAAGTGGTTGACAATTGTGTGATGTCCGCAAATCGAACGCAGACCCGGTTGGTGAATGTGTACCATTGCAGAGAGACGAAGCATTTTCACAGTCCTGATCTGGATGAGCAGTTTAGAAGCTAGAAGGTAACATGCAGTCTGCACGAGTCGACGGCCAACATGATTCTTCAGCAGTTGAATGAAGATGCAACAGGGATGAAAGCCGAAGGCGGTCTCCGAGCAGATTTTCGAGAAGCTGGCCATACGAGATGGATCTTTTCGTCATCAAACAAAAACTTGCGAGCTCCCCTTGCTCTCGCCAGATTTCCGCATAACAAGAGCCAAATCTCTGAAGCCTCAAACAAGTTTCTTGCCGTCAGGAAAGTAAGACAATAGCATGGCAGTCATTTTGCTGCAAAGTAAAGGGTTGATGGCAACGAATGTTCTTCCAAAACAGAAGCTCCGCTCACCTGAAGCGACGTATTGGCGGAACCCCGGCTTCAGCTTCTGAAAGTGGGGGTGGTCGATCGACTCGTGGGCTGCGGTTTTGGCAAACGTCTTGAGCACGAGCTCCTCTAGGTCTCGGCAGCGGAACCGGACGTCCAGAGTGGCGAACGCGGGGTCCGGAAGCGCCACCGCGTCCGAATGCATCAGCCTCCACGCGAAACTGACGGCGCCCACGTCGACATTTTCGTCGTCGAAGCGCGCCAGGAACGCGTCCAGTGTCTGGTTTGGATCTTCGAACACGACATACTCATCGACGTCGATCGCGCCGATCCACTCAGCGCCTCGCTTCGTTTGCCATTTTACGCAGTCCTGGTACATATTGATCTCGTCCGCTTGAAACACTCCAGACGGCCTGTCCCAGCGCATATAGTCCACAAAGGGACCGTACGATTGCGCAATCTCGGCGGTTCTGTCCGTTGATCCGTCGTCGTATATAGAAACCTGGCTCACTCCGAGACTGTATTGGTAGTTTAGCCACTCCTCTAGAGCCCTCTCCTCATTGCGAACTTTCAAGCAGATGCCCACACCTCCCGGCTTCACCGTTACGTTCCGTTCGCATTTCGGCAACAGAATCCTAGAGGGATCCCCCCGCGGCACAAACTCAACCGGTCGCGGATCTTCTGGGTTAAGGACGTGTTTGAATAGGGCAAACCCCGGTTGACCGCCCCCAGCCTCCGTCAAAGCCTCCGGTCTAGTTTTGTAGAAGTGCGCTTCGTCTAGCTTCCATCCCGCGTTCCAGAAATTCAAAAAGGAGCTCATAAGATCCCACTCCTTGCTGCCTTCCCCGACTGTTCTGACCTCATCCTGGGTCAATTTTGGCCAGACCCGAATCCCAATCAGGGAGGAAGGAGATGACGTGTCACCACGTGGCAAGCTATCACGTTCTGGCCCAGTTAAGAGAAGTTGGGCCAAGAAATTGTTGGACTTCGCACGTTTCAGAGTTGACTCTTTCAGGGGCTCCGCAGCTGCGCCGGGGAGTTTGAGCTCCTCGCGCCTGCTGATCGCTTCGCAGAGCTCTCCGAGCTTTGTCGTGTCCAGATCGTCAGAAAAGATCCCATCATTGCTCTTATTCATAACAGCCACTTTGCTCCATCCCTCCAACTCCCTCAGGGGACTTCTCAGAGTTGCGTTCTCAGAATGGAGCCTCGTATGCGATCCTTCGAAGTCCTGGACCCATTTAGGGAAGCCAGACCGGGGACCTCCCAACCTCGAACTGTTGTCCTTCGTCAAATTATATACCGATAAGCCTGCCAAGATGCAAAGGACTATGATGACAGCTGTGGGCATCAGAGCCCTTCGCAGGAGGCCCTGAAAGGGCTTTGCGGCGCCAGTCATGTTGAGTAGTATGCCAAGCAAACGAGGTCGGAAGCTTGCTGAACCACTCTCAGTCGGAGCGGCAGTCAACACTTTGCTCAATGTGCTGACCCCTGTTTTGAAGAGTCTGATCCGACGAACGAACGATCTCAGGGGATGAGTACTCCTGTGCGACTTATGTTTGCCGTGGTTGATAGCCAGTGCCCCTCATTTTCCGTCTGCTCGCAAAGGTCCCCGCAGTGTGCGGCAGACTACAATTCGCGTCTAAGTTTCAAACAGGGGTACGGACCTGTTTTTCTCAAACCACTTCGAGGACGTTTTGACGAAGCTTGGTGGTTGGAATGAACGGACGTCCGCTTTGAGTTCCCTCGTATTAGAACCTGGGTGATTGATTCAACCCAGCTTTCGTAAAATCTGGTTAAAGTACATTCAACAGTGATGCAGCTAATAGCCCACCTTAGCCTCACAAAACTCAATCTTAACTGGGGGGTTAAGACGCCTTACTGTGCTGTTTTCCAGCGGGCCGGGCGTAGCACGTCAGTCGTATCCTTCGCTCCCTGCCAGACCCGATGCGGTACCAGCCGCTAGGGCGGACTTTTCGATGCCCTGCAAGATGGCTGACGGTCTCGACATTCTCATCGAACGGAGTGACTGACGTGTTTTGCAGCTTCGTTGGGATGGAATGTAGTCAGTGTCAGCGTTACGCTTTTGAAAAAAGTGATGGTTGTAGGTCTCGATAGGACCGGGGGCGCTCCTGAGCAGAGCTTCAAAGCAGAACCAGACGGGTCTCCCGAAATGCTATTTTAGATGAGCATCATTCTCAAACCCCCAGTAAGTAGTCCTCACGTCGCTGCTAAAGCTAGCTCGGCGTCAACTCGAAACGAGGGGAACTTCTTTTGAGGCAGCACACTCGCAATCGCGCCATGCAATTGAGCTTCTTGCCCTTAATGTTTTAGCAGCCTTGATGAGCAAGGATGACGGATCCGGAAGGCAGTGCGGTTCGCGAAATGGGTTCTGGTCTCTTCCAACAGGCTTGGCGGTTGCAGAAAATGAACAGGGTCGCACTCACAATCCTTATTATCTGCACAGCGCTCTTTCTCGCTCTGTCTTTCGATTCCCCCTCGTTTTCCAACGTGGAGAACGCATGGAAACCTTGGTTCTCTGCAGGTCCTGAGATGTTGGCAGCGCCGCTTGCCCACAACTGCAGCTGCAACAGCCAAGAGATTACGCCGCAGCCAACACCCTCAGCAGAGATCAAACTCGTGGAAAGAATTGTAGAGAAGCCGGTTGAGAGAATCGTGGTGAAATCAGTGGAAAGGTTTGTAGAGAAGATAGTTTACGAGACAAAGCCGGTACGAGTGTACGTCTATGACCTGCCCAGCAAGTTTACGACCGACTTTTACGCGCATCTACATGCAACGGTAAGTCCATTTGACTCTTAGACTGGCCCTCAAGCTCTTCCAGAATGGTTTCAACCAGGGACCCTTGCGGTGATCGATTTGGTCCCAGATCTGCTCAGTTCTGCTTCGTTGTGCAATCCTTCGTTCCTTCCGAGAACCAGAAAATTCAGGATACGTCGTTCGCAACCAATTTGTGATACAGAGACACTTGCAGAGGGAGTTCAAGAGGCACTCTACCCAACAGCGACCAATGTGCCCGGGCGATAAGTCAGCTACTGAAAAATTTGCCTCCAACGACTCTGCATGTTCCCTCGTAGTAGCATTCAAGTCTGATGCTTGGTTCACGTCTCTGCAGAGGACGCCCCACGCGGCAGAATGGTGGATCTACCTAGACATCATGGGCGATCCGGCGGAACGGGACAACTCCGTCTCCGTTCGTGTGGACACAACGGAAGAGGCGGACGTCTTCCTGGTTCCATTCATGGCATCTCAATCGTTCAACTGTTACCGCCAGGAGCACTTTCTGAGGCACGACTTCCGGGAGATATGCGGCGACTTGTATGGGAAGGATGATGAGCTGCAGGTAAAAGGGCACGGATTTGGCATTTTTCGGCTTTCTTTCCATACCGAGCCTCCAGTTTGTTTGACCGCAGAATCATGCTAGCATGTGCGAAGGCGCAAAATAAGCATCACTGAATCCCTCCCATGGTACGCTGAGTCGGGGCGACCAAGCAGTGGCGTTGCGGGTTTGGGAGTCGCCAAGCCTTACAGCTTCCAGTATACCTTTTCGAGAAACCTGACGCCGCTCCTAGTTGCGCAGGACGAGCTGTTGGCCTGGCTCGAGACGCAGGCCACGTGGCAGCGATCTGGAGGCATTGACCACGTGATCCTCGTGGTGCACCCGCTCGCGATGAATCGGATTGGTTACTTCCTGAGGCCGTGCGTCCATCTGCTGACGGACTTCGTCTTTTATACCTCGGACACGGTGAGCGGCTCGTGAGCGGTTCGGACGATCCGCAATATGGGCGGTTTTGACTATATAAATTCGGACACGTCGGGCAGCTCGGACACTTAGAGCAGCTTGGAAAAACTCATTGGGTAAACCCGAGAAGGAAAGCATCTCGCGAAAGTAAGAGATTTGAATACGGTGGGCATTTCCTGGCACCTTCCTTCTTGACGAAATAAGCGGTTTTGGAAGGGAAGCACTGTTCAGACACGATGAAAGATCAGGAGTGAATGGAGATTCCGCAGAACTGAGTTTTCCGGAAAATTTAAGCGAATCGGACACGGCAGCAGGCGTCCAAGATAAACGAATCGAACACGGTGAGGAGTCCAGCTTGCACCCAAACGGAATTGATCTTCGAGCTCGCGAGGAAAGCGCGAAAGAAAGGCGGTTCCGTCTGCGCTCTGGCTGAAGTCTCTTTCTTTGTGCGATGACTTTGGATATTCAACGACTCGGTCTCCTAGTCCGCTTTTTTTCGCAGGAGACACCTCAACTGCTCGGCAGTCCAGAATCGGGACGGGCGCATTCTTTCTCCTCACGTTTGTTCCGAATTTTCTTGGCCTCTATCCTTCCCGCGTGTCCTACTGAAGAAGGTCCGACAGCCCAATGTTGAACGCGACCGATTCCCAAAAAGCCAAAACCTAAATGTCTTTCTACTTTCCTTCTCTTCCGGCAAAATGCAGACCCTCTCTCTGACGCTTGGTTAAACTGCAGGCGAGCTTGGAGAAGGACGTGGTCGTCCCGTATTCACACCTGGTGGAACGGCTCCCGGACGACCTGGTGGGACCAGCCACCAGCGAGGCGAACCTCGCGCAGGCAGATATCCTGCTATATTTTGCCGGGATCCTTGAAAGACAGGTGCGTCGTTTCACCTTGAAACAACTTCAAGTTCCGAGTCCTCCGACGTGGATACGGATGCTGAGGGCTGCACAGGAAAGACGCCGCGAGGGCATGCTTCTTTGTTCCTTCTCTCGGAGTCATCAATTCAGAACGGTACGGTTCGAAGCTACGTTACGAAGTCTGTCTCCGCCTCGATTAGAAGCTTTGTCTGAGCACGGCAATCAGCTGTCTGAATCCTAAACCCAAACATTAATGTAAATGAATCTAAATGCAGCAAAGGAGTGTTCTGGACACAGGAAAAAAGTCGGTCTGGAATCCCAGAATGTTGATCGGACATCGGAACCGACGGTTAAGAACGCAGAGTGGAACCTGAGGATTGGAAGGAAAGACTATATTCAGTTGGGTCGCTAACATAGGTATAATCCAAGCCTTTCTTGCTTCCCTTTAACCCTTTCTAGAACATTCAGAACGGTATATTCACTAAAGCGTTTCCCCGCGCCGCTGTGCAGGGTATGGGCCAAGTCCGGAACAAGCTGAGCGAAGTCCTTCAAGGAGAGGAGGGAGTGGTCATTAACAGCCGGGAGGGCCAGGGAGCGCTGGACGACGACACGGTGGCTGCTACCGCTGCGGAAATGAGGCGATCAAAGTTTTGCCTGGTGAGCCTCCCCGGGCGCAACTTCATTGCAATCAAGCAAGAATCCGCCCGGTGAGTAACCTCGAAAGGGATTATCTAGCACGAAGGGCGCCGACTGACGGTTTGCACGGTGAGTTCTACCGGGCGCGGCTATCAGCGTCTATAGCTCTGCCCGAGAAGCAAGCGCGACGGCGCCCTTCGAAAAATTCCATACCGTTGGCGGTAACGCTTTTGTTTGCTCGGCGTGGAAACAAGGGGGATGATCTGATCAGGCCGCTTCAAACGAAAAAGTGGATTAAAACGGAAGGATCACTGTCCTTGAGAACAGAATATCTCGTCAGCCAGATATGTCCGGCCGTATAGAGTGACGCTTGAACCCACTTTGCTTCTCTCTCCTTGTGCGCGCGCAGGACCCTGCCGGCGACACCCCCTCCTCCGCGCGCCTGTTCGACGCGATCGTGAACCTGTGCATCCCGGTGATCATTAGCGACGACGTGGAGATCCCTTTCGAGGGACAAGTGAACCTCAGGTGAGATTAATTAAAGCCAGTCCCCAGATTCCCTGGAGGCGTTAAGATTCTGGGTTCTGACGAGCTTCTTTCTTCGCATTGCAAATGAAGCACGTAATGATCGAGTAGGTGCCTCGGCATGAAGTACACTTGGTAATTTCAAAGTGATGTACGTCTCGACAAAAGGTGCCTCTTCTGACAGTTGACAACATGAATCCTGATCTGGATCAGCATCCTATTCAACTGAGTTCAAGCGTGTGTCCGTTTCTGTGGCGTCATGGAAGCATTTGCCCCCGGACTCTGCAGGACCGCTTTACAGCTTCTCTCCCTAGCTTGCGTCTTCCCCTTTCTTGCGCCCAAAGCTGCGACAAGCTCCCTTGTGCGCCAGATCGACGAGTATATAGTGTACCGCAAAAATGCGACCATTCTCCAGACGTTCCAGTCTCAAGTCCAAGACCTCTTCCTCTCGCCTTTCAAGATGGACAGTTGCTTCGAAAGCTCGAGAATGGTGCCAGATCGTAAACTGCTTTGAATTTTCTCACTTCGAGCGAATCACGCCTCTCCTTTCTGCAGAGACGCTTGTGTGTTTGTGACAGAGGCTGACGCAGTGCAGCCCGGCGTGCTGGTGGCGCGCTTGCGAGCGATGCCGGACGAGGACGTCCTGAGGATGAGGCGACAGCTGCCAGAGGTCCGGACACCAAGTCCAAGCTTTCTCTTGGAATCTTGCTCTTAAATTGGTGGAATCCGCTAAAGCTATGTTGATCCATGCGTCTTTTAAAGAAAAATTTTCTGCTATGTCTGTTTATTCTGATTCGTTCCTGGTAAGGCGCATTTCCAAATACTCTCGTTCAAGCGGATATTCTCGCTAACCCCAAGACACATGGTTGTTATATATTTCAATTCAACCAAGTCCAGTGCTGCCACGGATATATTACCATCCGAAATAATCAATAAGCCCGTGGGCGTAGCAGAATACTCTGCGTAGTAGAAGAGCTTTGTAAATGGCTCACATGTGCTTTGAAGTAAGACCCACAAATTCCGAAGAACGGAGTACGTCTTTCGGCAACCTTCTTTTCTGCGCCCGGCAATCCTTCGGAGGCTGCTTCCCTGGAACAACGTCGTGCTCTTATTGCTGTGACTTACCAACCGGTGGCGCTCTTTTGCGTTTTCAGATTCGCCATCAGTTTGAGTATGCTGACTCTCCGCCGGGAAAGGATGGAGCTCTGTCAATGATATGGCGGGAGGTCGCCGCCCGATTGCCCCTCATTCGACTGCGACTGGCAAGGCGACACCGCGGAGCGTCCGCGCCACATGCTATGACGCACGATAGGCTCGATGCGAGTCGGAGGATGGGCGGGTGACGTTTGGGCCCTGGGGCAGATCTTACTCAGTAGCACTCCAGATCTGTCGCCCGTCGAAACGCGTAACGCGTGAAACATTATAAGCGATGCTTCAGACCTTTTGTTTTAGGATCAGGAAGGAGGCATGCTGAAGTATCTATGGCATGAAGGCTGGCATTCTCATATCAGAAGAACCTCGGGAAGGTGTCTAAGTAGATATCCACAAAGGACAGAGGTACGATTGGATCCTTACGTTTGCCGACCGTGAATGCTTTCTATATTCCGACTTCAGATAAAACCGAGTCCAATCTTTTGAAAATGTAACGTCGGGCAGCCGTCGGTGAAACGGCAGCTGGCTGGCCTGGTCACCATGGACATATACTGGGGTTGTTCGGACGATGCATGATTTTGGCTTGACCCGTATTAACCCTTTACCATGCATGATTTGGATATGCCACATGCTGCAGCTTGCAGAGCGGAACCTTCTGAGAATGTTCTGGCAATTAAAGAGTACGGAATCTACCGGACAATCTCTTCCTTATCAACTCTACAGGGTCTGCGCAACCTCTCAGCCCAGTCTCTATTCTCTAAGATGCATAAGGCTCAGGCCGATGAGAAGCCCTAGGCAAGGTCCGTCAGATCAGATTATCCTTTACTCATGGAATGACCACGGTCCTTGCACGCGCGTCCATCTTCTGGTACATAATTAGAGACTTCGCCTTGGAGCAAAAACCTGTGTTTGCGACACATGATTACGATACCTTCGAAAAGTAAGTTATGCCTTCTTCCTCAGGAACTCTTCCGGATGCCTCAGTCCCAGGCTTAAAGTATCTCAAGATCCACAGCAAGGAAAACGAGGTTGTACGTTCAATCCCGCTGAAAGGAGTGCATAAAATTCCGCTACGATGTTTCCTCGGTAAAATGCTACGGATTCCGCGGGAAGGAGCTAAATGTTTTCCGGTCCGGAACGGGCGGAATCGCCTCAAAGGGATTCCGCCCTTGTTCCGCTCCTGACCGTGGAACTCTGTTAGCGCCGAAAGCTTGGCAACAATAAGAGCCAATTAAGGTGCGCACTACTGTAGTGTAATGCTTCAAATGTTGGCGGACAGCTTGCTACTTTTCAACAAGAAGCCGGTCTGAAACGGCTGTGCAAAGCGCGGCGCTCCTTCAAGGGTCAAGATTTACACTCTTCCAAAAAAATGGACAGGCTTGACGCGCCTCTTGTCGACCACCTGCTGACTCTCCTCGGTCCTGCAGGAGCGTGCAGAGTGGCTGTCCTTTCTAAAGATCACAAGGAGCTGGTGGAAACAAACAGCCTCTGGAAGACATGGTGCGAGCGCGAGAGTCCTTCGCTTACCACCTCCCCTGCAAAAGAATACGTGGAAGCATTCTATGGAAATCGTGCCAGCTACAAGAAGCTTTTTGCGAAGCTGTCGCGAGAGCGGAGTGGAGCATCTGTGAAATGGAATCTGAACAAAGACGCAGCTGTGGGCAAGAATAGGGGTTCAAAACTCTCCGATTACGTCATGCTGATGGACGTTTACTTGAGGGGCGAAAGCTTCGTGTTTTGTTCAGCCGAGTGCAGCGAGTTGGAGGTTGCAGGCTACCAGGACGATTGGATGTTCCAGAATGGATACTACTTTGACTGTGAAGGAGTTTGCAAGGCAGTGGTCAGAGCTTTCGTCAATCCTCCAGGACTTAAGGAGGACGTCAGCTCAGCGGTGAAGCACGTGGCCAGTCTAGATGAGCAGCAAGTAAGCAGATGGCCAAAGCCCGAGCGACAGGAGGTGCTCTTATTCTCCTGGAAGCTGATGCGCAAGAGCGATGGGAAGATCCAGAATCTGCTAGACCACGAGCCAATGAGCCTAAGCCATCGGACATTCCTTCTGCACCCAGAGTACCGTTTTGAGGCCTTGGCGCCAGTAAGAGATCCAGAAAATTTAGACTGGACGCTATTCAAGGCCCTGATGCGCTTGCGAAGCTACAGGGAAGAACAGAAGGCGGTTCAATGGGATGGTTGGACTTCTAACCCTCCACAAAAGCAGGAGGAGTACGCCGTTGAAGTGGGGATTTCTAAGGACTGCTTTGCCAGGGAGTGTCGTGAAGGTAGCGGTGTTTCCTTGAAGTACCTGGATGATTGTGACCGCAGGTCTTTGCTAAAAATCGTCATGCTAAGATGGTAATGATGAATCTACTGCAAGCTCGTTAAAACAAATTGGTGCGAGACAAACCAGGAGGTCAGGGTTCCTATTCGGCTTCCAGAGACTCCTGAATTGATGTACAAGATACTTCAAATTCTGAAGTATAGAGACAGGGCAAAATTTCATCGAGCTCAAGAAGTGTCTCAATAGTCACTTATGTTGACATGGTGATGCGGGAAGAGGTACAGGGTAATGCACTGCTCACATGTTTTGATCCAGGTTGCAGATTGGACAACGCGCTTTCGTGGCAAGCTCAAATGTCCGAAAGAATGCAGTCCCGTAGTGGAAACCTGCTCATTGTTTCAAACCATGTAAGTCTGTGATCAGTGCAAAATTTTGGCAAAACTCCCATATATAGATCGTATTTTCTTTCCAAAGCATGGGCGTCCGAACAAGCTCTCAGGCAATCCTAATAGACAACAAACGGGTTGGTGCTCAAGAGCTGCTGCTATTATGCATGTAAACCAGCTCAGTACTGTTGATCGCGTTATAGCATGTGATGTATAATATATGGCCGGCACAATTGCGTGGAGGCAGGACCACGTCCACAGCTGTGTTTTCCAATCATTTCACACTGCGAAAATCGCGACGCTGTTGCATGGAGGTAAGATGGCAATATTCGCCAATCAATTAAGCGCAAACACCTCTCCTACAAGATGATGTATGCTGTTCACAACTGGAAATCCAAATCTTGTGACTACTCTTTCGTACGTGATACTTTAGTATTCATGCGCTCCCCCGCTTTCTCATTGTTCTGAAGTGAGTTCTTGCAATCTGCAACTCTCCACCGCTCTAATCAAATCTCACACGCTTGAAGTCACGGTCAACATTACAACCATCCAGCTAATTGCGAAGTTCTATCCCGCCCAGACCTCCAAGTGCCGATTTTCGACAGCCGCTTGTCTGGTACGAAGAGTCCTTTTATAGCTTAACTGCCACTCGTAGGATGACGAATCTACTCTACGAAGCGTCCACTCAAAATCCGGCAACTTCATCTTGTGACCAACTTGCTGATTTCGCGACCAGAGTTCCCTCCGCAGAAGCTTTCAAGACATGTGCTGATGGGGACTTCAAACCGTCTCCTTGAACGAGGAGCCACCTGCGTTCACCTGACTCTTTCCATTAACGGTCCAGACCCGAACACTGGAAAGCGCTCTGCCAGCCGCACGTTGCAGTAGTCTTGCTAGACATACTCCAGGTCCGTCAACATGATCTCAACCCAGCAAGCGAGGGCACAAGGTCTCCGCGCGAAGCATGTGGGTACTCCCCCGGCTGCGTGTTGCTCGTCCGAGGAGGCCCCGTCCCAAAGCTAAGAATGCTTAGATTTCTAATGCACAATGATGTTTTTCAGCGACCGCGCATGCGGTTCGCCACAGACACGCCACGTGTCACACCGCCAGGCGCGTCATGGACTGCGTCATCTCCGTGGCGTTCCCGGTCTTGTGCTTGTCGAAGGAGACCGCGTGGTTCTTCGAGAGATGCTTGGCGGTAACGGGAGAGGTCGCCGACACGGGCTGGTGACGCGCGTCCAGGTGCGCGGTGTGGCTGCGGATCCAGGGGTGCTCCAGCATCTCGCCCACCGTCATGCGCTGCTCCGGCGACTTGACCAGAGCCTGTGCAGACAGAGGCCATGTGTTAGGGCCAGCAACGAGCTTTGTCTCACTCTGTCACCTCGTCAATTGTACCGTTAAATTTGAGGCTAGGAAGGCAAAAACATACTTTGTCGATCCATCGAGTCGACCTGCACATTGACTTCTCTGCAGGCGTACAACATTAAGAGAAGCGGGTCATCTGTCGACGTCGTCACTCGTTACGAACTGAGCTAGGGAAGGCGAGCGGGTCATTTGCTGATCTTCGCTCGCAGCAATCAAGGGCCACAATCACACGAAAAAAGTAATAGTTTGTCTTCTAGCTTTCTCCACAGACCGACTCTCACGCAAAACTCGATCATGCAAAGCAGCTACCAGAGATGCGGTGCAAATTCTTTTCTTTCATCTTCGCCTACTTCAGCACCTCAAGAGCGGGGCGCCAGAGTGGTATGCATTATGCACGTCCGTTCTTCGCTTTCCGCCTTTGAAAGTTTGATCTGCAGAATGTGGAGCTGCTTACCTTGGAGATGAAGTGGATGGCGTCGTCGGTGAGGTGCGCGGGCCAGCCGGAGCGGTCGGTGGGCAGCTCCGACCAGATGATCATGGCGCACGTGACGGCTTCGTCCTCGACCTCGAATGGCGGCTTTCCAACGAGCAGCTCGTACGTCAGGATGCCGCAAGCCCTGGGAATCCAAGCAGAGACGGTCACCAACGTAGCGAAGCAAAGGGTTCAAACCGCGTGCGTATTTGAGGAGGGGGGCCGTGCGGCGCGGTTGGCAGAGCTCAGAGTAAGCGGAATACACTGAGTTCCGAAAAAGGGCGATAAACTGTGCACAGAAAGCTTGAGAAGACAGCTGCTGGTGAACTTGATGGGAAAGAAGGTAAGTTGCTCCATCATGCGTACAAATCAAACAAACTCATTTGCCTTGACTTCCATTGTGCACAAGGAAGCCCTTTCTGTCTGGTATCTCGCCCTACGCAAGTCGAAACCAGCTTGCTTTCCGGATCCAGGTATGAGCAATAGCACGGTCCCAGCACCATTACGATTGCCAAGCACACACTGACAAAACCGACCGCATCACGGCGTGGCGTTCCTATTTATTGTCCCGTGTTCCTGTCACGAAGAGTTCATCACAATCAGGAAGAGCAATGGAACATTAGAAGTCAGGCGAACTCACCATGCATCGACTTGCTCATCGTACTCCTTCTGGCCTACGGGCTCTTCTCCCTGAGCAGAGACTGGCAGCATGAGGATCTCGGGGGCCATGTAGTCAAGCGTACCTGCAATAAGATGCATTTGGTTGATGACTTTCTGGAAGGAAACAGTGTGGCTCGGTTGTGCTGGAGAGGCGGGTTTGTCGTGGCCTGTGAACGGGCACACGCCCCTCGAGAAAGCTGGATCAGTAGCTCTTAGCAAGAAAGGCTCTTGATGGGGTGCACCCCAATCTGAAGGGTGCGCCATCTTGATGCACCTTTTAAAGCAGAGGTGAAATGTGAGTCTTTGAAAGGCTGGAGGACTGCAGATGGAGAGGGGTGTGCTTTTTGGAGTCCCAGGGTTCATAGGAACCTTACCAATCCGGTGAACAAGGCGTTCTGTGTGCTTGTTGATGGCAAGACCAAAATCGCCGAGCTTCACGAGACCATCGGCATCGACAAAAAGATTCTCTGGCTTGATGTCCCTGCAAGAATGACGAATGTCTCATCAGCTGCTGGTCTATATCTCAGCGCAAGGCACAGGAGGAACAATGAAGCAATCATCTCCTTGAACAAAGTGCAACATTGATCTGCACAAAAATGCCTCAGATTCTGGGGCTCTTTTTGCAGAGGACTGAGTTCGTATTGACGTATGGATGCAGAATCGCAAGCGGGAATCGGCAAGAATGGAGGAAACTTCAGATCCACTCCAATGCGTACCTGTGAACGATGCCGAGCGCGTGTATATGTTTGAGAGCACTGAGAAGGGGAAAGAGCACCTGGAGCGAGATACAACAAGGTCCTGATCAGATGCAGCTAGAGCATCAGCCAAAATGTGGCAGTCAGATCTAAAAAGCTTTGTATGAGCAATCACAGTCCGAGATGCAAATGCAGAACCCAGTAATGCAAGCGCTTGCAAGAGGAGTTGCTTTGAATGAAGGACATCTCGTGTGCAAGGGGTCGTGTGAGATGGATGCGGGTCTGACCAGCTTGGCAGCTTCTTCCTCTTTAAGGCGACCCCCGGCGTCCTCCAGCATCTGTAGGACGTCCCCTTTCTGGCAGTACTCTTGAACCAAGTACATGTTTGCGGTGTCCTCAAAGGAGGCTAACACAGGACAGAGGTACTTGAAACTGCATTCAACAACATAGTTTAGGCAGTGAGCCAGTGCCCTGTGCACTAACCAGCAAAAAATGGGCTTCAGCTACCCAGACTGTGTGCTTTGCTGAAGTGCGCCAGAAGTATAAACCCTCACTTCCATAAAGAAAGTGCACAATTACAAAGCACTGAGGCCATGGAATGCCTTTACAGATCTGCAAGCAATTGGCAACTTGAATACCAAGAAGCTGAATCCACCCTGTATTCGGGGTTCTAAAACCTCGAGGCAAATGTTTCGGTTTGGAGGGCTTTACTTACGCTCTTGCCTTCTCATCAAGGATATTGATCTCCCGCTCCACTTGCAGCCTGTTTGCGGCGCTCAGCTTGTTTTTGAAGTATGCTTTGATGGCCGCTAGGAAGCTCGTGCGGATGCATTTTGCAGCCCACACTATTGACGCTCTGGAAGTAAAGAACAGACGCTCAGTTTTTGCAGCAACAGTACGCATCCAACAGATCCGAAGACCATGCTGTGCTGGGGGTTTCTAGCATTTCTCAGCTAAGTTAAAGCAAGCAAGCTGTATGAATAGCATCAGGAAGCTGCAGACTAGAGCTAAGAATCAAATGTGCAGAGCGGTTTCAACTGGTCTGCTCAAATTGACACTCGAGTCTGACATAGCTCAGGAATCCTTGTGGCTTGCATCTCCATATGTCAGAATTTTCTCTAGATCTTTTGGTGACGAGCGCCAGCTGCTGCATATTGATGAGCTTAGCCCATCTTCAGTTGCAGCACAGAAGCTGGACCACACAATAGATACAGAAAGGAGCCAAAAGGGAGATGATCCTCACCTTCCATTGGCTATCTCCACTCGGTCTTTAAAGTCAGCTAGGCCGCGCCAATACTTTGCCATTAGCGCTAGGTCCTCGTCCGATCTGTCCTCAATCATTGCGGTATTCAAGCCCGCAACCTTCGAAGGCTTTTGCCCCGCGGCCGGCATCCTGTGGACCAATTCAGCTCTATCTTAAGTTGTTCTGATTGGGGTTGACAGCATAGTGGAAGCGTCCTCTTGTTGATACACCTGCTGAGCATTGGGATGCCAAAGCTTGAATAAGTTTCTGCTTTACAGCTTTACAGCAGATACTAAGCTGCTGACAAGTTCCTTCTTTGCAGCTTTCCAGCAGATACCCAAGCTGGAAGTAGAGTAGTCCTAGCTTCAAACAGGCATCTTCATCAACATTCCTTTGAGTGAAGGGTCTGCACCAGTACTTACCTGTTGAAGATGGATCACGGCCAACCTCAGGAGCCTAATTAATACCTCGGTTCCTTCCACTCCAATCTTTTACAGGACAGGCAAACTTCTCAAACAACCATGTCCTTCTTTCGGCCAAGAAGGAAATGGATCAGTCCCTTCACCAACAAGCGCCACAAGCTTCAATGTATCCCAGGTGATGGCAAACGTCCACAAAGGCGCCCTGTCCGCTTCGAAAACGCTTCTGTGGCAGCAGCACCACATCATTGATCAGGCCAGCTTCGAGGCGCGAGCTCCCATCATTGACGAACAACAGATCTACCTATATGCTCCTTGCATGTCCTGACCTAAGATTACGGAAGTCAACAAGCAAACTTAGCCAAGCCGGGTCGTTAAGAACTGCAGTTGCGTCTGAATTAATGACTTATTGGAAAGTGTGCAGGCATGGATTCCTAGCTCTAGCCCTTTGTGAGTCACGACGATTTCGCTACATAGCGCTGGTACCTACCATATTACCTCTCCTCAGCCTACATATGGTATCTGCGTACCTATTTGGGTGAGAATTTCCTGTTCTGATCTACCTATGTGTACGGTACCGACATCTGCTACATCCTAGATCCAACCACCAGGGAGGTTGTATCTGATGTCAGATGAATGTCAACAAATGAACCGGCATGCAGCATCCTTGTAACAATGTAAGTTGTCATTGTAGCTAGGACCAGTCCAACGTTCCTGGATAAAGTGCTGCAAAAAGTGCATTTCAGAAGAAATTTCAAGCATAAAATCTTTTTTGGTAGATTTGCAGGCGGAAGAACGGAATGGAATTCAAGGCTACTCAATGACTGAGCGGAATCACTCCAGGAATCAGTTCCGTCTATCAAGCAGGGAACCTGTTTCTGACAGCTTTCTGATAAGGATAAAGTTTAATACCTATAATTAAGGATCTAAGAGCTATAAGACACGCCCGGCGAACGGGTGGGGCTGGTATGGTGGTTAGGGTGGGTTCGGGTGCGGAGCACGTCATGTTTGTTGGTTAGGGTTTTTAGTTAGGTTGCTGCCCCGGGTACTTCCTTATGGGTATTAGATCCTAATATAGGTATTAAACTTGATGGATATGCTTTCTGGCCTTGTTCTATCCGGATCTGATTGCAGGCCGGAAGTGCAGCCAGGTATGTACCGTGCACGTACTCCAAGGCGCCTGACCATACCTAGGTTTGGGAGCTACTTCCTGATTGGAGATGTTGCCTTTGAAAATCACATCTCAATTCTCAACTGCTTCCTCTGCAGCCAATGATCTCTCAGGCCCGATTTGGAAATTGCAACCAGGCTAAATGCAGACGATGAATGTACATTTTCTTGAGAGGACTTTGGACATTCGCGCGCGCACAGACTGGATACCCTCGACTCTGAAGCGTCGATAATGTCATATCGACGGTTGCTGGGTCCCGACAAGAAAGCTGTCGGATCGGACGCGTTCAAGTTGCCAGGCACCGTCCGACGGTGCCGACGGTCGACGGTGCGACGGTCGACGTCCGACGGTGCCGACGGTCGACGCGTGCATACCGTACCGCTGTGGAGCAATTGCAAATGTTGAATGATGTCACACTGATAATATGCATTTGCGTATTGACCTATCATATCATGTGCGCCTGCCAGGCAACCCGGCGTATATTGTAGTTGAAAGAAGACCATCATTCTTGGACGATTATATGATGTATGTATCACGATGGGTATATGTATTATCAATGGTCACGCGTATGCATGTCGCATAGGCCCTTTGGTTAGACTGCACTCATTGGTGCGGAGCCGGTTCAACTTAAGAGGGCCTTATCGAAAGCAATAATCGAAGAGCAGATTAGTGGTGCGTCTAAGTTACATGCACTGACGCACGTGCGCGTAAATCAGAGGAATTCGAGCCGCGCTATGATGATGTAGCTGTGAAATCTAATGTAGAGTAGTAATATTTCATGGCATCGCTTTTGCGCACCTACATCTGAAACGTTATGTCGAAAACTTGAGCCTTGAATGAGGTGCTAAGCATAGCGCCCAATAAGGTGGCATGACTACGTTACAATGGGAACTTGAACTTGGATAACAACGTAGCGGATCTCGCCGTAGGCTGGATATTCGACAATCGACTTGTCCAAAACGTTATTTGGCACACCGATCACTCTTTTCTTTGGTGATTGATATAAGCTCTGATACCTCAACAATGCTCAATTGTTGTTCTATTTACATGTTCAACCTATAAACGAATGGTTTGAGGGGTTTGTATGTTATATGCTCAAGTCATCGAGCTTGCTACCCGGCCCTTAACCGCCCTTCTTTTTGTTGCGACGTATTTGACGTCCGAGAGGGTTTGACAAGCCCGTTTGGTGCATTGAAAGGGCTTGGTTGCGCTAGGTTCTTGGAACCGCTTTGAGCAGACGTTGAGGACGAGGGCGGGAGCTCTCCCACCGAAGAGCCGGAGGATGTTCGAGCCGGAATGGAGGGAGCGGTTTCCATGTACTCCTGCAAAATAAGGTCAAACTCAGTGAGTGCGTGTGGGAGGGAAGGAACGTGTGATTTAGGTCTAGCCGCCCCCTACATGCCCTTGTGTGCATCTCTTGTTTTAGACGCTGTCTTACCAACGCAACTGTCGGAAGGTGCCCCCAGGATACAAGACAGATCCGAAGATTTACCGATGGGAGCGCCAACTCAATGGGGACACGAGCACACTACTGCAGGCGTTTCTAGGTGATACGAACTCACACCAAAACAACGAGACACCGGCTATGCTTTCAAGCAAGAAGGCTCGGTCTGCCACGCTTGCACAATCAAAACAAAGGCCATAACGACCTGACAACTGCGTTTACCACCGGATCAAAAGCCTCAAGAGCTGGTTGACAAAGCAACCGCATACTTTCGAACGGAGGATTGACCGTAAAACACTGCGGTGCTCGAATTCAAAAGCTTCAGCGCCAAAACGTCTTCTTAGCCAAAGCTTCTGCACGCCCAGATTCCCAAGCCCCGAAAGAGTCCGATCCCCACACTCTCCAGATCCAAACCGCCGAACGCCTTCAAATCCGAAACCCTCCAACCACAACCCTCCAACCTGAACCCCGCAAACAACTTCGGACTTGAGTTGTAACCTCTTCTAGGGCTTTAGGACCTCTAGCTTGAAATGTCGGAGCTCTAAACCCATGTGAGCTCCTCAACGGTTCTACAGGGAAGAAGCTGGACGAAAGATCAGTAGAGCGTTGATCCCACCCTGCAGCGCCGCAAAGAAACACGTGTTCAAGTAAGGCAATCACAGCTAGTTAACAGCCCATGTCATAACCGCCCCCCCCCTCACCTGCAGCGCCGCCAGGTGGCGCACGACGGTGCCCATGGTGGGCCGCGACTTGGGGTTGTCCTTGAGGCACTGGTCGCAGATCTGGCCCGCCTTCTGCGCCGCCTTGACGTCATACACGCCCTCCAGCCGCGGGTCCATGATCTTGTACATCTTGCGCCGGTCGCTCAACAGCGGCTGCGCCTGTCGAGCTGAACGGAAACTTGGTGAAAAGGTCGGCCAGTTGGTTTCCTGAGAAAAGACTTTCCTTTAACCTGACCTGGTCCGCAGCTCTTTGCATGTTGCGCCGGTCGCTCAGCAGCGGCTGCGCCTGTTGTGGAAGATGAAATCATGGTTAGGAAGTCAACCAAGACCTTTCGGTTGTTCCTAAGCAAGAACCTCTAAAGGTTTCCTTGGCCCTTTTCTTGGGTCCCTTGATCTTGTACATCTTGCGCCGGTCGCTCAACAGCGGCTGCGCCTGTCGAGCAGAAAGGACACTTGGTTACGGGTCGCCCTTTTCTGTTCTTACTGAGAGACATTCTCACAAGTTTCCTTGTCCTGAGTTGGTCCGTCCGTTTTGAGCTTATTGCGCCGGTCGCTCAGCAGCGGCTGCGCCTGTTCAGGAGACCGGAGACCTGGTTATGGGGTTGACCTTTCAGTTACTACTAGGTAAGGGTTCCCATTAGTTTCCTTCTGACCTAACCTGGTTAATAGTCCTGTGCATTTTGTAGCCTGTCGAGCGATATGGAGACTCGATCATAGGGTCGCCCATTTCGAATCCGATCCTGAGCAAGAGTTACTAGCAGCCTTGTGCATCTTGCGCTGATCGTTTAGCAGCGGCTCCGCTTGTCCCGGCCAAAGAGTAAGTTGTCGATTCATATGACAAATCCCTTTAGAGACCGTCCACTCCGTCCAGGAATGAAAAGAATCTAAGAAGGAACTTACCCACTGCACCTGTTGTGGGGCCCCCGCGGCTACCCCTTGTCCAACGCAACCTTTCCTGTGAGCAGCTTCAGCAAGGCAGCGCAAAGATCTACTACCCCTCTAACATTCAGAACACCGTCTCAAGACGCCAAAAAATGCCGTCTGATTGAATCCAAAATGTCAAAAAGCACTCACCCATTGCACCAGGTTGTGCTGCCCCTGCGGCCGCCCCTTGTCCACTGCAATCTTGCCCGTAAGCAGCTCCAATAACACCACTCCAAACGAGTAAACGTCACTGCGCGCCGTGAGGTGCCCCGTCATGACGTACTCAGGCGCGCAGTAGCCGTACGTGCCCATGACACGTGTCGACACGTGGGTCTTGTCGCCCGTCGGGCCGTTCTTGGCCAGCCCAAAGTCGGACAGCTTTACGTTGTAGTCCTGCGAGGAGGATGTGCTCTGTTCAGACTCGGTGTCGCTTCTGTCGGGCTCGAAGGTATGCCGATGTGGCAGCCGCCAGATACACGCACAAGCGGCTTGAGCGCTTAAGAGGAATCTCGCATTTCTTTCTTTTAACTCCTCCTCTTGAATGCACCGCACCTGGGGTGCCCCGCTTTGAAGGCTCCTCTGGCAGAAGGCCTAACGTCTCCAAATCCCCACGATCATCGCAAAATCCACAGAAACTAAAAGAAAAGAAGCCCAACCCTTTTCTTCTTCCCAACGGACATATTGTTGGCTCTGAAGCAACCTCCAACTGCATCCTCGCACGGAGAACCGGCATGGGCGTTCCGAAGGTGCCCTTCTTCTTGACGGCAAATAGACGCCCTCTGCCATAAAGCCAAAACACTTCCTTAATTCCCGACCGTCTGTCCTCGATGCTTCGCCTGGCCCCTCTTCTTGACGTCCAGAGCAGAACTTCCCTCTTCAAGACCCCAAAACAGTTTTCCTCTTTTCCAACACCCCCCGCGGCGCCTCACCTGGTCCAGCAAGATGTTGGACGCCTTGAAGTCGCGGTAGATGACGGGCGGCTTGCCCTCGTCGTCGTGCAGGTACTCCAGCCCCGCCGCGGCGCCCAGCGCGATCTTCACGCGGAGCGCCCAAGAGAGGGGACTGCTGCTTCCTGCACGAGACAACAGCGAATGCAAACGTGTCAGCAGTCACGGCTGATGTCATGGATGTTTATGGCTGGTGGACTGATGGGTTACGAACGGGTGACTGCACGTGCAGCACCCAGGAGACGGGGCTGCTGCTCCCTGCACGAAGGACATTGCACACACGGCTGAGCTTCGTCAGACTCACGGCTCTTGAGGCTGAAGTCCGGCAAGTCTTCTGGCGGGTAAAAAGGATAGCTTCACTCTTTGACTGTCTCACCCTTCTAATAAAGTTACTCTAAGGATGACAACCCGTCGTCGTCATCTCTGAGCTTTCAAGAGGTTGATAGACAACGCAAAGCGCCGTGGCTCCAGACAAACTGGAACCAGAGTGAAACCATTGTAAGCCGGATTCAACCGCACTTTCCCTGACGTATGACGGCGGACGACCTGAATGGAGACCCTCAACGAAAGTAAGCGGAACCCGTGGCTGAGGAATGTAGACTCAAGTAAAGTTTTCGGCCCCCCGCCTCAGCTTCCCCCTCCAAGTTCGATGGTTCAGGATAGGGCTGGAAAAGCCTAGTGATCGTCCACATGGGGGGGTGGACAATGAGCGCGGTTCAGTAGAACCTGCAATTCTAATGAACCAGTTAGAATTGCAGGTTCTAACAGCATGGCGACGGCTCAAGAATCTTTGTAAGGCGACGGGCTCACGTCTGAAGAGGTGATGCTCCAGGCTGCCACGTGGCATGAACTCGTACACGAGCAGCCGCTGATCCTCCTCGGCGCAGTACCCAATCAGGTTGACCAGGTTGGGATGGTGGAGCCGGCTCAGCATGCTGACCTCCACCTGCAACAGTAGGTTCAAGTTTATGTTTCTGTCTCCTTGCATGTTTTCGCCATCATTAGCTTTTTCCGAGTCCCGACAGATGTGTGACTTTTAGGGCTCCGCGCAGAGCAACAGCACGTTGTCTCCGCAAGAAGGCAGCAGCACGCTGCCTCCGCAAGAAGGATTCGGTGCACCCCAACAACCCTATGATCCTAAAACCCATGAAGGACCCATTTGATAACCCAATTGCAGAATTCGTTAATTCTCAAACTTGCGCAGGAAGCTGTCTGGTCTCGACCTTCTGATGTTTCACGCCTTTGGAGTTTGCAGTCACCAAATTGCGGGGACCCAAATGGTAACCCATGACTTCTGATGCAAGCACGCCTCATCCCGATATCGCCGGTATGTCTCCTGCATCGAACTGAATCCACCTCCTATGAATTGCTCCAAGATCCCACACAAACCGGCATCAACTTCTCAACCGGCGGCGTACCTGGAACTCCTGGACTCTGACATCTGACAACCGAGGGGACCCTAAAGGAACTGGCAATGTAAACCCTCGTGGTGCTAATCTGCTGACAAAAACCTGCGACACCATTCACTAAACTAGTCAGACTCACGCGGGCGCTACTGCGACTTGAAGCCGCTGGATGAAAACATGTACAAATTGCAACGTAGTAAGTGTTTCACACATTCAACAACGAGGCCCAGGCGCATGTCAAGTACTCCTTGTAATTACGACTTCCCCGACTCCGTTCTGAGAATAATGAAGCGAACACAATTCGAGATCACAGTGAACCATATTTCAAAACTCAGAACAAGACCAGGCGCACATGAAGGAAATCCTGTGACCCTGGCTTGCAAATGGAGGTATGCTAGAAATAGATGTTACCAGAGCCCGAATCGAGGGTTTACTAGATGCATACCACAACTCCTCGTGACCCTGGTTTACAAATGAGACTCCTAACCGTTTCCTGAGAAGCAAAAACAAGACAAACTAAAACTCAATATTCCGGGATTCCAAGTTGAGAAGGGATTAGGCGCCTACCATAAACTCCTTGTGGCCCTGGCTCCCCTCGCGGTCCAGCTGCTTGACCGCAACCACCTGGCCCGTGCTCTCCAGCCGCCCCGCGTAGACCCGCCCAAAGCCGCCCTCTCCAAGGAGACTGTCCTGCCGAAAGTTCTTTGTGGCGGCTTTGAGCTCCTGCGGGGAACGGAGGGGGGCGGATGAGGTTGGACTGACCTTCAAATCACGAATCGGTGTGACGTGAGTGCCAAGTGTAAGCTTTCTGCCATGGCCCATTTTGCTGGAGGATGCTGGTGTCCTGGAATCCTGATGGATGATCCCTCTTAATGATATCGGTGCCTGAGCACACAAAGGGCAGAAACTCTGATTGGCGGTCTGCGGAAAAGCCGTTCCAACCGCTTTCGCCTCCTGCAAGGGGGAAGGATCATGCAGACAGCCCCCTCATGAACTAGATTTGCACGTGTGAGAGGAGCGACGAGGTCAGAATTCACTCACCTGATAAGTAAACGTTCGGCACTTCACGGGGGACGTCAGGGAAGGCGTCATTCCGTACGGAAAACCTGGACCCCCGGCCGCCCCCCCAAGATCACTGGAGGCACTGCCGGAGCTGCGATGGCCGCCCGTTACGGGAACGACCTGAGGCAAAGGGAGGGCCTGCCGAGACGCTGGACGAATCCCGCTGTAACCTGGGAACGAGAAGAGAGGGTTCGGCACCCAACAAATTGCAGAGCTAGAGGAGTTTGTATGGCCGTATGGTTTTGTGGATGTGCGCCCATTAGAATACAGGAGAGGGAAGAAGTTGCATTCATCAGACTGCAGTGCTGATGAGGGCGGTGTGGCTGTATGGTCGGGTGGATTCGCGCTCACTAACACGGAAGTGTCGCATCTGTCAATTTGCTTAGCTGGCAAAGTCTTCAGCGTCTTGTGGATATTGCGCCCACCAGAACGCAGGAAAGGGGAAGTTCCGTTGACAAGCCTCCGATATTCAAATGATGGCCGTCCTTCTGAGAATGCTCGAGCTGACAAAATCTGTTTGGCGATATGGCTCTCTGGATGTGCGCCCACTTGTAGGCAGGAGAGGAAAAGCTCAAGCACTTTCGTGGGGAGCAAATCTGGTCTCTTTGGTGCTGTAAGTTGCATCTATGGGCCAGGTGCAGTAGCTCAGCCCCACAGTGTATGGTTTGCAAGCGGGGCTCGATGGCAAGGTTTTTGGAGGCCCACAGAGAGACAGGTCACCATTGAAGATCGTGATCATTCCACACTTAGAAGATCGATGGAGACTGAAAGGGTAGGAAAAGGAGAGAACAATGAGATGCGACCACAGTGCGCCTCGTAACCAACGGGCACTTTTGGGGACCGCCCGCGATTTGACGAACGCAACGAAATATCACAAAGTTGCATTGGACAATGACCATTGCTGCCAGTCGAACCAGCAGCATTGATATCCATCAGCATAATGCTGAAACCCAAAGTTTGCCCCTACGAACAAAACTGTGACATATGGTAGCAGGAACCAAACACAAAATCCAGGGTTCATAGGGTCAACAGAATTCAGAGCCTACAGATCCTTCAAATAGAACAGCTCCAAGTGGGGGAAAGACCGTACACTGATTGAAACCCTTCAAACAATAGCAGTAGAGCGATGGGACCCACACCCAAAATGGAAAAATCAGACATGTGCATCTGTGAACGATGAGGCAGAGGCTAGCCCATTGTCTGAGAACTTTCTTTGAGACTGTAGATTCCAAAAAACAAGATGGGGCATCGCAATTGATGGGGATGGCGTCACCTGCCTGCCGTCGATAGAGGGAACCAAAAACTTCTTAAAAGGAACCAAGGTTGCTGGATTCTCAAAAATGGGGCACCATGTCTGGAATGAGCCGTCCAACGGTTGAGCTACATCAAAACCCTTGCATTGGCAAAACACACAAGAATCCCAAAATAGCATAAATATAAGCAAATTTACCAAACGTAATAGTCAATGCACCTGGCATACCTGAGCCATTGGTGTGGATGATCCCATTGCCATAGTTGTACGAGCTGGGCGCGTGCGAAGACGAGGCATGCTTCTTTTTCGGCTTCCCTCCGCCAAAGCAACCCATGGTTCACCACCGCTTTTGCTCTTGCTTTGTCCAAGAATCCTACAAAAGCGTCACTGGTGTCGACTTTGAAGCACTTAATCCAGAGAGGGGTCCCTCGAAGCTCGCCCCAAAAGCTGCCGTAATTTTTAGAGTTTTTGGGTTGGCATGAGCTGAAGGTCTCGAAGCAATCAGCTTGGGCGGCGTCTTGAATAGTCAGCTTAAAATAAAACCTTTCCTTTCAACCACTGCAGGATCCTTCAAGTTCAAACTTCAGCGGCAATTTGTGTGCGCCTTGACATGCTGCATGACCAGGTCCATGGCCGACGCAGTTGCGGCCAAATAGAGGAAGGATCAGGAAGCACGAAGCGATGTCAGATCCAAAATCGCATTGAATGCGTTCAAGCAAGGTGTACCTAGGTACACTCAGACTGATATATCCCATGATTGGACAAACAAATTTTGATGTTAGGCCAGCGTGGCATGGTTTACAATGGAAAACCAGCCTGAAGACCTCAAAACCGCCCCTCCCAAGATTGGGTTAACCTGCCACGCTGGCAGCTAGACTCCTCGCCTAAATCCCAGGGACCCGGCCAGACGGTCGCATCTGACATTCTCCGAAGTTCCGTGACGAACGGCCTAAACTTTAGGGCTGAACTCTGATCAGTGAAGATGGCCAGCCGCCAGACCTTGTTCCATAGGTAAATGCCAACCGCAGATTCAGTATCGGTCAGCGAATATACAGACTTTCAACGGCCCAACTTTCTAGTTAGAGGAAAGGTAACGAACCTGTTGATGACATTGTTCAAACCCATCCTAGTTGCGGCTGCATTGCATAGCAGCACCATGCATGCTGTGCATACGAAAGAGGCAGAATTTCATTCAGATGGAAAATTTGGGCGCTCTCGTCAGCTCTTGTCGTTGAATAAAAGTGGAAGGGTGCATGATAGACATTGGCGCTCTCACACAGCGTGAATGGGGCAGGATGCACATCAGCAGGAATTTTGAGAAGACATTCTTGCGATTGCTGAGCCCTGCAAACCTGACATACGATACCATGGGGCCCAAGGTCAGCTGGGGAGCCTCTGCCAGCGCGTGTGAGCAAAGAGCCGACGTGGTAGACTCGCCGCTTTCACCATATTTCACTTCCTCAACTGGCGTGGTGAGTTGCATGCTCAAGGTCGGCACCTGCTAATATAGTGTGTGTCCCTTGATCTCAAGTCTTCTGTATCCTTTGCAACACCATGTGAAAATTGGATGGCAGTCAGATCATTATAAAAACCTTTCTCAAATGGTGACGTAGTCAGGGCGTTCTTTCAAAGAACCATCACTCTTCATTGTTGAAATCAATGCGCCTTTCGTCCTTCCTTTCGAGTATGATGTGCATTTCAGGTGCAGTCTAATTTGAATATTGGTCCCTTAGGCGATCCTTTCTCACGAGAGAGAAGCACACCGTTTGGTACAGCACGGCCGCAAACCCCACTTCTGGGGCGTGGCCAGCCTGCTGTGCAGATTACAGACCCCAGCATAGAGGGAATGCTGACGAACTTGAACCATACATTGCTACAGATCAGTTGTTTCAAGTCCAATTTTGATCCTGAGACAGTTTGGGTTAGTAAGGGCACTCGGAGGGGCTTGAATGCGGAGCAGGTATACATATGGGTTGAGGTTTTAGTTTTAACTCCGTTCTTCTCACGACTTAAATTCGTTATGCCTACCATAGGGACTATGTGTATGAGTAGGTCTTCTTCGAGCTGCAGGACATAACCGCAGCATCCATCGCCCTGTTCATCTGCGTTGCCTGGCTGAAGAGTGTTGACGCAGCAGTGTACTTTAATCTGCTGGATATGGTGAGCGTGCATGAAAGAGGGCATCTCAAGACCGCTTAGCCCCTCTGAACAGGGGCCCGATTGAAGTTTCTTCTCCACCAGATATCAGCCGAACACGCCCTGAGGCAGAGATGCTTCTGTGCATGTCCATCCAATCTGCGCAAGCTCGCGAAGGGCCCAAAGGTGTCTGAAGCACTTACTGAAGGGCAAGGCATAAGAAGACTGCCCTTTTTGGCCATGATTCTAGCAATCTCACACTGCACCTCATCTTGAAGTTCGATCTTGAAACCCAGCCATGAAATTTCGTCGTTGACTGGGAATTTTTGCTTTCTCTGCAGAGGTTGAGCCGGAAGATGATTCACATCGGGACCGGCCCCATCTTTCTGCTGACATGGAATCTATTCAGGTCTGTCTTGACACCTTTCCTCCTCAAATGCTAAACTTTGCAACCTTGCTTTCGGGAAGAATCTGTAACTTCATTTGCCCTTTTTGAGGTCGTCGGGCATATTGTAAAGCTTCTCTCATCATGCAGCCTTCTCCTACAAATATTAACTTGCTCATACTTCTTCTCGTCAATGACCTGTCCTGGTGCTTTTCTTGGAGTAGCCTAGACCCATTACCGTCTCATGGGGATTTCGAGTGCGTAACATCTCTAAAACGGCACATTGATACTTAAGAAAGTCTGCAGTCTCGCTCCGAAATTTGGCCCCGTTCGTTGAAACTTCGACAGCCCGAACATGATCATGTAGTATCTCTATACAAGGAACTAGAGGAGTGAACCTTACCATGTAAAAGGCCAGAGCACGAACGTACTGAGAACATTCTTCTGGAAAGTCCTCCGAAGATCCTCATTTTATCCGTTGAACTTCTGGCTCTCTCTCAGCGGTCTTATCTGCCCCTTCCTGCTCGCAGTGACGCCCCTGAGGCGCGCTACTTTGCAGCGGTGGTCCCTTTGCTGGTCACCGCCCAATTTTTCCTCATCGGCGTTGGTGAGGATACACAACTATCACAATCACGCACTTGACTTACCGTGTCAGGTCTCTTTCGGAGCTGTTTCAAATCTCGCACAGTGACGAAGCTGTCTGAGGGGATCTCCGAGGGACCAATCAAGAGGCCACTGCATGTCGCCTGACGTCACATGCATCATTGAACTCCATTGGCTCTCCTGACCTTGGATGAAAGTACTCTCTTTCGAGCAATCTGCGAGATCTCTGATGTAGTTGACTGACCAATCGACGATCCCATCTTCAATATCTGCTCCTCTCACCTTTGGAGCGATTCGCTCTTTCCCACACTTTGAGTGAGCCTTCATTCTGCAGATGCGGAGTTCTCCCGTCTTCGATTGGGACGAGTGCATATTCTGTGACCTTAGCCCCCCGGTTCCATTGTTTGACCTGCCAAACTGGATGATATTTACAAGTTGGAAACAGAAATCAGTGGCAGGAAATCCAAGCAGATTACTCATGTCTGCGAAGCTCTGCCGCACGTTGCATACTTCATTTTGCAGGGTCGAAAGTGCGAATGTCAGACTCGGTACTTATGTGGCGGAGTCTTCTTTTGCAGGTGTGATCAATGACCCTCAGGCGGTGGCCTCCATGAGTCGACGGGGGGATCCCTCCGAGCTTCTTCGGGGGCCTCTCTACTACGGCATCGTCTTCGTGGTCTCGACTGTAAGTGCTCCTGCATGCTGCCAAAAGCTCCCCTCTCTCGGTTGATTTGGATGAAACCCCCAGGAATCCTTCGGGGGATCCCTCAAAATATCTTCGACGGCCTCAACACTAGGGCATCGACTTTGTGGTCTCGACTATGAGTGCTCATCGGTCCCACCAAAAGCTCGCCTCCCCTAGTTGCCCCCTTGCTGAAAATCTGCGTAGAGAATCAATTGCAGACTTGATGTTCATATTCAGGTCGTCCGCTGATGACAGCAGAGATGCATCCCAAACACAGTGGCCGGCGCTTCTTAGAAGGATCGAGCACATAATCGTCTCAGTCTGAAGGCACTACTTCGAGGCTGGCGGCTAGAGGTCTTTCCGGGTGCGTCTGCTGACAGCATAGATAGTGCAAGTGTCTGGTTAGCTACTCCAAACCGAGGCAAGAATGCCTGTTCCGCTTTTCCGGCAGGTTGTATTCTGGCGTAGCTCACCGCTGGGCGTGCTCGCGCTCTCCGTGCTGTGCGGCGGAGACGGCCTCGCGGAGGTGCTCGGCAGGAAGTACGGCAGGTGGGTGGGAAGCTTCAATATTAACTGCCATAATGATGGACGTAGTCAGGCTCTCCGAATACTATTGTAGCATTTTGAAAAACCTTCTAGGCTTCATAAAGAATAAGGGGGTGTACGTAGACAAACCTAAGAACGGACGCATTGAAGCTTGAGCGCTTCGCCAAACCGTTCGACCCATGAATCAAAAGCTTCAAAATTGAGTACCTACAGAGGAATTTATTCCTCAGCTCGTATGCAGGGTTCAATATGTGATTGCTGCACTGACGCGTGTCTGCAGCCCTTCAAAAGTCTGCAAGAAGAGCGGATGCTACGTTCGTTAGTGGAAACAGACAGCTTTCCTCGCACCTTTGCCGCTTCTGCTCGGCGCCTGCATTGCTGTGCATCACTCTGGTTCTTTTTCAAGCCTTGAGAAACAAAACCAAACCGAAGGGAAGGAGCGGAAGGAAACGAAAGGAAGCCTCCGGGTGACTGTTTTCACAACTGCTTTTGGTCCTTCACGTGGCATCCGTCGAGAGTGCAACACATCTCGTTTTCCACCAGTGCAGAGTGAAGCTGCCATGGTCTCGATCGAAGAGCTATGTTGGCACGGCCGCCATGTTTCTCGGGAGCTTTCTGTTCGGCTTCGGCTACCTGGTAAGCATCAAGGCCGAATCCAAGGATCTCGACTCCTGAAAATTTGCCATCGTTGGTATACTTGGACATTCTTCCACTTTCTCGTCAGCCGGTTTCCTTGCATCCTCTGTGTAAGTCGATGTAGCGTTGACAACAACGAGGACTGTTTGCTTCCGTGATTGTCGCCTGGCATACGGCAGCACACTGATCTGTTTTTGCAGTCCGTGCTGAAACTGCGCCGCATATAATCGTTTGCAGGTGTACTTCAACTACTTGAAGAACTTCAACCCGGAGTTGTCTGTAGGTAGCACAGCGTTGATTGTTCTTTTGCTGAGCCTAGCAGCAGCGGCTGTGGAGGCTCTGCCTTTTCAAGACGTTGACAATATCACGGTACCACTTGCTGTGATCATCCTCGGCAACTGGCTGTTGCCGTTTGGGACCGTCAACTGCGAATACTGATCTGATTTTGCAGGCTGAGGTATGTAGAGTTCATGATTCCGCTGATTTCTGTGTTCAAGTTCATATCATACTCAGACTAAACGCTCTGGGACTGCCGTTGAGGTGTCCGTGGCCGCCCTCGGCGTGCCGTACGCTGACCTTTGCGGGTTGGTGACATCTTAAGGTCTGGTTCTAAGACGGGTTCCATGTACCTGCAATTATGCGAACATACTGATCTAGCTCGCAGCAACGTACAGTTTCAGAGGCTGCAGCATGTGCTCGCGCGTATACTACTGCTTTCATGTACACACTGTCAGACTAGCTGGCAATCAAAATGCTGCTCAACTTCGACTAAACGTAACGGCAATAACATGTGCAGTAGCATGCATTATCGATTGAGTATGGACGGTTGTCACTCAATTGAATGAAGTATATGCGTATATGTGCATGGTGGCATGTGCGCGTGGCTGGCCCCATGTGCAGCCCCATGTGAGTCGGCCCGCGGCCGCCTCGATCTGACACATCCGAAGCGCGCCGCGCATGCCTTTAAGAGCATGGTACGTCACGGCATGTACATGTACGTATATACTGAATGGTGATGCGGTCAACACATGAGAGCGCCTACGATCAGCAAAATATACAAAGCGCGCAATCTGCTTGATCCTCGTGCACTGCGTAAGAATCCATGGTCACTCTCCGAGGATCGTTGTTCGCTCACGACTTGACACAACTTGGCAAGCGGCTGAGCATACACTATGATTGACGAACGGTAGGCAGTATAGCAAGGTCATCTTTTAACGCCAACAGCGCAAGCGAGAATCCGCTTCACCAAAGAGCGGGGCTAGCGTCACCTTTCGTCCGCATATCTAGCGGCTCTGCCTGACCGTCCCTTGACAGCTGGCACTACCGGCGTCTTTTCCATCAACTGTGTCACTCCGCCTTCGTCGAGCATATGCTGCGGCACAGTCAGCCCCTGATACGTCCTCTTTGACACCAGATATTCCGCCCCTGTCTTTGCCGCGCTCTGCTGCCTTCTCTCGCCAGCCAGCGTCAAGGCGCCAGCCTCCCCTCTTACTTGCAAATCCTTGACACCATTTCCAACCACCGCAAGCGCCGACGATCCCTCTGCTTCCGGTGTCACTTCCTGGACACCCCCCGGTTCGTACGTACCGCTTATCAACGAGAACCGCGGCTCGTCTTCTTCTGAATCATCCTCTCCATCCCCTTTTCCCTCCGATCCTAACCCGTTTTGTAACCCGTTTCCCGTCGCTAGACCGCCGTAGTCCAGCCGATACTCCCCCGTCCAAACCCGTTTCTCCACAAACGCCAGCTCCGCCTCAAAGGGCGTAATCACCGGGGACAAATACTCTTTACTATCTAAGAGCGCAGTTTGCGGGCAGGCGACCAGCACAAACACCTCGCACTCTGGGAAGTTCGCCAGCTTGGCCGGGTTAGGTTTCCCCATGACAAACGTGTACGACTTTTTGCCCGCCGCCGCTATGACGTGGCGCAGCCGTTTGATGACGTCACGGAACCCCGCGGAGCTGAGCGTGCCGACTACGATGCCCACGATGGCCGCGTTCTTGGCGCGCTCGACTAGATAGTACCTGGCGGAGAGTAGATTTGAAACCTCCTTAGAGGATCGCGGATCAACGAGGGGTTTAGGAGTCGACGACGAAGAAAAAGGACTTTAAGCACTGTGGAACGCTTTTGTATATTTGTTGGGGCTCTGCCGGTGTGAGAGCAGACAACATTTGAGAAGGGTCGGTCTGAAAATAAAACAACCGAGACATTTAAAGGCCTTGAGAACAGGTCGGGTAAATGGTGTAAGTGGCAATCGGACATGCACGCCTGTTTCGCGCAAGTGCGGCTTTCTTTTCAACGAACATGGTCAAGGGAACGCCAAAACAATAAACCATCAGGGTCATAAGCTCACAAATGTAAAACTGCCGCTGACATCAAGAACCACAGACTTACAAGACTGGCCCAAGATTGTCTTGAAGCTCCGCCGTTTACTTGAAGTGAAGCTTAACAACAGCAGACATTGCAGAAGGACATCGGACATTTCGCGCCATGGGAAAGCACAGCCTACGTCCAGCATTGAAAACGATTCTAGAGTTATCAACCCTTCGACAGATGAGAACTTTAGCCCAGCGGAGTGATCCGCGCAAAAAGGAGCCGGACGCTCACCTCCGTCTCAAAAACCGGCTGTTGTCCGACACGTCCGTCAGAAGCTTCCTCGTATCCGGGTCATATCGCGCCACCTGGCACCCATTGTGCGTCAGCATGACGTCAGTCAGCGCGGGACCCTCGCTCCCGACCCACACGATCTCAAAGTCCGACATCCGTTCGGTTCCGTACAAGTGCCACGTCAGCCCGCCCGACCGGAACTCCTGCTCCGCTCCGCTGCTCTCCGCTTGCGTCGAGAATCGGACCCGCTCTGCCTTTGCATCACCCTCAGAAACGGAGTCGTTCTCACCCCCGAGTGCGCCTTCGTTAAACTCTGGTTCATCTTTCCCGCCCGTAGTACGTGTTCGTGTTGCTTCGTCCGACTGACCGGTTTCCGTACCCCTACTTTGGCTGGGAACGGAGGCCTTGTCTGCACCTCCCCGGTCTCCTCCGCTAGGCGACTGCGCCCCACTCGACGCCCCACCCTGCGCCTCACAGGGCCCCGAACCGGACGCCGGCTCGAGTTCGACGGGCGGCAGGTCCGCGAAGCGGATGTCCGCGAGTCCCGAGCGTTCCAGCGCTGCCCTTAGCGGGGGGATGGCGTGGGCGTACTCTAAACCGAACAGGACCTGCGAAAACAGCATCAGAAATGCATGTGGAATTGATTGGTCCGTTTCTTGCAGATTCTTTTACCGGAGTCACCTCGCTCTGATTGTAGGCGGCATCCAACAAATTTCAAACCGTCAATCCCCCAACTGCGCGATCGGACGACTGTTTTCTTCTGAAGGGCAACGTCCAATCCAAGGGGCGGCCGAATCTAACAGAAATGGAGGAAGAATCATGACCGCCTGCGGCGGATTCAGAGTTCGAAAACTGCCGCTTAGCCTGACAAATCTGTCCACCATAGACGTCCACAACGGTGCAGAGATTGCGAGCCCTCATTCCCCAAAGTTTGTACAAACAAAATCTTCAAAGTCGGACAGTCATGACCAGTGTTGATAAACACAACCAACTGAGACTGTGACCAGCTTGACTTGGCTGCATTTACCAGGATCTCGCTTCGTCAAGCTTCAGGGAGCGAGGCCAAAGAAGCTGTAGGACGTGAAGAAGAAGAAAGAGGGAACGCTATGAAGTGAAACGAAGGGCCCGACCTGGAAGAAGGTTCCAATCTCCGGTTCGTACGTGGACAGCTTTGATGTTTGAGAAGAGGCCTCACCAGCAACGGCTTGCCGGTTTTTTCCGCCAGGCTGCGCAAGTGGGCGCTACAGTCGTCGACGTCTATCGGAGCAGCGCCAAAGACAAACCGGACAGGTAGCCGAGACGTGCTGCAAAAGCGAAATTTTGCTTATCAAATGCATGCGTGGGATTCCAAATGTTTTGGAGTCCAATGGTGAGAGCCTCCTCCTCTTCCCTTTAGATAGGCAGTCAGAGAAGAGAAAAGGAGCTTGAGGTAGAGCAAGCTGCGAAGTTGGAGGGGGTGAAAAGCCGGCCACAAATCTACAAACAAAGGCATGACCAAGACAAGACGAGCTCCGGTGATGATTGCGAATGCAGAATTTCAGAAGAACCAGAAATGTTGATTTGGGACAGAAAGGGAGAGAAAAGCCTTTTCTTCGTCTTTAGCAAAATGACCGTAGTTAAGTCCTTCAATTGGTCCAGGTAATTCTCAGCCTCCCCAACAAACATGCGCAAGCTCGAAATAAACTCCTGGGCTGACGCATGTGAGTGTCACTGTACAGGCAGACTCTTCACAAGACCAAGGGGGACAACGTATGGGCCTGTGGGGATAGCTTACGGGCTGAGGCATGCGCGTCCGAAGTGTACAACACATTGCGCGTCCGCATGAGCGGCCGCCACCTCATCCACGCAGCAGCTGCCGTAAGTTGTATCCGCCAGCACAAACACTCTGACAGGGCCTTTTGACTCAGTGACTATTTTATTCTGCTCGGCCCCGTTCTGAGTGGGGCCTTGTTCAGAGTGACTTGGTGCATGATCAGAAGGAGTGGAATCTTGGTTAAGTGGGGGTTTGGGGGGTGCAGGCGTGCTTTGTTGGGTTGATGCGGGGTTAAGAGCTGGGTTTGGTGGTGGTTGTGAGGGGGGGTTTGTGTAGTTTGCGGGAGGGGTGAAAGGTCGATTTGACGTGGTTGGCGAATTGCATGCTGATGTGATAGCGGCGGCGACGTCTGGGGAAGCGGCGAGAAGCTCGTCCGGAAACTGCAGCGCACAGGAGCGGGAGTCATGCCTCTGATGACCACTTATCTAAGTAGTGTAGGCATATTGTCTTGAAAGTTTAAGAAGGTTGGGTCAAAGACCTAGCCATATCTTTGAGGCTTGTGCAAAGACATCAGCTCTGAAGTGGTAAGCAGCAGAGTATTCGGGCAATTCAGACGCTGGCTGACCGAAGATGGCTATATTCCCAAAATTGATGCCCCAGCCACCATAAACAATGGGGCCAATCTCAAGGAATTCCCTTTTGCAAACCGTAAAAAGTCTTTTGAACCCAGCTGCTGAGAAAAACATGAAAAAATCAAAGGTTTGTCAGGAAGAGCATGGTATTCTATGGGGTGGTGGTAACACCGCAAGGTTGTATCGGGGAATGATGTGTACTTGTTGAAAGCATTCAGACTGGTGTGACAGGGTGTGTGACACTGCAGCATTGCAAGTCTGGCTAGACGTCGCCTAAATACCACCAACTTCATGCCAAAGAAGGACGCCTCGACTTGGAACTTCAAGTTCGCGTCACCATTGCAATCTTCTACATCGGCCAAAGTGCAATTGTTACTGTCTCTGCAAAAGTGGAATACGGCGTGCATTGTCAATACAATCCCATTCAAAGTCTTTGAAAATTCACAACAGCTTGGACTTCATGGTTGGAAATTTATTTCTGTACCTGCAGCGCCACCCTTGAGAAACCCCGCCGTAGGATGAACGATGCTATCTCGAGGAGCTCAGCCTGGGGCACCCACCACTCAGCGCTGTGAAGCCCTGCCTGCGCCATAGCGGCTGGACAAGAATTAGAATGCTGTGCTCAGCAGCCGAGCTAGGCAGACATGTCCTCGATTAGGCGCTAACCCGAACTGGGTGCTTACTGTGCTTACTGTAACTAGAACGAAAAGGGTGAACTTTATCGTTACCTCTTCGTCATCATCGTTCCCACCCTACCCGGCGTCATGGCGTACTAACTCGTGACTGACTCATAGGTCAATCAATCAATCAATTTATTTTGTAGTCCCGTAGGAGCCATGGGTGGCTCATGAGACAAGGTCTGAATGTAGTCTCGAGTCCTAGGTTGTTCGCACTAGGGCAAATTTGTTGACGGCGTCGATTATTTTCCGTTAAAACTTCGGAAGGTCCGTCGACGGAGCATCGACGGCGTCGACGGAAAGATTGGTAGGTCCCAACTCCCCGTCGACGGAGCAGTGTCCGTTAACGGACTCCGTCGCTTGTGAAAGCCCGCGGTCCCGAGCAAATTTTTGACAGACCGTCGACGGTCCGCCGACGGAAATATGACACTGCGAACAACCCAGTGTTTCCATCGAATTTTAGGAAGTCCGTCGACGGAGTAGTCCGCACCTGCAGAGCCTGCAGATCCTCGTTGGTTGAAGGGCACATTGTCAATATCATATGAGGCGCCTTATCCAGGACTTGCGACAAGTTGCTGATTCAACTAGCTTGCTTCCATCGAGGGGGCCCAACTCCGGATGAAGCCTTGTGAAGAAGATTGAGAATCTGACAGAGGAAGGAGGTGATTTGAATGAGAAGGATTCCCAGAACACCAAATTATTTGACTATAGCAGAAGAGCTGAAGCAATCTGGTGGCAGCCTTTAGCTAGCAGCCTCTGACGAGAGTTTCAACTAGCAAGAAGAGTGGCTCAAATTGTGCCCAGTACAAGCACCTAGACGTCTTGGACTCGCTGGAGGTGCTGTGTGGATACGGCACAACAGTTTCCTGCTCCTCGTAAGACCGCATTGCAAGTCCTTCGGATCTAGTGCTCTGAGTTGATCGGCTAAAGTGGCTTTTTATACCCACTCCAAGCTTCAAAGCTCTACGTAGTGTAACCCCGTGGCAATCCCCTTCGCATCATGGTACGCCTAGGGAGCCCAGCCTTGCAAAGTCCACACCGCCAAGTCCTTCTTCTGCTGGGACTCCTTCTGTCAAGTTCCCTCCTCGTTTCGGGTCAGGTCGCCCTCCCCCCCCTCTCTCCAGCCCCAGCCCCTCAGGCTACCATCGCCACCAGTGTTCTTCCCAACGTTTCAGCTCTGAACGAATCCGCAAATGCGGCCATTCTAGCAACTCTCAACATTCTCCGGTCGGCGCCCCAACCGGCCCCCCCTGCGAGCAACCTACCCAACATTTCAGCCCTGAACGAATCAGCGAATGCGGCCATTCTAGCCACTCTCAACAGCATTCGCTCGGCGCCCCAGCCGGCCCCCCCTTCGAGCGACCTGCCGAACGCTTCTGCCTTGAATGCATCGGCGACTGCGGCCATTCTGGCCACTTTGACCGGAGTTCGCGGTGCGCCAGCGCCGGCGCCGTCGCAGACAAATGTCAGCAGTCTGACATTGCAGCAAATCTTGAACCAGCTGAACCAGAGGGTACCGGTGAGCTTCTTGTGGATCGTTCCCTGGTGCCGTTGAGAACTTGGAGGTTTCTGCAGGTTATGGAGTTCGGAGGCTCCCGATGCAGCCCAGATCATCAGCATTTTGTCTTTTGGGAATTCAGATTTGCCCGATGTCGTTTGGGGGCTGGAGTTATTTCAAACCGTGTTCGCTGATGATATCTCGGGGGTTGGAGTCTACTAGAATTGTGTTCGTTGAGAGAATCTTCTGCTGACCCACTCAGGACTCCCCTTGGGCCCGTCACGAAACTTAGTTGAGGATTCTTGGGTGGGGCAGTGCACTAGACATTGTCTTGCACTTCATCACTCGGATCTACGAATTGGTTTTTTCCTTTGGCGCTTGAAATGAGAGATGGGCGCAGATCGTATGTGCGCAGATCACTGGTCCCGCCAGCGAACTGTAAACTTTCTGCATCCATCATCTGTTCAAACGTACCCAATGCTGGAGAATGGTCTTAAAGATAAGTCCATTTTGCGATTCCCACGAACCATCCCTTCCTCAATCTGGGCTTGCCCCATGCTTCAAGATCAGCACGTTCAAGAACGGTCACTCTTCGTCTCCTGCGCTCGCTCATGAGCTTTATTTTTGCGCAGCCACGTATACTCTCGCCTTAGTCACAGTCCCACAAGGACGAGTTTGCTGTTTTTCTTTCATGGTTCCAAACTGGAAGTATAGGATGCAGACCCAGCGTAGATACTTCATTCCAAGAAAACAATATATAAAGTTCTAAACTTCAACTTGAACTTGACCATGAATCTGTTTTTTAAAGAAAGAATGAACCCTCCGTGACAAACCAAACATTCATAAGATTTTTCAGACCTTGTCATTCATCGGTATTTCTTCTTTGACTCAGCACGCTTGCAGACTAACCAAATTTTTCACCAGCCAATCAGCTGTCAGATTACCCAAACCCTCCCTCCGTGCAAATTACTCTGGGCCTGGGCGGGATTTGTGTGCCTTCGAATGAAGTTTCAAAATGGTGCCAAAAAAGCATCCTAAGATGTCAACCAGTATTTGACTTTCTAAGCTTAACACGCAAGCAAACTCATTTGTGCAGGCCGGTCTGGGCGTCGGCAGACTAGTGCGCCTTTGGATATAAGTTTCGAAGTTTTTCATGGTAACCTTTTAAACACCATTCCAACCACGATTTTACCACTACGCTTCATACTCGAGCAAACTCATTGTTTGGGCAGGCCACTCTGCGCCTTTGAAAAACTTTTATGAGGTTTTTGAAAAATTTAGCACCGTAAAATCTGTTCAACCAGATTTTCACTCAGTAAGCTTTACACTGAAGCAAACTTATCACCTATGCAGGCCACCTTGGGTCTTGGCGCGCTCGGCGTGACCTACGGCGGCCAACAGGCGCAGCCGCTGCCCTTCTCTCAAGTGGTCACACTGCTGCTGCGCAACAACATCACCGCCATTCGCTTTCTGGACCCCCCCAACGCGGAGTATCTGGACGCGCTTTCAAACACAGGCATTCAGGTGCGGGCTTTTGCAATGTCTGCGTGCAGATGGGCATGCAGATGTGGCGCTGGAAACAGCCTCATCTTGGTTTGATGCATAATCTGTTGTGGTTGCTCGTAGTCCTGACTTTCTTTGCATGGAAAGGTCGGAGACTGAAGCGGACACTAGGTACCCGTGTGGCTTTGTGTCGGATGCTCAATGGTTAAAAAGCGCAAAGCTGCTTTCCCCGCTGTTTTCGGGACTGACACTCTGCAGTTAAGCAAGTGCCGACGATCAACAACAGTTCACGATGTTGAAGAATGATTTCTACTGGAGAGCAGGTGTCAATTATGGTGCCCAACAATTACATTGTGTACCTGAGCACCAATCCTGACGCGGCCAGGAGTTGGGTTAACACCTGGGTTGGGAAGTACATCGGGCGGGTTCAGTTCAAGTGAGTTTGGTTAACCCGTCGTCCAAAATCCTGGGTGCTTGGAAAGTCCCTGATCCAATCCCCTGGAGCTTTGAATAGGACAAGCTGTTACCGTCATGCATGTCAGCTTCAGCATCTATTTCTGAGACATTTTCTGAAGATGCAATTGTGTCAATCCTTCACGTCCCTGCGTAAGCCTCCAGTCTCTGCTCCTAGAATAGCGGTTCCAAGGTTCACCTCTGTGGGCGTTCACATCCAGCAGTTATGATCGTTCAGATCAGGTGTGAATACTCCCTTGCGCAGGTACGTGGTGGTCGGTGACACCCCGCTCCGCTTGGTCTACAATTGCTACTACTGCGCCGCGCTGCCTCTGACCGTCGCCAGCATTCAGGCTGCAATCCTGGAACTGGGCCTTACGACGCAAGTGAGACTCTTCTTTCCTGGTCCCCCGACGTTTCCTGTATCTCAGATATTTTTCTTCACTCGCTTGTACCTCCACTGATTCTGCTCTGCACCTCACTGCGCAAATGGCTCTTGAATCAAGCAAATAATACAGCTCTAACCCCCTAGCCAGGCTCAACAGTTAACGAGTCAGCTCCTAACCCCGATTTTGATTTTTGGTTTCAGGTCAGCGTCCCACTTGCGGCCAACGACGTTTTGGATTTTGCTGCCGGCGCATGGCCCCCCAACACGGCGGCATTCAATCCAGTCATTGGGCCCACGCTACTGCTAATACTGAAAACGGCGTTCGAGGCGAACGCCAATCTTTTGGTCGAGTTGGATCCGTATGCGATCATTCAAGCGAACACGACCATTCCGTTAAACATGGCTTTGGGAACAGGTGGGTTGTCGGGTTGGTTATCGTTAACCCCTTTATGTTTGTTCCTCAATCCTGGATGTCGTTGCTGTGGTTCGCTTTGTTTGCCGTTTTCAACCTCTTCGCTGATGTGGCACGTGCTGTTATTCTTGGCGTCGTTGAGTTTCGCTTGTTCGTGTAGCAATTCTGGAACGTCAAACGCGTATTTGTCAGTTGTGGGAGTCCATGGCTCGATTGCAAGGCCCGTTCTGACAAGTGAATCCAGCACTCTTTGTGCTAATTTGCAAGTTTCTTCAGTGTCTTCATAGTCAAAGTCGAAAGCGGTTTGTGTTGCTGCAGCGCAAATGGGCGATCCCGGCACGTTCCAGCTAATCACGGGGCAGAACTACACCAACATCTACGACATCTACCTGGACGCCATCGCTTATGCTGCTACCGCGGTAAGCTATCACGCTCAAGTCTTACGGATCGCTATACAAGCGGGCAGCTCTCGTCAGAGATGCGCAAAGACGGGGGCTACTGCCGCAGCTACGCCGCATTGAACTGAAGCGCTCGAGATGAGAGGCCGACGCAGCCGTCTGATATCCGGACTCATGACGTCAGCAGTGTTACACGGTGGCGTAAGCATCTTTGCGGATGGGACTGTTGACGACGTGTACACTCAAGACGTGGAGAGTATGCACAAAGCCTTGTCAAGAACGGCTGGTGGGAAGGAGGTTGGTATGGTGGATATGCTGGATGCGGCAAAAGAGTATTCTGCGGACCAGCTGGCGAGTATGGATCTAGGGTTTTTGGGGCACGAGGTGGTGTACCGGCCTAAAGAGGACTATGCAAGGCGCCTCGGAGTGGACTCTAGACTTGCAAGGGAGTGGGAGGGGAGGATAGGACAGGACGAGAGAGGGACGGTAGATGATAGGGGAATTGGTTTGAAGAGCAAGAGAAAGCGGGAACGAAAAGGACAGAAGGACAGGTTACGAGAATGCGAGAGGACAGACAAGACCGAAGGGGGGACAGAACAATGGCAATTAGTCATAAAAACACGTTTGTGGCAAAGATGGAGATCCGCATGGGACAAAAACTTTCAACAAACATCAGCCGAAACTTTGTTTCCGCTTGTCCCTGCGGCTCCGCTTCCAGACTTGAACGTCACGGTCGGCTCCACGGGCTAACCCACGTTGAAAGAGGGAAAATCTAACCAACTATTGGACACCGACAAAGTTCCGTTTCCGCTGGTATCTGCAGTTCCGGTTCCCAACGCTGAACATCACGGTCGCCTCCACGGGGTGGCCCACCGACGGCGGCGGAAACGCGACGCTGGCCAACGCGCAGACGTACGTGAACTACGTCATCCAGCGCGCGCTGTCCAACGGCGGGACGCCCTACCGGCAGAGCCGGGTGAGGAACAGCCGGAAACGAGATGACCAAGCTGCTGAACAAAAAAAGTTCTTGACGTTGTGAGCGTTGAGAGTACGAAAGCGGTGGGGAATCCTGGTCTATGTTGAGTGCATGAATGGTTTCGGGTCAGTGCGTGAGGAGATGAGACTAGGCGTGGTCTTGAGATTTGTCCGATTGAGACTGGTGAGTAAGAAAGGACGGCGGCCTTTTCCCCCACAATGCGGCTTCAATTTCTATTCAAGGAAGGATTACGGAAAAGGGGTTTGCGACTTGCGATCGGCGGTCTCGGCGCATTGATGGGGAAGTGGAGGGCTTGATCGTCGATCCACTTCCTAAGAAGCCGACTGTTGCGACGTGGTATTGAAACGCCGTCAAAGGGTCGTGAAGCCCACTCACATGAGTGCGATCCAAGCTTCAATTCTGCCCCAAGGGATCGGATTGCCCTTCATTGCCCCTTCCTCACGATAAACCTGAACTGGACGAGCTCGATTCAAAATCATCTCGCACACATTTCTCCTCGACCATTGCATAGACTGGCCCTTCCTCCTCGAACGTTTCCAGGTGACGGAATTATACTTGAACGAGATCATCGACCAGGACCTGATCGAGCTGACGGACGTGCCCTTCCCCAACGGCTGGCAGCGCCACCGGGGCCTATTCACACCACAGGGCGCGCCCAAGTTTGCGGCGAATCTGAGGGGGACGAATGCGCCGCCGCGGCCGATGAACGGGCTCCAGGATCTGATACGACTGCCTACCAGGTCGGTTCATCTGTTCGGTTGGTCAGCCGGTTTGGTTAGTTGTCCACCCACATCTCGGATGATTCCCTTCACTTATTGTCACCCGTCTCCGCACCCCGTTTGTACGCATTGATCAGGTGAGCTGGACTGTAGTGTGGTCGCGCGAATCTATCTGCCAAGTCCGGGAAGAATTTTGGCAGAACGTCAAGAGTCCGTTTTCCAGCACGGCGTTCTAATTTAAGAATGGCGAGCTTCGTACACGTCCTCTGAGTGCACTCCAAATGAAAGGGCTGTCGCTCGTAGGCGAAGGGCTGCTTTTCGTCTGTGGGTTTCAATCGTGCAAGCCATGAGTGCGCCCGCTTTTTCCGAAGGCCACGGTTTGAAGGTGACTCACTGTCCAGCTGTGTCGCGAATAGATGGCCCACTATCGCCCATAAAGGTCACATGCAGACTGATTCCTAAGCCTGAGTACGCCAACAAAAATGACTGCACATTTGCGAGCTGCAAACCTCTGTCTATATCCACCAGCGGCCGGGGTCGTAGCCATTTCGCAGGAGTCTGATCCCGCCCTTTCTTCCCCCAGGTTCTGCGTCGCCAAGCCCGGTGTTCCCGACACCGCCCTCCTGCTTCAGCAGATTCAGGCCTGCTCCGGCGGCGCCGACTGCACGCCGTTCGCAAACGGGGGCTCGTGTTTCCTGCCCGACACGGTCGCAGCGCACACGTCGTACGCGTTTAATGATTACTACCAGAAGCACGCGCAGTGGAGCCCCGCTTGCGACTTTGGTGGGACCGCACAGCTAGTTACAGAAGACCCCTCGTACGGTAATTGCTCGTTCACTGGCGGGGTGGGTCTCCCGGGATACGGGGTTCCGGGAACGGTTAGGAGTGCGGGCGGCGAGGGGCGAGTCGGTTTTGCATTGAGGGTTGCGGTTACGTGCTTGCTTTCAGCGCTTTTAGGTCACGGGTTAGTGTAGGCTATCGTCAGAAAGTCGTTTAGCTTAGCAGAGGAAGGTGCCCAGTGTTGTTGCCTTCGGGCTGTCCTTGAGATCACCAACATGCTGCCCGATCCTTCCGACTGGTTCTATTTCAGAAGATGTACCATATCGTTTGATAATTTGTTTTGTGCAATTTTCATGCGACCATCTTTGCCGGTCCGTCGTGATGTTAAGTCCAAAGATTTGGCAAACTCGCAAAATGAGCAGGAACATGGTTCCATACACGACTTCGCATGTGTATGGAGAGTGAAAAATTGCGCTGACAATTGTAAGAACACTGGGCTCTCCTACTTCGCACATGCAAACTATGATAGGACTTTGGCGCATACGGGGCGTGCAAAACCGTCTAGCTGGCCAATCAGCTAGCGGACTCATGAACGGAAGAAGTTCCTTTCTGGCTGAGCCATGCAAGAATCAATGTGCATACAAGCTCCTTTTGTGAAACATGCTAACTTATAGTGCCGTTCAACAGCTAAGTCGATCGGGCCTGATGCGCGATGCTGCATTGAATGTGTCGCTATCGACCGTACGGATCGACCTCGATACTTTGTTACAGAGGTCCAACCTCTCGCGATATCGGGTCTGGGGACTGTAAGTTCCTTGCCTTCAAGCGAGCCCTGATAGCTTGACTGGCACGCAGGGCGGACCCGGTTCCAAAAGTGCACACTACGGTGATATCCAAAAACGAATTGACGTCTATAGACCGCGAGTATTTTGCCCCAATTGACAACTGCAAGTAGCGAGCTGCCTCTCAGTAACTTCTACTCAGGAAGCTGTCTAGTACCCAGTACGTTATGGATCTCAGAATCGCTACATAGATACACGATTGCGCGCGATTTTTCGGATCAGTGTGCCAGCGCCGCGATGTCCCGGCAAGCGTGTCACTGATTTGCGAGGCGGGCCTATGGCGTGTGTTGCTCAATCATGCCTACTTTGGATCTTGACGTCATTGGAGGAAAATCTGCTCTCCCGGACTCCACGTGCTTTGACACGGCGTGCGATGCAAATCGACCCGGCGGACCAAGCCCAATTTCACTGCTGTGTGTACCTCAAATGATCACCAGACGGCGCTCTATGGCTCGTAAGTGCTTGCTGTGTGGTTGCCGACGGAGCCGTTCCAGGCGGTCCAGTTATGAGTTCCAGTCGCCGCAAGCCCGCAAGATAGGCGATAACCCACAGCACCTGAACGATGAAGCGCTTGATTTTGATTACGATCCGCTTTTCGATATCGTACCTGCTGTTTAGAATGAAGAAATGAAGAACAGATTGCAGACTATCTTTGACACCGTCAACCACCGTTGGGCTTGCGCACTTCCAGATGCAGCGGCTTGAATCAGTCTTGTGACTCGTTATCTACCCTCTGGATTTGATCTGTCTAACGGGCTGTGCAGAAGACAGCGCAGTGGACAAATTACCGGCTCGTAACCACCGCCTCACGGAAAAAGCGCCTTCTCAAGCTGTCAAACGGGAGATCTCCTCCCAAACACAAGGTCAAAACAGAGAACGACGAGATGCTCGAGTTTCGCTTTAGAACGCACTGACTCATACAAAAACCTTTCTGTAACTCATGTATGAAATGCAGCCCACTCACTCGAATAAACTAAGAAGGCGGCCTAAGAACAAACGCCCACTCCTCACCTGGAAGTACGCCGCGCCTCCGACCATGCCTACGAGCATTGCGCCGAAGCGCGCCCCGGGCCCCGCGAGCGCGGCCGCGTACTTTTGCAACAGCCCGAGGATGAGCAGCACCGCGGTTATGGGCGCCGGCAAGCCCACCCCGTCCGCTAAAACGAAAAAGTCATTCAAGTTGGACCACGGGTTGCCGATGAGCACCGCGACAATGAACGGAGGCGCACACGCGCAGACAGCCATGCCGGCGACAGTGAGCAGGAAAAAGGCGACCATCTGCCAGCGCGCGGTGCGGGCGAGTCGCCAGCTCCGAAGGAGGGAAGCGAAGCCCCAACAGTCGGGGTCTAGGATGGTGGCGGGAAGTGCTAGGAGGGTGTTGGAAGCGACGAAGACGCTGAGTAGAGGCGCGGAGAATGCGAGTGACGTGTAGAGGATTGCGCTCGGGAGGTTGGCGTTCTTTCCTGCGGCGCAGCAAAAGGGAAAAGACTTCAGGCAGCGGGGAAAGGAAAACCTGACTGTCCCTGGGAGGGCTGTTAGATCACTCCGACAACCCCAACGAAACTCCAAGAGAAGCAAATGGAAAGCAGGAAACAGATACAGGGTGAAAAGAAGAATCAGGGGTGGTTCTTGCAGTCCAATCTTACAAGGTCTACAAACACCTCAGTGAGACCGAAGGTTCGGATTGTAGATGTGGTCAAAACTTTGAGGAGCGGAAAGGTGACACAAGCTTTTCTGATTAAGTGGACATGTAAAAACGGCGCGTCATACTTTCGAGTAAGGTCAGGGAGCATAGCGCCTAGTTGGCTTGGTTGTTTCCCAGGCTAGTTGACGCTCCAAAAGCAAAGAGAAGTCCCTTTGTCAGCTTCGGACACCGCACGGACACTGCGGCCTCTGAGAAGGAGTGGAAAAATATAAGCAAGCGGCATCGATCTAAGTAGCTGGTCAGCGCAGATCCACCCACCTTTTTCCACACCTGGAGAACCAGAACCCCACAGCGGCAGACGTTCACAACCGTATTGGAGCCCCCCGTATAAGCTCAAGCACACAACCGCTGTGGTCAAGACCTTCAGAAACTTGACCAAACGGGAGCGCCTCCTTGTCGGAGCCACCTCTTGAGCCTCCAATCTTTTGGTCCGATAGAACGAGACCACTTTACGCGCGGAAATGCCTGCACAAGCCGTCCACACGACGCCCGCTGCCGCCAGCATTGTGACCCGAGCAACGGGTTGTCCGACGATTAGAGCTATCCAGAGCACCGTCACAATGGATGTGTCCGGGAAGGCTTTCCTGAGGAAGTTGAACACAGAAAGAGGGCTTGACAAGGCTACGGTTAGGGACACCAAAGCCAGAACTGTGGGGAGTGCGGCCAGCAGGAGCGAACCGGGTTGCGCTTGGAAGATGCGCCACGAAAGGGCGATGACGGTAAAGAAGCCGGGCGGGGCCTCTGACGCGTTTGGCGTCATCATGGCGTCAGTAGTGCGTTTCTGTGAGGAGATCGGGGCTGAGAGCTCTTCAGGAAGGTGGCGCGGTACTCTTTTGGGGCAACTGCACGTGAAGCATTGATTGGATGTGAGTCATAAGAGGTTTTCGCAGCTCACAAGAGGCTACGCAGCAACCAGCTGGCCGTCAGAAGTTAGCTACAGCTCATTCTACTGCAGTGAAAAGTCCAGCTAAGAAAGCACAGAGTAGTACTGCCAGATTAGTCCACAACAAAGGGACTTGACTCCTTCTGCAATGCCTATCGGTGCCAGTACTGTGAACAGCAGTTCATCATGCAAAGCATGGAGTTCGTCAAGAGGTTCTGCCCTCAGAAACGATCTATACCTGAACCTACTATTAGTCGGAGGCCTCAGTCACTGCAAAGGACACCTCTTATGCTATCTAGTTCAGCCAAGTGAACATGCATCAGCTGATGATCAGATGGAGTGTGCGCTGCGTATTCTGACACAGGTCAGACACAACCTTGAATGCAATGCCCTTACCACGTCAAGAAGAGGACTGATTGGTCTGACGCTTCCTAATTTGCCAGCATTGGCAAAGATGATTGAGCGCCGCAAGAATGTCCTTCCTCTCTTCTTGCAGTCGGGCTGAGTAGGAGCTCCTGGCGGCAGCTCAGCGAAACTTCGATTAGTTGAGCACGAGTCGAATCAACAAGAACGCCTGGGGTGGAAACTTGATGAAGCTGAGTCGTCCAATGGACGTGTTCTTAAGGTACCTTGTAGGCTTGTACAGCTCCGACCAGACACCAAACCGATAGCTGAGCGTATGTATGGTACAGGCCGTGACCGCTTTGATCTGCCGTCGGGCCATTGACCAAGTCTACTCTGCAATCCCCCTGTACTTTAGGATACACAATCTCTTCGCATTTATGGCGCATTCAAGCAGGATTCCTTTTGTGAGCACGCATTTGCTGCGACCTCCTGTTCGTACCGGTCGGTATTGCAACGCAATACAGCTCCTTCAGAGAACTCCCCTACGGAGCGCATTTGCCGAGGGTTGAGGAACTCCCCCAGTATTTATCCGACGGTTCGTAGAACTCGCCTGACCAAGATCGACGGTTGCAGCCAGAAGGGACTATCCAACCCCTATTGGTTGATGAACAGACCATCGGACGGCCTAAAAGATACTTAGGCGGCCCAGCGGCCACGACGGCAAGTTTCGAAGTCGACAACGTACCAGTGAGTCCTGACGCGCGTCGCTTCGATGTCATTCTAGGACTTGACTCTAGCTAGATAATCTGCGGTGGCATGTTTCTCAAGGACCGTCTGTCTCGTCGACGATGCACTGAGCAAGCGGCCGCCACTTGGCTGTCGAAATTTATACGAAGCCTTTGGCAAAATCGTATTCTCGAATCAAACGATCAAAATCTCATGTCGAGCTTTCACAATTGCCCTAACAGAGCTCCAGCATTTGCAAGAGCTCCAAGGCCGGTCAGCAACAAGGTAGAGATTTTGCCTGAAGTGCCATGCCACATGCATCCTCAAATGCGAAGCGTTGCATCACATGTGAACGTTGACATGCATATGTGACCAACAAACCTATCTTCTGGTTGATCGGTTTTTATGTACATGTGGCGTAAAAGACGAATCAACCCGGTATAGGCCGGGCCCATGTGACTCCTTGTTAATAAAATATAATTCAGCCTACTGTCGACGTGCCAGTAAGCCTAGGCTGCCAACGACCTCATGCATGTGACCGGTAGCTTTCAGCCGACCAATTTTGCACCATACACGCTTCTCGGGGCAGCTTCACTCACCATACAAGCATTTGCAACCAGGCAGGCCAAACGTTGCCAGGGCTAACCGCAGTTCGACGCTGTTGTGGTGCACACGTTAGGATTCATCACGCAAGCCCCAGCCACAGCATTGTGGCACGACTGCCGGCAACCGGGACACTTGGAGTGACCTCAGCCGGATCCAGAGATCTATGGACTTGATGAAACCTGTAGAAATTCACAACATTTAGGACCACTATGGGCCCAGAGAGTGGTACAGAGAGCGCATCAATGAGATTGCATGGCTTCGGGACATGAAGCCTTCACCTTTCAGAGCAAAATTTCCCCCAGAAAAAGCAAGCCCTCTGCTGCCATTGACCTAAAATTGCCGACTCGAAATGTTCAACGGATGGAGACAAATACATGCAAACCTGTCTCCTAACTACTATGTGGCCAGCGCTCTGGCTTCGTCGCAGAAGCTCTCCCCTCAATGACTGACCTCGGGTTTACCATCTTCTGACGAGGGACGATAAAAGCTGCACGGGGACAAAAACCACAGAGTTCACAACAGCGTTTGCGGCGAGCCCATAATCGCGAGTGCCGCGCATCACATCTTATAGGCTTTCTCAATTTTCAATTGACAAGATACACGAAGGAAGTGCATGCACAACCACAGACATGGATCACCCTCCTATTCTTGACAGTCAATCGGAAAAGCGAGCCGCGGGTTATCTCCAAACGGGGGCTTCCGCTGAGCCCTTCACACTCATCGCCCGGCTTCAAGCGCCACCATAAAGCACGGGTTCACCACAGAATCGTACCTCCAGAAACTCGAACGCGCTTCCCGACCGGTTTCCCACGTCTCTCTTTCCCCCCGTCGCAGCCAGGGCGGCCCTCCAGCCCACCAAGAGAACGAAGGTGCTGGCCAGCGTGACCAGGATGAACGGCGTGGGGGGGACCTGACCTTTCAAAACTCCTCGGATGACGATGCCGAGCTGCAATGAGGAGGTCATAAGAACAGATTAGATTCACAATGGGCAACGATCGAGGGGCCGGAAGGGAGCCCGTCACTTGCAAATATCGTTCCGTTAAGATAAGCAAGGGACGACGGGCAATGCCTTTTCGGATCTTTTGTTGCTCTTGGCAACTCGGCCGAGAGAGCAGATGAGTGTAGTGATCGTCAGGCGAATGGACAGGTGTGAAGGACAGCTGCCGCAATAGCTTCGGATGTTGGGTTTGCAAGGAAGACAGTTTGCAACTTGTTCCCCGTGCAGCAAAATTGCGCCGAACATAAACCCATGCGGTACCTGCTTCATAGCAAACATTTGGGGGCTCCGAACGAACAGAAAAATCCTCAAAAATGGCACGCGAAAGGCCCTTCACCAACGCAAGAAGCGGCAGAGATGAGCAGCGCAAGCTTTGAGAAGTGGCGAAAATCCGAAGGTGGGGGGATCAAGTCGGGTATTGATCAGATATTGAGCGGAACTTGTGGCGGCTTACTGGGATGCCCACAGCCCAGGCGATGCCGGTAGTCGTAACTGCCTTCAGGGGGCCGGACAAAGTTGCATCAGCACCGTAGCCGCCCAACAAAGTCGCTGAGGCGAACCAACCTGCGGGTGCGAGTACAGGACACTTTAATGCTGTATTCAATGCCCCAGGATGTGTCGAAAACTGAAGCGCTACGTGCCAGGTGATCAGCACACATGTAGTCCCCAATAGGAGCACTATGTAATGAGTGAATTAGCACATACGTAGTCCGCAAATGCTTCTGGTGCCGACTCTACTATAAGGAGCTAGTTGCAAGCATGGGTCTGCCAGTATGTCAAGACGGTAACCTCTGGTTGAATGCACCAGCGCACTACATAAGAAGGAATTCGCCCAAGCAGAAGTGCGGTGAACCAGGCCCCATTCACGGCCTGCTCTTGGCAGAAAAACATCGAAACACTTCCAACGGGGGACGCACTTCTCAAGGGTGAAAAAGGTGCAGAGAGCACAGGCAAGGCCATCAATATTCATCCAGGCGTGATCGAATGCGGGCGCGCCAAAAGCTCAGCTCTCTAGATTCTCTAACTGGGGATACCAGATAAGGGCTTTGAATCTAAAGTCCTTACCGACCAAGAAAGGGGCTGCCGTTGGCACCACCCCAAAGTCCGCTGTTCCTGAGTGGCTGACCTTCCCAGCAAGGGCAAAGAGGAGCAGGGCCACCGTGTCTCCAGCCACCAGAAGTGCTAGCCGCCTTGCAGAAGGAGAGAACAATTTTATTGGGCTGTGATCAACCAGGCGTTTGATGGTTGGAGAGAGTAGGATATGTGTCAAAACGTGAGTGCCGGCAGTGGGAGGAGCAAGAGACCGCAATCTCAGCACTACACGAAGGGGCGATTGCGACATAGATGGGGAAACCTCAAGTAGGATGAGCATGGCATGTTAGGAAGGCAATCCAGAGTACGCGGTTGGAAAGTTTTATCAGGGGTTTTATGATTGTGGACCCAGGCAGTCAAGTGAGGCAGCTGTTGGGAAAGCCAGAAGTTTGATGATAGCCGGAGAGTGTTGGTGAGAGGCAAATAAGACAGGAGCGTTCCAAACGCGCTCGAAGATCATGAGGGAGGGCCATCAAAGATTGTAGGAACTGATTGCCTCAAGTGTGCATTCTCTTGGTCATGCTAACAGTGAATGCAGGCAGTGTGCGTTTCATCAAAAAGGGGGATGTATTTTGTGCCATGAATTACAGGAAGCAGGCACCAGAAGGTAGTCAAAGAAAATCTGAAACGTCAGCTAACGGAAGGGCAGTACCATAAGAGAGGTGGCTGTTCACAAAACTTCTGTATGGCCACCTGCAAATCAACTTCGTTTGCAGTTCCCAGTTCAAAAACAGAGAATGGGGGGACAGGCGTAACCACTGAGTTGAATCAGTCCAGTCCTCTAAGCTTTCAAGAGTCTTAGAGTCTGGTTGCTTCCAAGATGCGAAACTACTCAGGCAGCATGGTCGGACAGGAAAAAACCGCATGCATTGAGCTGCTGGTTACGCTCAATCTTAGATGCAAAACAAACATGTTGCGCAATGTTGCATTTCTGCTTCTTCTATTGAGAACCTTTTGGCGCCAGCAATAAACTGTTATTCTTGAAAAGGTTTTTGAACCATCATAACTGCAGAAGCAGAAGCAAATAAGATGTCAGAGAACCAGATAAACAGATATCCCTACCCAAGATTCATGTTGTCCTCGCCCCTGTCGATCTTGGCCACCCCTTCCACCACCACATTTTCATCTTCTACGGCGTATGTCTTTAGGTTTGGGTCCGCCTCTTGCACTTTTACTTTCGGCCTGCGCACATATCTCTTCCCCGGAGCTTCAGAGGTACTCGCTTCCTCACCGCTCGCCGCTGCTCGACACCCCTTATCTACTCTTTTTAGATGAACTTGCTCTGTCAAGGAGTGTGTTTTAAGGGACGGCCTACCAATGTATGAAGAACATGTTTTGTCAATCGAAGGAAACGAGTGGAAATCTGCTGTTGCCAACGTGCGGCATTGTGACTGTTTGCAGCTGCTCTGGATAGACACCACCTCAGAGAAGGAGCAAGCCGCACAGCTGGTTGAGCACGCCATGACAGTGCAGAGAGACAGCGGAAGAGACTAGGAATTCCGAATTGTGCTGGAATTGTTTCCAAGTATTTAAGGCACAAGCAGCAGCTCAGCCTCAGCCTCAGGCCCAGCCTCCAGGGCTTCCGCAGCTTGTATGCTTGCACGCTTGACAAACGTCGATCGTGACCTGCGGCGCATCTGTCACCGTCGGATGACCTATGCGCGCACCTTCTACTGGCTTCCCACAGTTTCAAAGTGCACAGCACCGACGGCAAAGGAATGGTGGTGCAACAACGATTCATCAGATAGCATGGCGCTTTCACAAAGTAGAATCCATCAAACGAGATCTGATACCCATACCAAAGATTCGTCTGCAAGGCCCAAGCCGCAGGCTTACAAGTCGACCAACTTGCTGGGTCATGTCAGAAGTGCACGAGGAGGGCTTCGAAACAATCATCAGTGAACTGCACTCCTTATGACGTGGCCGAGATGGTAGAGAGAGCAAACGTGTACTTGAGAGCGGACATGTATTATAGGGCCCCTGCTTAATCTGGCATCCTTTCACAAGTTGGAGGAGTATCCTACTGGTTCTCGCACCATGAATGTGAGGTACGTGTCCAATTTTGAACAAAATATGCAGCTGATTGGCATTCTTCTGCCGGATGTGCAAAGACTAGCTGAGCTGCAGGACTGGCCTGGATATTCATGCACGTCAATACGTTTGTACGGAATGCACCTCAGGGCACTCTGACCCCCTGAACTTGTATCAAAACTTCAAACAGAAAGCGCCTCGGCGCTAGCGCTGTTCTATCTTGTTTTAACTCCTATTCAAACGCAAAACAAGGTATCAGGGACAAAAACTACAGCGCAGCCGTTATATGCCAAAATGCCCACAATATCAGGAGTTGACATCATGCACTGGCTACTAGTGACAATTGAACAGTCTTGGTCCTACTCCACAAAGCTCATCAACTGTGCAATCGGTAGCTACGGTTCTTGGCTCCCTGGAGAGACGAGCCTGGGGGCATGGTGAGCAGCTCCTGTTGGCGTCTCTGGAACGTCAGCGGCCGGTGGGGGTCTCGGGGTTGCAGCTGCAGAAGGATGGTACGTCTGGGTGGGCATCGATCCAAATGCCGCGTGCACAGCTTCCAGGTGCGTCAGGCCCTTCTTCGTAATCTGCGGATAAGAGAAGCTCAGTATGGTCAGAGCCGACTCAAGATGCAGATCTTGCCTGGATATTAGCAATGTTGCCGAGCCTGTCAAGCTGTTCAAAGTCGTAAGTACACAGCTTCAGTTCAAGACACCAAACCAAAGGTGCGTCACGATCAACAGGCAAGTCAGTTTGTTGCACGACGAGCGGGCGGGGCTGTTCGTTACCTTGTAGATAAATGGATCAGGGCGGCCCCCAGTGCCACGTCTGTTGACTTTCTTGTCGCTGACCAGCCTGCAGTAAGAAAAGGGATAGAGCATCAATCAACCCTGCGCTTGCACCTGGAGATCGTTCTTTTTCGAAGGTTCATGCCTGCTCATTGCGCTCAGGACGCTAGCACCTGGGCTGAACTCAATCTAAAGATCCCATCAACTTTTTGCGTTGCAAAAGATGAACGTGCTAAGATATCAGATGCAACGTGACTGGATAGACTGATGACTGGTGAGATGGAGTCTCAAACTTACATTCTGAGCGCTTTGCTGGTGTCGGGCGTGTTCCCCATCTCCTTGCGGATCACGCTCTCAGGCGTCCGCTCCCGGCCGATGTAGTTCAAGATGTAGCGCGCGAACTTCTGGATGCGAGTCTCTTTGCCCCCGGAAGGATGAACTCTCTTGTCGCCCAGGCATGCTTCCAGAGTCGCGCTCTGAGATGCGATGGGGCTGCTGTCAGGAGTTGCTGCTGCCTTGCTGGTCTTTGGGGCCACCTTGAACGCCCCAGCTCGCTTCTTCTCCTCCAGCTTATTGCCCTTCTTCAGCTTCAGTCCCTTCGTACCCTCCTTCTTCTCAGCCTTCTCTTGCACTTTCGCCTTTCTCTTGCCCGACGTTCCCTTCTCCTTTGGCCCTCCTCCCGTCGGCTTCTTCTTGTGGCTCTTCTTCTTCTCGTCTGCCTTCCCCTTTCCTTTCACAAGGACCCGCACCGCCTGCTTCTTCTTGGACACCTTCACATTTCCGGCGCTTCGCTTGGCCTTCTTGTCCCTCTTGCCTTCTCGCTTCTCCTTGTTTTTTGTGCCCTCGCGGGCGTGCTTTGGCGGCCTCCCCCTCTTCTTGACGGCGACCCCTTCCACTTCGAGCTTCGGCTTCTTTGGCTCAGGCGGCACGCGCAGTGCCAGCTCAGCAGCCCTCTTCACTTTCTGAAGCTCGCTCTTATCGTCGCGCTCCCCTTCCTCAGGGTTCACGGTTTCTTTCTTTGAGACGAACCGACCCTTTGGTGACCTCAGCAGACCACGTGGGGACTTGACCTGCGTGACGCTGTCTGTGTCCAACTTCCGCTTCTTCTCCGCAGCAGCACAAGGTGTCTCCTGCTCGAGAGACCTCTGCTTGTTCCCCTCACATGCGTTGAGTGACTGCAGAGGCGACTTGACGGGGCGTGGACTGAAGATCTCTGCTGCCAGGCCTGAGCTCGATTCTTTGTGAGGACGCTTCTTCAGGGGCAGAGCTTTCCTGCGCGGGCTGGTGGCTTCTTGCTCTCCTCTGGCGACTTTAGGAAAGTCTTCTTGGATGGAATCCAAGGTCTGGGAGGTAGAAAGCGTCGAGGCCTTGCACGTTTGGAAGGAGACCGGGGTCCTTGGCTTGCGCAGAATCTGCGAAGCGAGACGAATCTTTTCTGATGCATACAGCAGAGCATACGAAGGGACCCCATAGATAAACTGATTCGAAAGCAGGCAGGTTGCAGGTCCAAGCAGCAAGTTTGCTTGCTTCAACACGACAGCCAGATTTCTTCTCTGCACTCTTTCAATCCAAGTTTTACATTCTCTATCAAGAACTCCTGAGAAGCTCATCAATGATCGAGTATTACAACAGGAAATTTCTACAGAAATATTCATACCGCAACCACGTTGCTCACCTTTCCGGCATCATGATTTGGCTGGTCCGATGGGGATCTGCACTCTGTCGCAACGGATGCAAGCCAGTCCAGCCGTTCCAGCCCAGGCATCCCGCTGCAGGACGTTGCCAGGCTTCCACGGCTTCGAGCTGGTCTCTCGAAATTAGTGCTCTTCACCCCGCCTGTCCTGCCACAGTTCGAAGCAACAGCTCGCGCACCCGTTTGCCCTTCTTGTACTCCCTTCTTTTCTTCGTCCAGGGAGTCACTAGCTTCGGCCTCACCCTCAGCATCTCGACCCAGGGGCCCCATCAGGCGAACACATGCTGGTTCTTCCTCCAGCATCTTGGCACTTTCCCTGAGCTTTCTGAGCACGTGCGGCGGCTTCTGCCACTGCTTTGCCATCGGGGGGGGCTGCAAAGGACTGCTGACTTCCTCTCCAGGGCAGTCGTCTTCTTCTGGGGCTTCCACACGATTGAGCAGCGTTTTCGACCTGTGCTTCGCGCTGCACTTAGGGCTGGAATCGGGCTCGTGACGCGGTAGAGAAGGCCCCACAAGCTCGTTCCCATCACCCTGAACTTGTCTCATCCGCATTCCCTGCTGTCTCTGGCTATAGGTGTTCAGAGAAGCTGCGTGCTCACTAGAGAAAGGCTTGTGAAAGTCACTGCAAATGTCTTGCAAGCCAGCAAAAGTTCCTGAAGTCGCACGATCGCTTGTGACTGCTGGCCTGGTTTCCAGATTGTGAATTGCGGGCTTTTCCTGACTGTCCAAACCATTCTCAAAGCTTCGAGAGAAGCCTATTGGGACATTTTGAACCCTAGAGCTGCCAAGCTTGCTTAGGACGTTGCCTTGTAGGTCACACGAGGAGCTGCCTGGGAGGCGAAGAATGGGACTCGACCAAGCTTCGAATGCTGAAGGCGACTCTAGTTTTGAGGAGAACAGATTTGGATGGGCTCTAACGTCTGTGGTTGGTGGGAAGAACCTGACATCGACAGCCCTGGAAACAGGGACAGAGCCTTTTACCTGGGTCCCATGCTCTGTCTGGCTACCAATGCTGGCTGTTTGTCCAAAAGCAGGGCTCGCATTGGTGGCCAGAACACCCGTAAGTGCAGGCTGGCCTGGTTCGAAAGGCAGATTGCAGGACTGGCTGGGCTCTACACCCGCAATGTTACTTCTCTGCAGCTGAAGATCGAGAGTGCTGCTTCCAGGATCAAAGTCACTGCTAATCGGGTTCTGGAGGATCGACGAGAGAAAACCCCCTGACTGTGTTTGGTTGGCAGCTTCAGAGGCTGGATCCACGTTGATCCGACCCTGCTGTTGATGCTCCAAATGCTGACTTGCAAGGAGACTTCTGTGCCTGCCAGAAAGCAAGGGATATCTATGAATGCGTGTCGCAACAACAAACGTCAAGCCAGCTTGATTTTTGGCAAGGGCGATCCAGTTGAATTGAAAGAGAAAATAACATCAGACAATCAAAAGCAGCCTCAAAGAAACTCCCAAGAATTTTCGGTTTTCAGCTCTATAATGCAATATAGGAAAAAATCAGAATCCTGATAATTCAGTCAGACCTCTCAATCCTTCACAGCTTCAAGAGTGGCTCTGAACTTTGGCATTGAATAGTTGGCTCTAAGAAGTTAAGTTGGCCACCCACCAGTCTGCGTTGTATCTCTTGAAGGGGTATGCTGGATTCTGCAGTTGACTCGAACAAGCAAAGCTTGGAAGTGATAGCTGGCTGGGCAGTGGACAAGCTTCTGTGCCACTGTAAAAACCTGCAAAAGTCCTGATTTTAGAGTCGTAATGCATTACAAGTACTGAATGCAGTTTCTCTAAGTTACACACCAACAAATCAACATTGAAAATGGAAGAGCTCTAGATCTGTTTATTTTCATCTTCGTTCTATTACTGATTGAGAAAATCAACCCTTCATTCCTTCGACAAGGCAAACAGTTCTAATCATACAGATCCAGAAACAATCTGCAGAAAAGCGATCACTTTCAAACTCACCGTGAAGACCTGTCATGTTTGACAAGGGCAGTTGTGAAGCTCCCGAATCATTGACAACGGGGAAGAAAGCGGTCATCCAGTCGTGGGGCTCCATTTCGAAAATCTGACACAGTCCTCAACTGCAAAGACTACCCTCCAACCAGCCCTCAATTTCAAAAGCAGGTTTTCTGCTTCGTTAAACCATACTGCTCTCAGATCAGACCTTCTCCTCCAAGAGAGTATCTTTTTGAGATTAAGTCCCGCCTGTTCAAAGCCAACGGCTCCCGAGGAGCTCAACGCTCAAGCCATCGTCCCTGCTTCTTTCCTGTCCAGGCAACCTGTTACAACGCACGCCTACCATCTCGAAGCCGCACGCTCCCAAAAAAGATCTTAAGGCTGCAATCTCCCGCTCCATTCTTCCTTTGTGGCTTGAATCAGATCACGGCGTCCTGTTTCTCCGTGCATGTTCAGTTCTGCTAGTGCTTCTGCTCTCGACTTGCTTCGTCGTCGATCCACATCAGACAATTTATCCAGGCACATGCGCTTCGACGGGGCCACGTGACGCTACAAGCCGAAGCCTTGCAAAAGAAATCATGTGAAGTGAATCAGATCGTTTGAGTGGGATGATCATGAAATAGGCGGGAGGAAGGAATCCATGACGATCGGACGGTCCACGTTTCGCTGGCAACAAGCGGGAAGATCCTGTGAGCGAAAAGCACTGGCGGAAATGGATTTGAATACGAACAGAGATTTGGCAATGGCCTTGAGCGGAGCGAAGGTCGAACTGCATTCACGATATAACAGTAAGACAAGATTTTGTCAATAGTATTGTCTGCATCTCTAGACTCGATTAGTCGTTCCTGTGGCCGGATCGCTGGAGGATTGTGTGACTCTGGCCGGGCTTGAGTTAACATGTCGGAATGTCACCAGTGATTACGCTCTGCATGGGCTCGCTCAGTAAAGCGTTGATCTGGTTCTGACCTTGACAAACATTAGCTTCTCAATCAATCACTTGCTCCGCGCATGGCTCGCGCGACCGCCAGCTTGCAAGTCCGCATGGCGGCCCCCATGTGATTTGCATGTGACCATACGTGGCCTACAGCGCGGCGCCCACCATGTGCTCGGGCCAGCTTACAGTGCTGACGTATATGGTAGCATGAGCCACTACTAAGTTGCACGCGACAAACTACCGATGATCACGTACGTCAGATCCAATTGCACATCTGCAGAATCCATGTCCTCGGCAGCATCTAGATATGCACCTTGATGATCCGATCGGACCGTAGTTATAGTAAGCCGCCTAGCGGGGTATGTGGAGAAGATGCATGCGGGCCTAGCTGCAGCTTCTGTATGAATGCTCGAGTGCAATATTTATACAGGAAATTCTACGCACAAAGCCTCAGGGCAGATAATCCCGAATCAAACGTTTGCACAATGATATTTCACGTGTGGAACAAGACAAAGTTTATGCAATACAGATCCGTTTAGGCAGTTCTGCAGGACTTGCCGCGCACGCCTAGCTAGCTATCGCCATGAAGCTTTTTATAGGGGCCACATATGGGGCATGCGCGGTCATGTATCCAAAATCTTGCTGCGGCCTGTTTGCATCGTTTTTGACAGCATCTGGCTGATTCTAGGCAACTGTACTAATGCAAGACGAGGCGTATTTTGCACTGCACTGCGGCATAGATCACTTGAAGCACATGCTGGCATGCTGCATCGAGTGTATAAGTTCGTCGGAGTACTAGAAAGGTAGACATACACATGCGCGTTTTACCAGTAGACCTCGAAACAAAGATCAGTCCCAAGGTAATCGTCCTTGATACAATCGCGGCCCGCAGTATGTAAAAAGCGCTTCCATCTCCGGACAACCTTGAGGGTACGGCAGCCTCCTCCGATAAGGGTCCCTCAAAAGCCTCTTCTCGTGCAGCGCGCCGTTGCAGCCGTATGGATCTTCTTTGTACATGGCCGCGACCTGCAAGCGAAATGTCACGTGAGGGAACTTTCCGTTTCAAAGATTCTCTGCGACTCTCTGAAACTGGAAAGCCACCTGTGCTCCCTGGCGTGCAACATACTGAATCTAGCTAGAAGCAATTGAAGGTACAAGCAAGCTTCATGACCACACGATGTGCAACGGAAACCTGCGTTGCGAGAAACTTGTCGTCTTCTTCGTAGCAATCTTCTTTGCATGAGTACTGCTCACAATCAGCTCTGACAATAAACAAGGAATGAAGTACTGAGAGATAGCGGAATTCGAAAACTCGTGGCGACTTCGGATGTCCTGCTGTCCTGGTTGGAAATCCCTTCAAGACGACAGGGTTCGATAGGGAGAAGGAGCAAATCAATTGTCGGAAGCTGTCGGAATTCCATAAAAGGATCGGCTGGCGTCTGTAGAGTCCTATCAAGAAGCGCTGAAGCTACCGCCAGGCAGACGGGAACGGGTGATACAGTTCGAAAGCGAGGTCTGGCACCACAATTGAGCGGGACGCATCGATGCTAGAAAGACAGAAGGAGAGGTTGAGGACAGTGTCGGTTGGCACCAAACTTCACTGGAAGTCTTAGATAGTCCATATGTGGCTGACACGTACTAACGAGCAAGGTACATCTACGAAGTCTGCTTCGGGCTGCTTCAAGCTGCTTCAAGAGTGGTGCGCACGTCCCCTCAGCTGCAACAGAAGTCCTGAACTCCTGTGTGACATCCCGAGAAGGCCTGACTCGCGACTAAGCCGGACAAAGGGACAAATTGGGCCGATCGATTCGGCAAAAGTCACAATTGTGAAAGAATGACGCCACCTACCTTCGCCTCGCCTTCCCGCGCTGCCGTTTGCACCGATTCCGCTGCCGGGGTCCCCACGTAGAAGAAACGGCTGGCGGGAAACGCGATGGCGTCTCGGTGCAGGCTGGCAAAACGCCCCTCCTTGAACGCATAACTTACGACCTGGGCCGCAACATACGGACGGTTATTGAAATGAGTGGAATGAACGGTGACAAGCAGAAGGTTACAAGTACTGTCTTGGATGCGACCTTGACTGTGTAAAAGGAAAACCTGCGCCGATCGAACAAGCCGTTTTGACTGTTCGTACAGGGGCTGGATACTTGTCCTGAATCTCGCTTCATGGAGCTCCGTTAACCGTCGATTGGGCCTTATTGATCGCTCAATGATCGACACTTCCCTCAAACACTATCCTATTTCGCATCCGCCTTTCTGCCTGCTTCTTGAGGGACTCCTGCGACAGAAGCGAACCGACACGCAATGCTTCCGCAAACATCCTACTCTAGGTCTGGTAGTGCGCCGCATCTGGTAATGCATCGCTTCTGGTAGTGCATCGCTTCGCATGCACTCCCCAATGCCAAAAGCTCGCGAGGACTTTTAAAAAGCCAGAGCCGTACCGTGATATTTAAAGGGTAGTGGCCCGTGAGCTCCCGGAAGCGGCACACACTGAAAAGCAGGTTCTCAAAGCTGTCCCGCGCGTGCTCTTCAGTGACTGCTCGGCCCCGCACGCTCGCCGCCTGCCCTGCACAGAGTTTCAGTGGTAGGCATGCCGTTAGGGCCAATACTTTCTGCCTCCTTTCTAGTTTCTGTGTCCGAGTTGTCTTGTCCCCTATCGCACATATTGAGGACCCTTGGCTTCTTTCTTCCTTTCCTTCAGCTTCTCTTGTCATTGCACCAGGACCACATACGAGCAGGACCCTCGCCCTGATGGGTTCATGGAGAAGAAGGCAAGCCAATCAAGATCGAAGATGCACAGGAGGTGCATCTATTACGCACCAAAAGTTCAGATTGACCTTTCTATTCCTCTACTCTGTGTGGCAGATTTCCTCTCTCTCTACTCTGTGATACGACTTTTCTCATGACGAAGGTTGCCATGATGTTTTCAAACAAACGGAATCAACCTACGAATCAGTGATCTCCAGGTCGTTAGTCCAACGAAGCTAGTCGGTTGTTACTTTTTCCCATCATCCAATGCATCCTTCCCATGGAGCAAGAAAACCGAAGGAGTGGGAAGGAAGCTACTAGAATGACAGCAAAGCTCTCAGCGTAACATTGACACCCACCGTACCAGTCTGCAGCGTCCGCTACGGCCCAGTAGCTCTGAGCTTCGCTCTTCGGGCCGGCCTCCCGCCGTGTCTCTCCGCCACTGAACATCAGCAGGGCTCTTGGGTCCCTGTCCAGATGAAAAGGACGACCGCCATGGAAACAGAATACGGGGGCCTAGCTGTTCAGTTCTGGTGAGTGAAGCATTTGACAGGGACATTTGACATTCCATTGGCGACAGTTTGAGAACGTTAGAGAAGTTCGAATACTTGGGAGTCATTAAAGCCTCGGAATGTTGTCAGGGAGTCTACAACGTTTGATTGGAGACCTACCTTGCAGCCTCTTTAATGCCTGCCCTGATGTGGTCCACAAACGTTTGTGCCTGACCAGCGGCCTGCTGGTATGTCTCCAACCACCACGAACTCTGGAAGCAAAATTAGGTGGAAGTTTTTGTCAGCCTGAAACAGATCATGGGGACTGGACAAAGAGCTTGATTACGATGAAGCTAGATTTGATTGTGGCTAAGCTAGATCAGGTCACCTTGGATCAGAGAGAAATTGAACAGCATCCTACTTCGATAGATCCTTCATAGGATGCGCATCAAAGCGAAGAGAACTTGGTTGATGAAACAACCCATGGGCAGATCTCCACACCAGAACTTGGAACATCTGGCGTCACTTCAGAAGTGACTCTGATATTGACAGACTCTGTTGATCAGACTTCGTCAACTCTGCGTGATTTTGCTTCCACTGCACATAGTCATCAGTTATGCCTTTCCAGGTGCTTTTAGCAGGGTGCTCGAGGACTAAACCTGGTTTCTCAAGTGCCTGCAGGGCTGCACTTCTAACTTCGCCAAAGCAAGCCCTGCCGCAAGGTGATGTCACTCTCACATGAGCTTAGCTGTTGCGGTTACTAGTAAGCTCTCCCCCAGGAGCTGGAACATTGTCTCGCCAGAGAGCTTGACTACCTCCTTCATTCTCACAAACAGACTCCCTCGTTATTTCCATGTAATTAAGTGAGTGAGTCATTGTGATCCTCACTTTTTAGGAAGTGGTGAGCTGCAACTGCGACCGCATTTGAAAGAGAACATAGTAACTGTGGGTCCTCCATTTCTAGCTCCAAAGAACTCCGAACCTCACCTCCGCGTCAGCATTTACGTAGTTGGCACTTGTGAAGACAGCATGTCCGGCCACCATCACAAGGTTTGAGAACCCAGCGAAAGGGGCTGGTCGCCCACCGTACATCTCAAGCCCATTACTGTCTAACAGCTGCCTACTTCTAGAACCAATCAATTGGAAGCCTACCAGCAGCCCAAAGCAGATGAGAACCACTGCAACAAGCATAGTCCTGTAGTGCCTTGCCCTAGAGGCACCAAGAACTCTGCTGCCGCTCCCGAGTCTGAGCAAATCGCCAAGGAAGCCATGTCGATCTTTCGGTGGACTTTTCAACCCTGATTCAAGATCGTCCATGGATGCGTCCCGCAAGCGTGCCCCGCTCAACGTCAACATACTAGAGGAACGCAGCATGAAGTTGCTGCCCTGCTTTCAGATGAGTCTGGTAAAACCATCGGCGGCCAGCTTGGGCAGCGCAATGCAGGGTCAGGCCGCTTCCTCATCATGAATTCTGCATTCAAAATTTGCAAAGAAGGTCGTCTTGTGATGGTCACTTCATGAACACGTGCACACCCGGGCGCATAACACATAAAACATCAGAGTAGCGTTCGTAAATGCAAAGGCTACAGCTGTGATCGGCTTGGCTGGCTATAGAACAAGACATCCAATCAAATGCAGCGCTCTCGTTGCCTCCAGTGGCAGCCGCCCTCTGCTGCTGAGCTGCGCTGATCTGCAGCACGGCTGCCTGAAACACGAGGTTATTGGCATGGTTAAAGTTTTGGTTAATTTTAAACTATTTGTCGGAGTACCGCGCCGCGCGGATTGTTGAACCTGCTAACCCTGTGTACCGCGCGGCCGCCGTAAGCGTGCCCGCGGCCGGCCCAGGGCCTACATCGGAAAGGGCCCAGGCGCGTAATGCCTAGGTACATGGGCATATACTGGGCCCTGGGTGGCATGGCGTCAGGCCTTCGCAGATAAGGACCGATCTTGGAGGAGCCACGAACCGCATAGGTATGTCGATTTCCAAAGCTAGCAATCATTGTCGCTTGGGCATCCGAAGGCGCATGCAAACCCAATTACATAGTGTTGCAGCGTCAAGCCAATGTCCAATCAGACCAATGTAGAAACCGGAGGAAAGCTTGACTGCAGAAGCATCCATCCTAACAACTGATAGCCATTGCCTAGACGGCTTTTGATGCACCGCCTTGAAGATTACCCATGCGCTAGTTAAGCTGTCAGATTTCTCCCCGGAACCAAGCCACGGAACTAAGCCTTGAAGCTTCAAAAAGTTGTGGACCCGAAACTTCGTGATCGTTACAACTTCTCATGCATAAAACTTCGTAAATCTGTCGAGACCGACACAGTAACAAAAGTACGTACTTGTGCTCAAACACGCAATAACCACCACCAGAAAACGGCAACAAAGAAAGTTGCTTATTGTTTATCGTTTGTACCCGTGGCTTTCCTCCAAGTCTAGCTTTGTGCCGCGAGTACCTATGTTCCATACGCAATAAATGGTGCAGCCTTTCGCAATCTTTGATCCCAGCCTCCTGAAGAACCCCTACCTTGCAGTCAGACTACCAATGTAGCTCAAGCGTACCAGTGACCATCTCAGTCTTTGGACCTTCCAATGAACTTCTTAAGACGACGGCAACTTCAAAGGCTCAGGTTTGGGTGGCGGTGCAGATCCAGTTGTCGGCCTGCAAAACAGGCCAGTAGACCCATTCAACCATCGTCTTGATTCACAGCTCAAGGGCAATATAATCTGAATCTTACTGTACACACAAACTCAGTAAGTCCTTTAACGACAACCAATTAGCGATTCTAAGACTCGTCTTGCCACAGGAAACCTCGCTACAAGCACAATCGCCCTCCGACTATCACTCCGGCAAAGCTACAAAATTCGTCAGATACAGATATTATCACAGATTCGCCAGTCAGATATTCTACAAGAAAGAAACGATGAACTATTCTGGTGCAAAAGGAATGGATCATCGACTTACAGGCCAACGTAGACCTTGAATGCATCGTAGATGCCCCACTGCAGTCCAGTCAGCGTGCCGACCATGACAATCCTGAGCGGCAGGCCTCTGGTCATGAGACCAACGAGGCCAATATCCTTCACAGCCTGCAGATCCAGATCAGAACCTTTTGTCAGCAAGTAATCACTGTTCCATGCAAGAAGTACCTTCTAATGCAGCGACACTGCTGGTGAGCCAGTCAATAAGTCTCCCTCGCCTGGGAGCTTTTGTAGATTTCGAGGACTCCACGGACAACAGCTGATTATACACGGGCATGGTGGAATTCTGCAGTAACTTCTCCTTCCAAAATCTCAGCGGCAAGTCCAGATTTCCATGGCAAGCCCCAGAGACCATGTGGGAAGGAACAACTTCAGCCAGATCGAAATTCGAGCCCGTTTCGAAAGAGCAGATATCCAAGTCAGAAATTTTCACACCTCCTCACTCCAGAAAGGAGCCGCATGGACCAGTTGAAGGTGGGAAGGGGTGCACCGTCTGGCTGTACGATTGCGTGCAAGAACCTTCCAGGACCAATAGAAATATCAAAAACGAGGACGAAACATAGCACAATCCAGCAACTGACCTGGCCAACAGTAGCGCCCTTCTTGTTGTTCAGGTATGACACAAGGTTGTCAGCAGGATGGGACACAACGGCGCAGAAGACTCCGGCAATATATCCTGCCAGGAAGCTGACGCCCAGCTGCGTCTGCTTGGAGCACTCGCTCTTGGGAATGGGAACCACATGCTTGTACAGGGCCTCAACCGTGCTCTCGAAGCAGGCAAACTTCATCATCGTGTCTGTAGGAAGAGTGTGGTGATGTCAACGACTGAAATGCAGATATTCGATGTTATGATCCACAAACGAGAGCCCAGCCCCTGCAAGTTGTTGCGATGATGCTGCAGTAGAGTAACTTGTCTTGAACAGTGCTTGTGACGCCATTGCAAGTCAATCACAAGCAGACTAAAGAGGGCACCGGATTGAAGCCTTGGCTCTACCGCCCATCTACCAGAATTTCGTGTGCAAATTGAGCAGCAAAAGAATCAGGCTCTTCAAAGTTGAGCGGCACCAAAATCAGGCTCTTCAAAGAAGGCTACCAAAAGTGACAACACACTCACAAGGAATTTGGCGGCCCCACAGTGGTACAAGGCCCTTGTACAACCTGCAATTGGGAAAGTGTGTCTGCTTAAGATACCCTCAACAACTCAAGCACTGCAGGCTGCAGGGCTTCACAACCACCAAAACAGATGGGGTAAAGTGCAAAACGCAAGTTGCCACCAGCAAGGAACAGCCAAAGATCCACCGCAGCAAGAGCAGAAGACCAGTATCACTCACCCTCCAAAGCCCTCTGCTGCAATGAACTTCGGGAAGCCGTCAGAGAGGCCCTGTGCAAATCCAGGCTGCGTCTGCACGCGCACCTTGACAGCCTCAAATGGACAAAGGGCGATGTCTGCGATGAACTCTGCTGAGGCACTTCCAGCCAGGTAGATGAGCGTCTTGTACTTCTTCGCATTCTCCTCCCCGGCCAAATCAGAATACTTCTTCTTGAAATACTCGTAGAAGCCAAATTTGCAAGCTCCCTGAGCGGAGTAACCCAGAAGCGTGGGTGCCCAGCCCTTGAAGAAGCCCTTCACACCCTGCTCCCGGAAAAGAGTACCAAACCCGGACCCAATGCTCTTGTACTTGGTAGGATTGATCTGCAAGCAAAAGCTTTCATCGTTACCAGCTCTCCAGACCCAGATCTCAAATCGGCTTCTACAATGGTAGAAGAACAGTCACAGGATATGCCTAGGCCTGCTGTGCTGAACAATCCAACAAACTCGGGCCAGTAGAACCTATTTACATGGTCAGATCCTGTATCCAGCGCACACAACCTTTCCCCAGCCACAGCTTGATCCATGTAATATGGTTATCTTCCAATGACCTCATGCAGGGACCAACAAGGATCAATTACAGACTTCGCAATTATTGCTACTTACAATTACCAGCAAGACGATACTGATCAGCTAGAAGAGGACCAATCAATAATCAGCATCCTACCTGCATGTTGCACTTGACTAGATCCAGCGGAGTAACAGCCATGTGGGTGAGGCCGCAACTCAAGATCCCACCAACTGTGCACGCCGCATAGAACTGAGGCGAGTACATCTCAATCTTCCCTTCACCAGCAGCCGGCACAAAGACCTTCTTTCCGATGTTGAACTTCTCTCTCAAGCTGATCTCATTTGGGGAAGGGATGAATTGGCTGGGAGCTGGGTCTGAAGCGGGGGCAGATGCAGGGCTGCCATTGCTCAGAGCAGAGAAAGCCTTCTTGGAGGTATACAAATGCGATGCAGGAGAAAGAGATGTGAAGGCAGTCGACTGCACGTCCTGAGCTTTCCAGGACAGAGAGAACGCCATGTCTATCCGCGCAGCTTGCACACCTGGACGAAGCGTTGTTCTCCGAGGGATTTTTGCTGCTGCTTCTGAAGGCAGAAACCTACGATCTGTTCTGACGGGCCCCGCCCAAACTGACTGGAACTTGATCCAGACCTTTCCTCCTCCACCACTGCACTGGTCAGCACTCAGCAGCAGCAGCATGGATTCTCGAATCTCAGAAGAGGGATTGCGAGTTCTGTAACCGAATCAGTGAAGTTCATCTGCAATTGAATCGAGGCGGTCGAAACTTTTAGAGAGTTCATTCTTAGCCGTTAGATTCTTCAGACTTAAAATATTCGGCGGACTTCCGAAGCAAGATCCGTGCATTTTGTCGAACAAACTAGACACGCGAACTTCTACGCAGGTGTGAGCACTGAGGCCTGCATTGCATGGTGACTCAACTTCTTGCTCAATTGGACTTCACCGCCATGGCATTCGGATGACCACTTTCCACCAAGCAGCAATCAGACGGCCAAGAGGGCGCAGGCCACCTGAACACCCATTGGGGAGTGCTTAAAGGGGCCCCGTGGGAGGGCGCTGGAATTAAAACGTGCGAGTTGCGAATTATTCGTTCCGAACGATGGCAAAGGGGAAGAGAAGATTTTATGCGGTTCGAAGAGGTTATCAGCCAGGCATCTACAAATCCTGGGAGGAGTGCTCGGTGCAGGTACGTTAGAGGTGCCATGTGGTTTCTCGACTGCCTATAGATGCTCTGAATCTCACTGCTGCCTTCCTTCAACTTCTTCCTTGAAGTAAGCCTCTTGCTGGTCTGTGACGCTGCTGTCTGTCTTGCAGGTGCTGGGGTTTCCTTCAGCTGATCACAAGAGCTTCAGCACAGAGTCTGAAGCGAGAGCATACTTACATGCTTCAGATGTGACGGCATTACACACTTCAGAGCATGGGATTTCTCTCCAAGACAATGATGTCTGCACCGAAGTTTCTCAGGTTCTGCAAGTGGTAGACAGTAGCCAGCAAAGAAGTCCGTTAGAAGATCCCACTTGCCAGCCTGCCAAGAAGAGAGCTGTCGGCCTATATAACCACCAGCCTGTAGGGGGAAGTGACGGAATGCTGAAAGAGAGTCCTGCCGGAACTGAGTCCACAGATACTAGGCTTGAAACGTTGAATAACGTTGATGTGGTATCAAATTCAGCATCTCCAAACTTCCAATCAAACAACCTGGTTGAAAGCAGCCAGAATTTAGAACAGAGACTTGGTGGTGAGGATGGAGATGCTGTTCGGAGCAATCTTGCGAGCGGGACAGCAGATGCAGGTGTGGCCGGCCCAAGTGTGCTCATCAATGCAGCAGCATTGCAGAGAAGGGCAAAGACCATCTCTGAGGAAGTGAGCAATCTCACGTAAAACTTTCACTGGCTCGTTAAATCCAATCAGAGTGTAGTCAAAGAAGCCCGTGGCTGTTCGCTACAAGTGTCCTGCTCGTCAAATCCAATCAGTGGGTGGTGAAAGAAGCTTGATTGCGCAACACGTCTTTGGTTTGAGAAGAGTGCAGAAGTGATGCCGACAGTGCTTGCTCAAGATGCACAACATCGACTGGGTGTCTTCAAACGGGTTCTTGCAAGTGTTACAGGTGAAGAAAGCGAACCAGCCTTGATGTCTAAATCATGCCCCCTCTCCCAACAGCCTGTGTATGTTCTCGAGTTCGATGGTGCGTCAAAGGGTAACCCGGGGCCAGCGGGGGCCGGTGCTGTTTTGCGGAAGCCCGATGGTACAATAGTGAGTGCTTCGATGCCCCCTCGCTCTAGCCACACTGCGTCCACGACCAGCTCAGATCAGGCAATCTTCAGAAGCATCGGTGAAGGAAGCAGCAGCGTAAGGTTTGCTTGTCATAGGTGCCGCACCAAGTCTCTTGCGTTTTTTTCCCTTTGGGGCGTTGCTCAGTGTACATTAGGTCTGGCGAATCTTTGGTGGTTGCAACCAGATTGAACTCTCTTCCTGACCCACAACTTCTTCGCCTATGCCAGGAAGAAGAACTTGTTGAGTACGTAGGTCCAAAGGCCACAAACAACGCCGCAGAATACCGAGGGCTGATTATTGGTTTGGAGGCGGCGCGAGCAAGGGGCATTCGGCGGTTGCATGTCAAAGGAGACTCGAAATTGGTTGTGTGCCAAGTAAGTTCTCTTTTGAAGCCCTTGGACCTAACCGGGTTGATTCTGCTTGCCGTCAACCTTGCACCAGGAATGTTGATTCCGGATACGCGCAGCATTTGGTATCAACACCATGTGAAACAGGAGGGGTCACGATGAGCACAGTATGGATCAGAGTCTGGGGCCTAGTGGTGTTAAGCTGCACTTCATTCGCTGCCTGCATAGCTTTGATGAAACGGTGGTACAGTAATTTCCGTGTGGCTTTTCAATCCTACAGATGTTGGGCCGCTGGAAGGTCCAGAATGTCGACATGATTGCGCTTCATAAAGAGGCAAAGAGTGTGGCAGCCAGCTTTGAAGAGTTCAAGATCGAGCACATGCTGCGGGTGAGGCAAAACTGCGATTGTCTTTCAGTATGTAGGGACACAGATCTGGAGGGGTCATTAAAGGACGACAAGCTCGTAGACTGTCCTCAAAATTGCTTAGAGCGCGGCAGATGCGACACAGGCTTGGACAAAAACCTTATCTCTGTCTTTTGTTCTTGTCTTCCAAATGTCCCAGCCTCCGCAATAAGTAATCTGGGGCTCTGAACCCATGATGAAACAGTTGCCCCCTTCCGCCCCTGACAAATCTGAGTGCCACTCTTTGCAGGAATTCAACTCAACCGCTGACAAGCTTGCAAACATCGCTGTCTTGCGAGCCCCAAACGGTGAGTTTCCAAAAAGGTACCTCCTATTGGTGCTGTTGAAATTGGGGTTGGTTCGGGGTTTTCGATTGCATCCTACGTCCCGAGATTTGCCCAACTTTACAGAATGTAAGGAGTGACGCTGCTTGCCTTCTGAGAGTCTAAAATTCTCGATTGACCAGTCTCTAGGCGTCCTGTCATGCAACAGCGGGCCGCCAAACACCTCCATATCTGCTTGTTGTGGCAGCAACGACTCCTTCAAGTTGTCGTGCTGATCCTGCTCTTGCTTTTGAAAGGTCGGCCGGATTTGGTCGGTATGGGCGCCGTCCTGACCAGCGGAAGCGCTGGAGGGGCCCTCTGTAGCAGCACATGTTCTGAGTCCGCATCCGCAAGCGATGCCACTCTGCTGACCATGAGCATGCGTGCCCGGCGCTCTTTTCTGCACAGCTGCCGGCAGGTACTGAGGGCCAAGTTGAACCGGGTGGAGACGATCCCGCCGGTGAGTTCGGTGCTGCCGAAAACCTGCTCTTCTGATGCTTGCATTGTTAAATTGGTGGTGAAATGCGGTGCAGAAGTAGAACTTGCACAGGTTTGCATATGTTGTGTTGCGCTGTGGATAGTTGCGGTGTGTTGACTTTTCTATAAAGTGTATACTGACGTGCAAAGCAACTGATGGTGAGGACGAGAAGGGCGGGAGTTACCCTCCGCTGCACGTAGCATGAGCATGAGAAGCTGCACTTCCGTGTTTCAAAAGGTGTGTTGCTCGATTTCGAAATGAAGCTTCGCTTCTGACCTTTTTATTGGGACCGGGCTAGAATATTTACGATCCTCTTTCATTGATCTGCTCTCTTGTTGCAGGTGGCCTCGCATTCGTGGACTCCCTGCAGACTTCTTATGCATCACAGTTCAACGCATCGACCACAGATCCAACGAGACCTGCAATCAAGTCGTGTGAGGTATAGGACCCCGCAACAATTGGCCGGTTTACTAACTCTGCATTTTCTGAGAAGTATCCCAAGGGTTAGAATGCTGCGACCAATGCCGATGCTCCACCGTCAGAGCTTCGCTCCAACCTTAATCAGGATACTGCATTAACAGGAAGTCGCCAGGAACTTGCGGATTGCGGCACTTTCTATTTACTTCTTACGAACTCACAGCTAGTAGGGGCAATGAATGTTTTGCGCGACGCGTAGCTGACTGTATGAATGGAACCGTCTTAATGCAAGAGCTGCAGTGGATGGTCGCATGCAAGGTGGTGTCGACTAGAGTGTCTCATCTGTTTCATCCACGTCTTGCTGACCATGATTTAAGGTGGATCTCGTCATTTTCATGATTGATTGGATCACTAAGGCATCCTTAATGGTCCTACTCTGCCGCACTTGCGGGCATGGGCTGGCAGCAATCTGTCTATCTGGTAGTATGCACGTATGGTCACCCCTTTCATACATGCATACATGTTTAAACATGAGAGAAGTGGTTGTCAGTGTTTTATGCAGATGGAGCCTCTGGCGCTCTTGTTGCATCGATCAATTTGGATTATATATGTCATGCAATCTCATGGATCGAAAAGAGACCACATTCAACAAGAGGCGGCTGTGGTCGACCACTAGGCCATGCAGCGCCTCATGTGTGTAGTGCCCACGTGGGCGGCCGCAGCGTATGTGCTTATAGCAATGCAAATCCATTATTCTGTATAAGTGACCATATAGTGACCATATAGTGACCATATCATGGTCACTTCTTTTTATACACGCTGAAGCACTTGGGCCCATGGCGCGCAAAAACAAGCAAATTCGGAGTTCAAAGTTCGGGCCCTTCATCAAAAATGATTACTGTTCTAGTTACCGTGCGCGGTTACTAACAACAAAGCAATTCATGACTAACATGTGACATGCTACCTCATCATGGCGTAACTACTGGGTATATAAAAGTCACTTCTTTCTATAGTCAGAGGCAAAGGGATTATCATTGTCTCTATAATGAAAGGGACTCCTATAATCAAACTAGTTTCCCTTCTTCTCCGCGCGCTTGTTGGGCTGCGGCAAGTTGTGGAGCAACAGCTGGAGCGCCAGCATTGTGTGTCCCCACGCGCGGACGGTAGTCCAGAAGGTAGTTCAAGCGGAGATTGTCGCTTTGCCTCGATCTCATGCAAAACCGGAGCAGGCACTGCAGACGTAGGGTGGTCAACCGGGGTGCTCTTGACAATTAACATAAGCCACAAGCTACTTAGGGTGGGCACTGGGTACCGGCCGAGTCGATTCTGACTCGATTCGCGACGATATTGTGACTCGGCGAATCAAATTTCGTCAGTAGTACTCACTGCTCAGGCGGACCGCAGAACTTCGCGATGGACGAAATCGCAGCGCTACCGTCCGATCTGAACGTAAGGACTCCAGTCTGCAAAGTTTAGCTAGGGGGTCGCAAGCCTTGGCAGGACAGGTTCCGATACTCGGGTTTGGACAAAACGGGCCTAACTGAGAATCAACGAAAGATCTCGAGCGTTCATTTTCTGACGTCAAAATCTGGACGGCAGCGCTGCGATTCTTGGTCGTCCCCCAGCTATTCTGCGGTTCTGCGGTCCGCCTGTACTGGCGGTTCACGCCGAGTGACATTTGTGTAACACGTACGGTACAAGTACTTAGAATTTTCCGCTCGGCCGTGACGCAGTGTGATAGAATCGTAAGATAGTGTTATGATTTACACTTTCAAAGAAGCAACAAAATAGCGCACATAGATGAGGCTTATGCAGCATGTAGGAACCTTTGACAAGCATAAAAAAATGTTGGGAGAGCGTCACTAGGTGTTGTTTGAAGCCCAAAGTGTTTGTTTTGTTGAGGACAAATCTGGAAAAAGAGCATACGAGGCGCAAAGTTGGCCGCCATTGTTGGTTTTCAGAAAGCGCCTTCTCTTACACTTCTCTTTCGAGTCTCTGCACTTCTCTTTCAGCCTAGGTACCGCGGTACTCTTCCGTGGTCCAAGTCGGAACTTCCGACCGAGACCATAAAATTTGAATTCTCGGGACCCGCAGACTCGATCCACCCGCGACGGTACCGTACCACCGAATTTTACGCATGTGTCAGTCGGCCGACGTGTCAGAAAAATGCCAATTCATGAACTCCGACCGGATTCTCAAGTACCGCCGAGTACATTCGTAAGTACCGCGTACAAAATTCGTCGCGACGCGTGACACCGGTGAATCAAATCGTGACCCAATCGTCGCGCGATCGATACCGTCGATACCCACCCTAGGTTGCTTGTGGCTTGCATGGGGGGTTTCATCTGATCTTCTCGTTTCAAGCGTCGTAGCCACATGGGCCGGGCCATAGGCTTCCATGGCATACATCATCATTGGAATATGTGTCTTGAGTTTTGAACAATCACGAACATGCTAGCCGGCTTCATTTGTCACTAAATATGGTCCAGCTTCAAATAGTACACTTATCCAATGTTGGCACAGATGATATGGTCCACGCCCTCGTTAGCTATCATTGAATTGAGTATTCCTGTAGAAAGCAATCGCATGGGCGTGTTCATGTACATACCGCACCGGCCATATGCAATTTCTCATGCCATCCGCACAATACGGCTTGCACAAACAGCGTGCCACCTCTCCCAACCAGGATTACACTAGAATGCATACGCAGCACTAAGAAAAGATGCATGTGCATGTTTGCAACCGTGCAGACTAATTCGGCGATGCCCCATTCACTTTCAACTATGGATGGATTGAATACTGACCAACAGTACCGTCTCAGTTAAGGATCACACAAAACTGTGAGATGCACAGAACCAGAAATGACCCTCCTAGTTATGAACTTGGAATGCATAAGATTGAAAATGGAAATGAAATAGGTGCATTCAGATGTTGAAGGCTGGAGAAAACAACCTTTCAAGGATAGGTTATAGATTTCTGAGAATTGTAGCACAATTTATGCGTTTGTCAAAATCGTCTCAGGTATTATTACCAAAGCTAGACCTACTCAAAGAATGGTTCAATATCACTGCAGAGCAATGTACCCCGGGAATATCAGTACTCAATCCAAAGTTGGTATTATTTGACGCCAAATGAATCAACTACCTACTGCAGTACAAAAATCAGTGTATATCATACTCCTTCCTCTCGTGCTCACCTCAATTCAACAAATGCCACAATTGCAACCCCAGGGCCGAGCGAGATTGTTAACCTAACAATGTACAACTACATTACCGTGAGTCCCAAGTCCCAAGTGGAGGAAGGATTCCAAAACAATCCAGTAGTCAGCCTCTGGATTCAAGCATTCACTCAATTACTGATACAAATTCCGGACCTTGTCCTGGATCAAATCCCGCTCCCACGGGGCCACGTTGTTGAACGCATCAGCAGGAAGGTGTTCAAACCTTTCCCAGTGAAAGTCTCCTTTCACAAGGTCAAAGGTGGCTGCTCGGATAGCGTCCTTCTTGGGCCCACAAGGTCGCTTTGACGTTAAAAACTCGTAAGCTTCCTCCATCTGCAAAAAGTTGGACAAGGAGCGTCAATTTTGAGAGGAGGCGTCTGAACAAATCAACTTCCAGCTGCTTCATGCGGAAGCAGATTTAACGAGTAGTTGAACTCCTCCTCTTGTTGGAAGCACTTGGCAGAGCAGGAACTTCATCTGCCTTCCACTGAAACAGATAGTGGCGCAAGGTAAAGCGCATGTCCTCTTTGTTTCCATAGATCAGAAGAGCAGGCTCAGGCACTGCAGAAAACTGCCGTAGCTCTCTCTTTTCTCTCTGATAAGACTGCAAGGTAAGCTGCAACCAAGCTGCACTGTCACTTACCGTCATCCGCTGGAACCAGAATAGATATGCAATGGCACACCCGGGCGCCCTGCCAAGCCCCGCTGTGCAGTGCAGATACACATTCCTGCCCTCGCAGGTCAGCCTGTCAATCGCAGCAACCATCCTAGGGAGCTCCTGTCTGAGACTGTTGGGGTCAAAGTCACGAGCGGGCCTGCGGATGTGGACCACCCCGAGCTCCTCGCAACGCTTCATAATGGGGTGTAGATCCACATGCCAATAAGCAATGTCATGGTCCTGCTGCAGGTTGACAATTGCTGTGATGCCCTCCTGATGGAACAATCTCTCTACATCCTCAGGGGTCTGAGGCTGCGAGCCAACAATGAGGTTCGGTGTGATCCTTGTGTAGTACATGCCTGCAGCAGAGATGAATTTTCCTGTCAGTCTGACTGGTGAGGAAGAGTCCACCTTTACTTACGCCTGTAAAAGAGCATAATGAGGAGCTGCTTGACCAGAATAGCACGTGCAAGCTGGCTCTAATTTTGCAGGAAGCTCCTCGGCAAAACTTATGCAGATTGCTCGAGACCCAGGCATCCATACATGCACAGCATGCATATACTTTAAGGCTTTGAGCGTCACAATATTAAAAGCTCATCATGGCTTGATCTAGCTCTCACTTGCAGCAGGTCTGAAAACAACTCCCAATCTGACGTACATTTCCATTACAGCTTCAAAAACAGAGAGAAGCAGAGCAGCTTTGCTGCAACCAAGTAGCTCACCCATCTCATGGTGATACTCGTATGGATTCGCCATGGCGCGCTTCATGTTCTCGTTGTACTCAGAAACTTTCGAGTCCTGGGAGGTCTGGACAGCACCAGAAGCCATGCAACTCTTCATGCCTGGAGCTCTGCTGCATGATTGATGCAGACTCTTACCTTGGGTATGACTCTGATTCAAAACCTGGAAACCTCTTCCAAAGAACGGAGAGCTTGCAAGCTGCTTGCTAGGTAAGTGCGACGACTGACTGCTCTGCGAGGTGGACGGTGCACACAGCGGTGCCTCCAACACACCCCTGACGCACAAGCCCTGACAAGACGCCATGCCAGCTGCGCCCAAGTTGGTTACCGCTTCCTGTCAGCGCTTTGCACACTCCCTCTTAGCTGCTACCTATCTCTCCCTAAGAGGTCAAGGTTTCTATGCTCTGTACCCTACAGAAACCTTTAAACTCCTAGATCTGAGCAAGCAAGACAGCTTTCCTCAACCTTTTTCAGGTTGCTCACTTTGACCTCTCCACTTTTTGGGGCGATTTCCCGCAGACACAAAGAGTCCCTTGCCGCAAACCACAAGCTGTCGCTCTCCTATGACCTTTTCCAAGGATGGCGGATGCGCTTTTCCTTGCACAGCTTCACTCTGGACAAAGAGTGAAGAGATCGAGGGAGGAGGAGGCACGGTCGGAAGCTTTGCGGGAGCAACTTCTGAGCCACATTTCGCATGCGCGGTCAAGGGGACGCGTGTCATCTTGAGGGCGCTCACCCTTGACACCAGTTCGAAGCTGCGTGGCTGGGAGTCCAGAGAACCAGATCTTTGTTGAGCCGTGCAATCGACTTCCTGGCGTCAAATTCGATCTCCGAGCATCTCTGTGGCGAGGAAGTCAACGATACGCGGTGTGTGGAGGTCCGGTT